GTGGGAGGTGAGATGAAGGAGTAAGGATAGATTGGGTGGAAGATGAAGAGAAAGAGATCGCTTTTGATGTTGAGGTGAGAGTGAAAAGATGAGAAAGATGAGGTTTGTTGAAGAAAAGGAGGAATTAAGTTGTTGAAGAATGAGGTCACCGCTGGATTGAATGGATGCTGACCGCCCGCGGGTTATCTAGGGGACTGACTCCAGTTGATGAGTGAGACTTTGAGAATAGCGGGGATGAGGAAGGTTCCCCCGTGTTCGGTGGGCTCTTGCCTTTGCTTCTCCTGCCACTTGGTCTGCACTGATACTTGCCTTTCTCTTCCTTCCTCCTCTTCTTCGCGTTGTGGCTAAAAACTTGGTGGGGCTCTATTTTCTCCAGTGAATGAGCTCAGCTTCTCTAGGTCTCTCTTTTTTTTTTTTTTTTTTTTTTTGGTGAGAGAAGCCCAAAGGTTAGTGGGGCCAGTGACGTGAAAGGGCCCCATAGTTTAGCTTTATCGGCTTATCATAGCTTTGCTTGAATCAATCAATTGTGATGCCTGTCATTCTCATTCATCGATTCAATTGATGGACCCTCTTTCTGCTTTTTTTCATGGTGGCGAATGATGCAATGTTTTCATTCATTCTCTAATTATTCCTTGAAAATTTGATGTAGAATTTGATCAACACTACAGAGTAGCAGACAGCAGCCATGATGACACTCGTTCCGACCATCAGGGATCCATTTTGCAGCGTCATAGTTGTTATCAATTCTTCTTATCGCAGAAATGATGCTGCACAATAGCTTCATCAACTAAAAGCTACAGTGGATACCTTGTCACTCTTTCCCCTCACCAAAAAAAGAAACAAGCTTGCGCACGTTCAATTGTACCTTGAGGGCATCGTGGGGGTTTCCCGTCTGTTCCCCTGGAAATACCCTTCAATTGTCCATGTGATCATTCATCCATGTCAATGTCAGGGACAGTCAGCCTCATGCTTGCGGCTCTCCATGCTATAGGTCCCATGACCACTACACTGAGCTGAGAATAAGCAGGGGTAAGCTGAACCGTCTGGTCCCTGAAACAGCGGTCAACTGTACAGACTTAGGCAGCAGAATAAAAATTGAGACAATTGACTTTTAGCGTAAATGTAACACAAAAAGAAAAGTCAATCTCGTTTCCCAAACACCAACAAATTTGTCAGCTTCTAAAAGGACGGAAACCTTGCCGACAGTATCATCCGATACTCGGAGCAGACCTGGTAAGCTTGCGTGTCCTCACCTGTATACATACACTTTGAGAAGTCAGATCATACCGACAACCATAATGCCAACAACACTTGGCCAATTAAAAAGCAAAATTGCGGTGTCAAAAAGTCGTCTTACAGTTGAGACCGACACGTCCGACTTTTACTCGAAACCTTTGATACGGTGGAAATGGTGAGTTGTTCGTTAACGCATCCAGCCAACTCAATTCTACATCACATCAAGCTTTGACAGAACCCCTGAGGCATACCAACAGAAATGACACATCCTCATGCCAACTCTCCATAACTGCAATAATTCATGTGACGACGCCTCACGTTGTCAAGCTGGATATTCTACACAAGGAATGGCTTATGTACCAGTCTTGAAGGAACGTAGTCATACGTCTTGGCGAATATTGTCTCACCGGTACAATCAAGCATTTCAGACGAAACACACCTATGGTTGAGTTTACGATAGTTCAGAGAGGCTGGCCATGACAATGTCGTATCCTCCACCCTGGCTTTCGACAGGTCCAGCTATCTGTGACCAGATGCTATTTTGACGATCCCTCTCGCTTCCACTGCAGCCCTGGCGCCTTTTGCGGACTCCCATTCGGCCTGAAAGGTCGGCTCGGCAATCTTGGTGCAAAGATCTCCATCCGGGGGTGTAGATCCTCCTTTAACAGTAAAATACTTGAGGTCTACGGATCATATCACTCGAGCGTGAAACCCGAAAAACAAAGGTCATCGCAAGATGTACAAAGCAGCATGTGGGATCAAGATTAAGCCCTGAATACGAGTAAGACGTGGCGTTTGTGTAAGAAGGAGAAAAGTCCACAGTCTACCATGACCTCTCTGAGTCACTCCCGCCTCGACTTCCTCCACCCTTCTTATCCTCAAGAATTATCTCTACCATATTCGAAACCATGATACCCTTATGGACGCCACTGTTTCCTTCTTGATTTAGGTCGCTCATACCATGCGCCTCTACCTTGACAATGCGCTCTTCACTGTTATTGAATGACATGTTTTCTGATATTGGGTTCGCAGTCGGGGGGCCACGACGACTGGGGCCGCTACTCTTGCCACTTCGGCCCCCACCACCAATAGTCTGGAAGCCAGTTGGGTACTGATATGATGTCTTGTGCGACGAGCGTAATATGCTTCCAAAAACCGGTGTGAACCAGATTCTGAAGAGCGGGAACAAAATTGGTAGATTAGTTGTCATTACGGCCACGAAGGCTTCACGAGTACCCCAGACGCCAGCCAACTGAGCTCCATGGACAGGGTCCTAAGAGTGCATATTAGATAAAGATGAGCGACATATTTCGCTCTTGAGACGTACCACTAGAACGAAAACGCTTTTCAAGGTGGCGCAGACAAGCACAAAAATACCCGAGCCAAGAACGATACTTGAAGCGATTTTCTTTATCGTCTTTAGACTGGATCCCCAGAGCATGGGAAGCGGAATGGCGATCAAGTATATGTCGGTCGAGACGTTGGAGGCAAACGAGGCCCAGACGATGGGTTTTGAAATAGCGGCTTGACAAGAGTCTGTGATACATGTAAGAGTATGCTTCAACAAAACGAGGATTACCCACTGCCAGGGTCGGGACTGATCTGCCAGTAATTACTGAACGGCCGGCATCCAGCGAAAATTGCTATCATGGTCGCGACAAATGTACCAATGACCAACCCGAACCCAACATATATACGCATGCGATACTGTCGACCAAGACCATTCTAAAAAAAAAAAATCAGTCATCATGTTTGGCGTCCTTCAATCAAGTTACATACCGTAAGGCGAGTATAAAAGTAAAGCATGGATAGCTTCAAGGACCAAATGAGGGCCGAGTAGATGGTCCAACCTGCCACCTGAATTTTGGAACCGATGACCCTGATAAATCGAATAAGCGGGAGACATCCCGAGAACATTACACATCAAATACCTGAGATCATATTCTGGATCACTAGGTGATATCGCAGCACGTTCTGCGTCTGATATGCCATTGTTGGCAAGACCATGCGCGAGTGTCCCAATGTTATAGGCGAGGGTCGTCTGGATGGTGTAGAAGATCTGCTGCTGTTAGAGTCAGATTAGGCATGATAAGGGAAAGACTTACAATGCTTAGAACCATCAGGTAATCTTCGGCTTTAAGACTTCTGAAGCCATCTACCCTCATTCGTGCATAGAATCTTAGAAATGTTGCAGCAACCCCAACCGCATACAACGTCCAGCTCTCAGTCACGGGATCAGACATGCTCACTTATCAGAATTACAAGATCTATCACAAAGACAAAAAAGAGGGAATGGAAGAAAAAAAAAGAACAAAAAAGGAATGAACATGTAAACATCGATAGGACATGCAGCATGTGAGAGCTGCCTGCCGGACATCTGCCCCATATGTATGTACTAAAGATTTGGTAACGGATTTCCATTTCGTCACCATGAAGAACGCGAGCTGAAAATTATCATCAAGAATAGCATGTGCATATGCACCCCTGAGTTAGTCGGCGCGCTTCAGGTACAATACTGTGTGGATGTTGAGCTGTTAGTGGCTTTGTTGCCCGGGAGCGGGTTTAGCTGGGAATGATTCCTACAGGCTGTTGTACCTGACGCTAGTAGTGCCGAGGCAGTCTAAGTTAGTTCAGCAAGTGAAGAAAATGGCGCGCCTTGTCTGGTGGGTCGAATGTAAGGAAATATTTGCTTCCAACAGTGCGGACTTGGTGGTGAAAGAAGCCTTGATCGTTATTTGAGATGTTCAGCTGCGAGGTTGCATCTTGAACTGCTGTGCAAGACATTGCATTGCGCATATTTCCCAAGGATATGGAAGGGCCTGGTTCAGTGTCGTGTAATAGTACTTGACCGTTTGATCCGGGGACGGAGATAATCGTAAAGTGGAAGGTGACATTGCTAATACGACCTTATTCCGTAGTCATGATTAGACCCAATTCCCCGTCTAACTTTACATAACGACCAAGTCAAGCACCCAATCTAAATGAAGGGAAGCCAGTATCTTGCGTAGAAACTAAGCTAACATTCCACTTTAAATAATACGTTACCACTCTGCCGTTGAGGTTCGCAAGTATACAAGGACAAGTAACAACTGCCAGCATGTGCTGATCCTTGGGGCTCGGTTACCTCGGAATCTCTGAATCGCGTTAATCCTCCGAGATCGATAAATCTTGGCAATCCTACACAATTACAATAAATGCACGTACTGTCAAGAACCCGGTCATATTCATCATCATCTTCGGACTTGAACCAAACAGATCTTCTGGTCTCCTCCTTGTTGTCATCGAAAATTTGAACGCAAAGAAGTATCCCAAGCGTCCCACTAACTAGAGGATTTCGCGCCCCATAACAACTAATCGTGGATCCTTGAGCGATGTGACTCGCGATCTAGGCGAAATATATCTGGCCTGGTTTGATGCAGATCCTCTGAACCTCTGCAGGGGAGTGGAGAAATAAATCGGTGCGACCGCTGGACGATGGAAGATGTTAATTGCTGCTGAGATTAGGAAATAGCAAGGATATTCATTGTCTACCCGGCCTCTCGGCCTTCCTTTACAAAGGAGAGCCTCGGCTGCATTAACCGACTCGAGGCCAATCTCTACACACCCTTGACCTTACTGGGCAGATGCTGGTAATAGCAAGACGACTTGGCTAGTGTCTTATGCGGGTTAAATATCTTTGTGGCCCACGTAAGAGTAGAAGATCTTTTTCCCAGAGGGATCTTCTCAGCTTAGGCCCAAGTTCCTCCGTGTAGTATTCCTTCATGATGCGTTTCACTACTATGCTTGCTGCTGCTGTTACAGCATGGGCTACTACAGCTACATGCGCAGCCACTCCCTTCATTCGCAGTGAAATCTCTGGCACGTGTTCCGAAGATCTTGGGCAGCTCGGCAAGAAGCTATCAAATTCTTCCAAGATCTACTGCCCCGGATCGCCCGAGTTCGAGAAGGCTACTACTCGTTGGTCTGTTCTGGACGCTCCCAAAGTCAACATTGTAGTTGTTCCTGGCACTGAACAGGATGTTGCCACAACGGTACGTAACCCAGATGAACGTCTTCACAATCGTATCTAACAATTTTATCTTCCAGGTCAAGTACGCTAATGACAAGAGCTTACCCTTTCTCGCCTACAATACGGCCCACGGAGCGATTACAACTCTGGGACGAATGGATCACGGCATTGAGATCTATCTGAACCAATTGAACACAGTCGAAGTCGCTGCAGATGGCAAGACTGTTACTATTGGTGGTGGTACGCAGTCTAAGAAGGTCACGGACACTCTTTGGGCAGCCAACAAGCAGACCGGTATGATTCAACGATTTTCCTCCTGTTCTAAGTTTAAATATGGTGCTAACCATCCATAGTGACTGGAACCTGCGAGTGCGTCAGCTATATGGGCCCTGGCCTCGGAGGGGGACACGGTTGGCTCCAAGGCCATCACGGTATCATCGCAGATCAGTGGGTCTCCATGAATATCGTGCTGGCCGATGGCTCCTTCAAGACCATTAACAAAGACTCCGATCTTTGGTGGGCCCTAAAGGGTGCTGGTCATAACTTTGGGATTGTGACTTCCATCACGTCCAAGGTCTATGAGATCCAGCACCGCGACTGGGCTATTGAGACTCTTGTTTTTAGCGGCGAACATATTGAGCAGCTTTACCACACCGCTAACGAGCATCTGCTCCGCAAACAGCCCGAGGGTCTCATCAACTGGAGTTACTGGGTGCACGACCCTACTGCTGACCCTGAGAACGTGAGTTTCTTCTAACTTTATCATGTTCTCTTTATGTCTAACAGTTGTAGCCCATCATTCTTTTCTGGCTGATCCAAGAGGGTGTCAAGACCATCGACCCCGAAATCTCCAAGCCCTTCCATGACCTCAAGCCCCTCGTCATCAGTCCCGAGTCTGGTGACTACCGTGACCTGGCCAGATGGACTCAGATTGATATCGATGCTGCTCCATGCCAAAAGAACGGCCTCGTCAACCCTCGTTTCCCGCTATATCTCCAGGAGTACAATGTCGCCGCCATGAAGAACGCATGGGATCTGTTTGCCGCCGAGACTGGCCCTGAGTCTCCTTTCAGCACTTCCATCTTTATGTTCGAAGCCTACTCTACTCAAGCCGTGCGTGGTACCAAAGCAAAGGACTCTGCCTTTGCCTTCCGTCACGAAAACATCCTCACTGCTCCTTTGATTACTTACAAGCCTGGTGATGCTGCACTTGACAAGAAGGCTGCCAAGCTTGGAAACGACCTGCGTGATATTCTCTACAGAGAGTCTGGTCAGTGGAATATGAGTGTCTATGTCAACTATGCTTTCGGCAATGAGAAGCCAAGTGACTGGTACGGAGGCGAGGCCTGGAGACAGGAGCGTCTGCAGAGCTTGAAGAACAAGTATGACCCTGAGGGTAAGTTCAGCTTCTTTGGCCCAATTGCGTAATCAAGGGTCGGATTGCGATTATCGACAATATTATACTATTTTAAAGACACAGTTGATGTTTCAATGACCGTTCCGTGTGAGTGAAGAAGAAATAATGTACAAATTCTGCCCAATATATACCAGGGATAGTCTATTCTTATCTATATCGCAATCGTCACTTGAGTCATGTTGTTCTATTAGATTTGTATAGTTCACTGGCAGTTGAGTAAGTTTTCCTTGGCTCTAATGTTCCTGGTCACACAGAGTACCATTGAAAATCTGACAAGTGATAGTGGAATTAAAGACCAGCCGAGACCTCTCGGAAATGCCCCACATCAACTCACTACTGTGTAAAGGCAGACTAGAAAAATGGTAGGCTGCCCCTACAGAATGGGTTGATTCTACACGTTTTGTTGTAGGCTGTTTGTTCTCATGTAGGGATAGTTGCCTGGCTGGAAACAAGCACTTAATACGCAGATGGACCGACCATAGACTGAGAGGAAGTGACCGTCCGACCCATAAGACATGAAAGCTGTCAGGAGTTTACATGCTGCTAAAGAAGGATTGGATCAAGACTGCATCTTAAAGAGCCGCGCGCTTACCTTTGTCATTAACGGTGTTGAAGACTTGGTGTCATTATTGTCAAGTCCTTTCCCGTCTTTCCAGTCTTCCAGCCTCATCAGAGCTTGAAGGACGGAGATTCCGTTTGCATGTATCGCAGTCATAAGATTAGGGTCACAATAAGGCTGGCGCTTAAGACGCAACAGACACCCTGTTTGGGGTTGGTGATACAACGATCGGTTATCAATCCTATTTCAGTAAATGGTGTCAGCAATCCTTCAAGCCATCAACAGGGTCCCCCAGAATGGCATTGGTAGTTGGGGGCCGTTTTGTGGACTGTGTGTACCGGAACTGAACAAGCTGAAGAAATCCTTACACTTCTGTTGGGGGCTATTTTAATAACAGAAAATATCAAAACAGCCTTTCTACTTTTTCAATGTTGACATCTATCAAATACGCTCAGTTATTCTTGCTACCTCCTGAAGGCTTGGTTGTCAGCGTCACATTTGTTTCATTTTTGACAATGGTGAGGCTCTAAAGCGGCCGCCACATGAGCTGTCATACTCTCCCCCAAGTCCTCGGGAACTTATATAACGACATTGTTGCAGACCAAGTGGGCTTGTTCCTGTTTCCATCATGTTCTGTCTCTTGGTAAAGCTTGACTCCTTTGGCGCACGGTCACATAAACACAAAGTGAGAAACAGGACATTTGAACTTCACAATGGTAAAGTAAGCAGTACCCTTCTGGCCCATCTATGTTCATGTTTTACCAAATTGTCCTCGAATCGCTTTGCTAACATCAATGATTCTTAGCCAACCACCTAAAAAGACTGCAGCCAAAGGGCGTCCAGTTGCTGGTTCCCAGCGTCCCCCAGCCGGTCGCCCTGCTCAAAAGCCCACCCAAAGACCCCCTGGTTACCAACAAGTCGCTGCACCGAGACCAGTTGCCGGCCGTCCTGTCGTCGGTAGACAGCCCGGACCTAGTCAAGGCATGCAAATGGCACAAATGAGGCGACCACAACAACAAGCAAATCGCGGAGCTCCAAGACCTACTCAGGCAATGAGGCCGGGGCACAACCCAAGACCTCAACACGTCCACCATCGACCAGTCCAACAAGCTGGGCGCGCACCAGCACCACACCCGGGTCAAGGTCACGCTCACGCTCATAAGAGCGGAAGCTCTTCAAACATGACAGCTGTCGCCGGCGGCGCTGCAGCTGGAGCAGCACTCGGTATAGGGGGCGCTGTGATATACAACCAGATGAACAGCTCGACCAACGTTATCAACCAAGAACACAACAGTTACTCGTCTGAAAATAACAGCTGGCAGTATGACAACTACGAACAGACCAACCATCAACAAGACAACCATTATGATGAAAATGGTAACTACTACGACAACGGGAATTACTACTATGACAACCAGTCCTCTGATAATGAGGGCAATCACGACAATAATTATGATCCAGATGCTAGATATGAGAGCGATGGATATGACAATCAATATGATCAGCCCAGCGGCTACACGGAACCACCAGCTCAGGATTCTTCAATGGGCCACAATGTGGGTGAAGAGGATGGCTGTTGTGGTGACTGCGGATGCAATGACTGTTGCGAATGTAACAATTGTTGTGAGTGTGAAAACTGTTGCGACTGCGAAGAGTGTTGTGGCTGCTGTGGAAGCGATGAGAATGGAAATGGCGGGTGTGTGGTTATGTAAACCTGTGAGATGATGACCTCTTACAGTGTAAGATATTTTAGAGGTTTACGATGATTCATATCATTCTGATTTGAGAGTTGAGCCCTACAAGTACCAGCATTAGTGAGAAATAATCAGAAGTAAGGCAAGAGATATGAAAGACAAGTAGATAGCAGAAACGTTGTTATCAAAGCTTTAGGGCATAAACATAAATAATCTAGCCAGCATACCGACGTTTAATCTCTTATGCTCTCAGTGGACAATTTAGAGGAGGTTATACAGAGGCAAATGATCGCTTATGTTGTTGCCTGATAATAATACACTCGCATGAATAGAATTTGCTGAAATGCAAGCCCAATTCTACTTAATTGCGGCTAATAACAGAAGACTTTTGGGTTTTACTGAACCTACTACTACTGTACTATGTTCTTCTTACGATGCCTGCAAAAAGTCAAAAAGATCAAAAATGTCGGTGGAGAGGCTCGAACTCTCGACCTTTGGATTACCCTGGTGTTTAACCAAGTCACATGATCGAAACATATGAGACCAACGCTCTAACCAACTGAGCCACACCGACCTGGTTAAGTTGAAGCTACTTTGGTACATATACATGCATTGGCAATCATTACCGCTACTTGCCTTGCCGATCCGAAATTCATCTGACAGTATGTGTAGGAAGTGAGAAAAATGAGCAGAGTCAGAATGAAATAAATTACTATATAAATAAATGGTATCCTATCTTGGTAGCTCATTCAAGACAATGCATTATACTCCAGGCCTAGCTTCTGACACTTTGCCTCCATATCGCCCTTCGCTAGAAGTTCTCGACTCTGTTCCAGTTTCTGCAAGATTACCTTTTGAGGTATCCTCATACGCAACATTAATATTCGTCGTCCGCATAATGCCATTATATGTCATGATCTCCTCCTCCGATCCTGTTGGTGACACACTTCGGATCTCAGTTCTTTGGTTTCTCGCTCCTCGCAAGTCTTTGAGGTGTATGTTGTCATGGTTATGTGATCGCAAGCCGTGCGTGCCTCGAGCACTGTTTACATATCGATCGCCGTAGGGTGTGCCGGATGTTACTCCGGAGCTTCCACCAAAGAGTGCAGGGAACCATCGTCGGAACAGCGGTCGAAGAGCTGGGATAGAGGCGGATATAATGGCGATGTTCGTTTCGATGGCTCCCCATACAGGAAGGACAGTGTAGAAAGTATCCTCACCGGGGTCGGGCCCTTCGACGAGTTGGTGATAAATGGAGATGACCCTAACGATAGCAATGATACCAACGCTACACATTGTCAGTACTTGAGTTGTTAGAGAGACAGTCAACTACTTACGCACTACCCAAAACAAACACGCTAAGAACAGCAATCTTAGTCGCCCATCGCATGGTAAGACCTAAAAAGATCCAAAAAGGCAGCGCGACAACGAGAAAATCCGTCACGATGGTGATGCACGATGCAATGACATGGAACCAGTTGCTAACGCACTTGACACCCGGCTCGTCACGCAGGGGAAAATCCCAGTTCGCCTCAATTGGCCAGCATTGGAAAAGTGCAGTGAAGAAAATGGCGACGGCGTGTAGGGCATTGAAGATATTAAGTCCGTAAATAGCATATCGCACGTTTGTTTTGTGACCGCCGAGTCGGAGAAGGAAGACGAGAATCGATGCTTTGACGAGGGCCAGAACAGGGTTGTAGAACATCTGTACAAGGAAGTTCCACCAGAAACCAGCAGCGAGGTCGAGGTCCTTTGGTACGTCGTAGGCTCTGAATCCCCAGTAGTTGAGTTTTATGACTGTTGATGATGGGCGTTAGCAAAGCTGACACGAGTTACTCAAGATGTATTCAACTTACACATATACAAAGGTCCAATCATAAGCAAAGCAAATAGCTAGTCGTGTCAGTTGGGTGAACGATCCGCAACGAGGTCTCCACTCACAAGTGCCCCAAGAATGAGGTAGTCATCTGTTAAAGACAATAAGCGTTGGTGACACATTGCGTCCAACCTGAGATAACTTACCGAGACCTGTCGTCCGTGAGGTCACGCGACTGTATATGCGCATTGACACGATCAGTATAGATAGACTCGGGAATATGAACAGAGCTGCAAGGCCCTTTTGCTGAAGCGGCGTTGTAGGGAGCGTCGTAGGATTGGGAAACGGCGGTGGCCCCGTTCGAGGGTAAAGACTGAAGGAATTCATTTTGAAGGTTAATTCAAGATTGTTGGACTGTATGATAATGGGCTAGACGTTGCATTCCCTTGCTTTTGCTAAAAAGATAAGCGCAGATTCGATGCAACGCGCTGATCCGGAAGGACTGTGCGATCGTTATGCTGATCAGTGCCCTTGGCAGCAGGGGAACCGCTGTTGAGGAGACGAACAAAACGAAAGTCGGCTAATAGGTTTTTCAGATATATATAGCAAGAGGGATTTCTACGGATTTATGTACATTGTTGGCTGAACTGCCACTTGTCAAATATCAGGGGGATCCAGCACGAGCAGAATCTTCAAGGTAACTCCCATAGCCCAATAAGGCTGCATACTTAAACAGAGTTTGTGAGGGAGTCAGGATTTGACTCAGCATGGGTTTCATGGTCCGTGAGGAGAAAGCTGAACCACCATCATCCTGTATCAAATGAGAGGCAGGTGGGTGAGTTCATGGTTCCTGGGAGACGACGCATATGCAGGGCCATGTACCAATCCTCGAGTGGGAAGTGATCTCGTGTCCTGCAGGCACGATTACATTTTGTTGGTTCTAGAACTGAGGCCTGTCGGTTTCGAGTCCCTCGTCCAAGGCATCGGGGCTTCAGCTATTTCTGTGCCACACATCCCGCGTTGAGCCGGACTGCAAGATTAGCTGGGGCTGATCGTTGCAGAGTCATCCTGTAGAAATTGTCCATTTTCCGCGGAATATTTGATGCCAGGTTCAGCTGTGTTGCCGATCATGCATGTTGGTTGTCAACGGATCAATGGTGGAAACGGTAAGGCATTTGATGGCTTTTGTGCTAGCGAACGTTTCTGCCTGAGCTTGTGTTGGTGGCTGAAACATGTCAGCAGCCTTCTGTCAAGCCAAAGCCTGTTGATCTCTGGGATAATCTCGAGCAATATCGTACCAACAGAGGATTTAGTCTTTTCAATACTGGTGGCAGGACGTACGTGGGATTAAAATTTCTTAGTCTGGGTCTTCGGCTTCAAGTGGGATAGACATATGGATCTATTCATCGGAGCGATAAGCATAAACGGCTGCCTCGTTTAATCTAACTTTAAGCCATCTTCCTTCGCTTGTTCTCAAACGGCCAGGATCTTCATTTGAGGACTTTTTATTAGGCTAAACGTCCTTGATAATCTTCAACGATGGACTGGCTAGTGGCTACCAGAAAAGATGGACTCCTAAGCTTTAGGATACAAAAATGGACAGCCTAAGAAGTATGATCTAAATAGCATAAACTGATCTACTAATTTCGTCGTTTATGGTTCCGGTGGCCAATTTTTCTGATACCCTGAGGACTAGCTGCAAACTACCAACAAAACGCATTGATAGAGTAGGTAACATGCAGCCTCCAGGAGGCACAGTTGGACCCTACAATCCTTAACCGAGAAAACTTTAGCGGCCCTTCGAGGATCCCGGAGCCACTACCCCAGATCCCTGGAGCCTCACCAGGGTTCACAGCCAGTCGCGACCCCAAAGGCTGATCCATCGTCTGTCTCAGCTAAACGACCCGTCCGAAGATCCTGTCTCTACCGTTCAAGTCTCGGAGGCTATCTCTTTACCGCCCCCCGAAAGTGGCTGGTCATTGTTAGAGCTATATGCCTCCATGTTGAAGATGTAGACAAATCTCATCAAAGACCAATGGCGAGAGAGGAGCATGGCAAACTCGCAATTTCGTCTATTGTGCAATCGGTATTCAACGAATGCCATACCTTGTACCCAATAAGGTTTGCTGCTTGGTCTAGGATCATGAACTTTGTCGGCCTCCATCCTTGTGTGGAAGAGTTTGTCCGTCTCTGTGTGTTGGTCAACTCCCGCTCCAATCAAATTCATGACCTGTCACGTAAACTTAAAAGAACCCCGAAGAGCCCACCCTGCATGTTGGCTGTGGTGCATGTTGATGGAAGATAATTCGAAAGGCCAAGCTAATTAAATCGAGTATCATTTCCACTATTAATCCACTCCGCTTACGAGTGCCGTCTTCCCGTCTTGCAGAAATACCATTATTTAGTAAGGATGTCGGGGGTTTTGCGTCCGATATCTGCGGGACTTTCACCCTCCCCCGTCTAGACCCAAGGCTTTACCTCGCCTTTTTCTTCTCCACCTGAGCCGGCACCAACCAACAACAGTCAGCATGGATGGCAGGATGGGAATCTGCCCATGATCCCAATCCCCAGGTAATTACTACCTAATGCGTGCCACCGACCGTTTTACCGCTTTACCAACAGACACAACGCCCGCTCGAGGATTCTGCAAGTTCAAAGACTACTAGTGTTAGATATATAGTCAGCATAGCAAACCATGTGGCTTAAGCCGATCTCTTTCCCCTTCTTCTTTATCCCTATCCCTCTCGTTCCATTCTTGACGCCTTGTCATCTCCTGTCTCGTCCCTGCAGCCTCTAAACCTTCTTGATACGACAATGCAAGGCTCTCGCCTTTCGTGGCTGCTTGCCGCGCTTGTGCCCTTCACCCTTGGCCAGACAATCGACGTCGACGGCGAGGCTGTTCGTATGTGACATCACCTGCTGATCCTCCCTTCTCACGTTCTTACTTCCATGGACCATCGCTGATCTGAAACGTGGAACAGCCGCTGATGAGAGCAATGTGGCCCCTGCTTGGGCGAAGCCAGTGACTGCAGCCTCCAAGAACTCCTTTGTCGAGAGTGCTCCTCAATTAACTGACGCTGTGCTCGCCAACCTCACAGATCTGAACTTGAGTGACATCGAACTCTTCTACTTTGCCGACGCCAAGACTTCCAAGAAACGGCATGCTGTTTCTGACTCGAAGTGCAAGATCTTCCCTGGTGATAAGGCATTCCCCAGCAAGTTCATCTGGAATGTCCTCGACCTTCTTACTGGAGGCGCACTCATCAGCACCGTTCCCCTTGGTTCGGCTTGCTACAAGGGAGAGCATTATGATGAGGATAAGTGCCTCTTCCTGAAGGATCAATGGCACAATTCTACCACACAGTGAGTTTGGCCATGATAAATGCCACCTCAATATAGTACCGACTGACATGTTCAAGTATCGATGATCCCACTTCAGTCATGTCGCCTCTCTTCCAAGGTGCGACCTGTGAGCCCAGCAATGCTGAATCTGGCTCCAAATGCACCATCGGTGGCTTTCCTTTATACTCTATCAAGGCCACCAATGTTGCTCAGATCCAGCTCGCTGTCAACTTCGCCCGAAGCCTAAACATTCGACTTGTCGTACACAATACTGGCCATGACTTCCTTGGCAAGAGCACTGGTGCTGGTGCTCTTAGCATCTGGACTCATCACTTGAAGGATGTCAAGTTCACCAAGAACTATCGTGGTGCCAGTAGCTATACTGGTCCTGCGTTTAAGATCGGCGCTGGTGTTCAGGTCAAAGACTTGTACGAGGCTGCTGACCGTGAAGGCTACACTGCAGTTGGCGGAGAATGTCGCGTACGTCTCGTTCAAACTTTCTTCTATTACATTCACTAATCTTTTTTCAGGATGTCGGTGTGGCTGGTGGATACCTTCCTGGAGGTGGTCACTCTCCCCTCAGCCCTATCGCTGGTCTTGCTGCCGACCAGCTTCTGAGTGCTGACATTGTCACACCTGACGGTCGTTTCGTCACTGCTGACGAGAAGCAAAACACTGACCTTTTCTGGGCCATCCGTGGTGGTGGCCCTGCTACATGGGGTGTCGTTGTTTCCATGACTGTCCGAGTCTACCCCAAGATGTCCTTTGCCGGTATGACCTGGAGTGTCAACACCAAGGAGGTTGGTATTTCTGAGGAGGCTCTCTTCAAAGCGCTTGAAGCTTACTGGCGCCGCTTCCCCGAGTACTCCGACAAGAAGAGCTATGGCTATAGTTTCCTCTTCCCTGCTGGCAACGGCAGCTACCTCTGGACTATGAACCCTTGGATGATCCCCAATATCTCAGTCGCAGAGTTCAAGAAGATGGTCCAACCTCTTCTTGATGAGTGGAAGGAGCTCGGCGTCGACCCCAAGCCCGAATTCTTTCAGCACGACAGCTTCTATCCGGCCTGGAAGAAGCACTTCCCTGCAGAAAACGTTGGCAACTACAACGGCCGCTCTGGTTCTCGCCTGATTCCTCGCAAGAACTGGGATGACCCTAAGCTTCTCGACAAGACCATCGAGACTCTCAAGAGCATTCTTTCTGAAGATGGTATCTTGATTATCTATAACATCAACGCTGAGCAGACCAAGGAAACTCCTCCCAATTCTGCTAACCCTGCATGGCGTGACGCCGACATGTTTGTCATTACAGCCCTCAACTGGGACGTCAATGACCCCGAGGAGAAGATTGCCGAGGTAAACAACAAGATCACTTTTGACATTATGGAGCGCCTCAAGGCTGTGACCCCTGGTGGTGGCGGCTACGGCAACGAGGGTGACGTGATGGACCCAGAATTTGGCCAATCTTTCTTTGGGTCCAACTACAAGAAGCTATACCAGCTGAAGCAGAAGATTGACCCATATGGTGTCTTCTATGCTCCCACCGCTGTTGGTAGCGAGGACTGGTACATCACTGGCCAGCCGGCTTATGTGACCAAGCAGACTGGGCGATTGTGTCACAAATAGAACATATAGATTTTATGTACTCCTTGTTTATTGGGCATAAATCAATGAGATATTGTGACTAGAAGCGTTCACTGACATCTGTTCTGCGACCGTTGCAGCATAAGTGTCTCGCGACAAACCAATAACTCAAACGATTCCTACAACATAGACCAAGTATGACTTAAATTTCCTTCTAACAGTGTCCAAAGAATCCAATCAAGTTATTCGAAATCGTATTCGGAACCAGTGGTGATTGATCGTACTGAACTCTGGGTCTTGTGTCAATGAATGTCGTGGAAAAAGATCGACTGATTCGATTTCACTTAGAAACGTTGTAAATAATCTACTCACGATTGATTGTCACAATCTTGTGGGCCTGAGTAACAAAATTGCGGTTTGTGGTTGAGCCTCTCGACAGATATTCAGAATTCTGTACGACGGTGCCGTCAGGAGGTTGCTCGACACTTCATGGCCTTGATTCATCAAGGCTCCTCGGTACATTGGGCGCAACTGATTCATTTATCAAAATAAGCCTATGGCTTCCAGTGACTACTACCTCTCTTCGAGCTATTTATAGCGAGTCCGGATCTCAATTCTCTCTGCATCCATGGAGGAAATCTACCACTTGCAGAAACAAACAAAGCTTAAATCCTAAGTACCTCGATCTATCACATCCCCCCAGGAAGTGCGACCACCAGATACTATGTTCACACAACAGAGAGAACCGGACCACACAATGTGGAAATGCTATGGCAGAACTGTTGATAAAATATGTGATGCAGTAACCGACTACACTGAGTTCGATTGCTCAAAGTGTGGTAAGAGGCGTGCTGTCAACGATGAGGCCCTCAGTAATGGTTCACACGTCATCGGAAGGCTTTTCAGCGTCAGTAGCCAAGGCGTGGAGACGTGGGAGTACTACGAGCCCAGGCCTCAGAAGAAATGATTAAAATGCGCGACACGACTGAGAGGGGTGGAGGGAGAGAGACCAGTTCAAAGACTTCTTTAATAAAAATAATCATTTTTTAGTATTGCTATCAAACAAGAGGAAGCCCCATGAAACTTGTATCTGCGTTTCTCGCACTTAAATCATTAATCCAAGTGCTTGACATCCGCCTTCTCCGTTACTTTAGTCGAGTCCTCGGACTCGTACAAGCCTTCGGGGGCGTCACCAAACACAACAGAGATCTCCTCGAGTGTGCGTCCCTTAGTTTCTGGGTAGAAGAAAAAGATGACGAGACCATATGAAACGAGAAGAACCACATATACAATGTAGTATTTCCAGCCAATTGCCGCCAGTGCAATCGGATTGACAAACACGTTAAAGATAAGGGCGGAAATCATGATCATCCAGAGCGCAGACATACCGCGACTACGCAGCTGGAAGGGCCACAGCTCGAGAGGGTATGCCACTTGGAGCGGAGTACTGTTTGTTTCGTTAGCAACATGACCCAGGTCAGGTATATGAAGGGGATGCTCTTACATCGCAACACCGTAACCGGCATTGAAAAGGAAGATGAATGGAATCATGGTAATTCCAACAGGCTTGGATCCAGTGTTCGCAAAGCTTCCTGACAAAGCAGTGATCAAGATGAAGCTGACCAACATAATTGCACAGGACAGCAAGAGAAGAGGACGTCTTCCCAAGCGTTCAACACACATAGCACCAGTGCATGCGGCGATCAAACTCCAGATCTGAAGACATCCATTGATCAGAGTTTGGTCAGTGACACTGGTGATACCAACTGTGCTGAGGACGGTAGAGAGATAGTAGCTGACAACTCCGTTGCCAACCCATTGGCAGTAGATGGCGAGGGTAAGAGTGATGAAAAATCTTCGACGGTGAGCCTTTGTAGACACGAGGGTCATGTAAGAGGTGGATTTCGTGGCTTGCTTCTCAGACTCGATAGCGGTCGTTATTTCGTGAAGTTCAAAGTTGACAAGAGGCTGGTCTACATCGCCGCCCTATTCAAGCAGATTAGACATGCCACTGATGAATGTTGAGCAGTATGGTAACTCACAGCATGTAACTTGGCCAAGATTCGACGAGCTTCCTCTTCCCGTCCAACAGACACAAGCCATCTAGGGCTTTCCTCAACCATGATCAGGGCCGGAAGTCCGACAAGGGGCAACGCAATCTGGAGAAGAGTAGGGATCCTCCATGCCCAGTCATCGTAGTTTCTTGTGCCGTAAGAAGCCCAAGAAGCGATGATGCCGCCAACGAAGTAATTGCAGTTCATCAAAGCGGAGACAACACTTCGCTGGCTAGGATAGGCAATCTCAGTAATGAGCAGGGGCACTGCGGTCGCGAACATTCCGGTCGGTAGGCCGAGGATGAAACGACCTGCGATCCATTGAGCTCTTGACTGAGCACTCGTTTGGAGACCAACGCCAAGTGCAAGTGGGATGAAGGAAAGGAAGATTGGCATACGACGACCATACTTGTTGGCAAGCCATGAGCTAGGTGGACAAGCAACGATGAAGCCTATGAAGTAAGTACAGTTGATGAAGCCTGACCATTCGCCAGTAGGGTTGCCCATGAAAGTATTCCATTGGGGGAAAGACTGAAGCGAGTTGAGCAGACTACCGTCATATCCGATGGCAGACTCTATTATTCTTGATCAGTAAAATGAGTACACATGATGGTGTATAGTTACGCACGAAAACAGACGAGGCCAAGGATTAACCCATTGAGTTTCGCCAGATGGCTCTGCTTGTACCAGGGTGTAGTCGGGTTTGGCAAAACAGCCATAACACCCCCTAAGGAGGGCCCAGAGCTTTTGTCTACAGCCATAGCTCCAAAATATAAGGTTAGGAGTTAGTGAAATCTTAGTGTCCACGCAAAAGGCAACGGCTCAAAATAAAGTGCGATCAACGTCCATTATAAACTCACAGACGGGACCCAGATTAAATCGCCGCTGTCACCCGAAAGAAGAAGAAAAAAGCAGGCTTAGATCGATACATCGCGGGGTCTCCAGTTTCCAGTTCCCCCAGGTTATGGGATGATATTGAAGGAGCGACAGGGGAGAAAGGGGAACAACTGAGACTCGATGTTACGCAGTTCCACTTAGCTGAACGAAGAGGTCAGGAAAACGACCGTTCGGGATCCTTGGAACCCCGCAAATTATTCTTCTCCATGTTTGCGAATTTGTTTGCCGAAATCCCCTGTCTGCATGTTCAAAGTGGCCTTTCGTGTGTACGAGTCATTAGTATGCAACGCTATGATTCAAGTGATGTCTCTTTTTGAGCCTTTGGTGTCGGTGATCAGAGCCAAGATTCGGTTGAGATTCGGATAATGCCAAGTGAAATAACTTAATTGGTTAAACAAAGTTTCATCATTATTTCAGCAGTTCAACACTGCACCAATTCCCTGGTGAATAACTAACATTGTGCCAAACTGAGCACACGTCTAAACGAAAACTCGTCAATTATCGGTTGATCTCTTGTCCTCTTACTTATAGGTATTTGTATTCTTACCTGTTTGTTTATTCTATCGAACCCTAATAGATCACCATAAGAAGCAATCTTGTGCCTTCACATTCCGCTTCCACGGGCTCGGGAACTTCTTCTAGATCCGTCATGGTTCCCAGGTGTCAAAGTGGAAACTCATCAAATAGCTACGGCCCACGCACGTAAATAAAACGGGCTTCCCGATCTTTTTGGTGCCTGCCGTTACGTCTACCCATCTCTTAGTGCTACCGCTCACACGTTTTCCCCAACCCCAACGAGGAATCCCTTGGTAAACTAGCGCGTCTACCCCGGTCTTGAACAAGAACAAGGCCGTGAATAATGCCGAGAGTGGGTTCAAGTTCCCCAGAAGTTGATCAGATGATCTACACAAGTTGCAAGAAGCAGATGTTCTGACACAGTTACGTGAGCATTTGATCAGCTACTACAGTGTAGAAATAGGACTCTTGCATCCTTTGACGTGCAATCCTGTAAAGTCTGCATTCCTCTGCCTGGTCCTGGGTCTTAACCCGGTATTCTATAGGATCCTACATAGTATTACTTGTTGTACACTCCAATTAATTCCCCGCATTATTGACTCGATCATTCCAAGTTCGGGCATAGAACCATGAGGGGTAAAAGAATAGGCGACTCCAACGGGGTTCAAACTGACTTCGGTGGGCGGAGGATTCCCATGCCACGGAATGATATCAGTGTCTGCGCGGAACCTTTACACTAGGCACTTGAGGATAACCTTAACCGATTGACTAATCTATCTGTAATCCCGAACAGCAGTCGATTATTAGTTGAACAATCGGATATACGGCGATATCCAGCATACTTGGCTAGATATTGCTTAGTATGTGGCCAGGACGTTGCTTGGCAGCTGTGGTCTTGGGGCATCGTCTTGCGTGCGTCTGGTTATCAATTATCTGATGTTTTGTTGTGCCCATCTAATGACTCCGATCTCTTAGATATATGCGATGACCAGTCTCATAAACGTTCGCCTTTCCTATCGATTCGGTTGTCTTGGCATATCGCCATCAAGAGACTGTTCTTAAACAAGGATTATTAAAGGGCCCCGCTCAACATGGGTATACCTTGCACCAACGTGTCGAAGGTTCAACAAGGTTCACAGTGGTAAGTGTCAACGTCAGGCCAAGGTGGTCCCTCTTATGACTTCATCTTTGTTCGCTGTCAATCCTCAAGATACATACTGCATCTAACATCTCAATGTTGCGACTGCTCATAAGTGTCATCAATCAGGAACGATGTCCAGTACTGTTCGGTCTGGTAGGCAAAGCAATCACTCTGCAATTACCATCTATGACAGCCTATCCAAGACTTTATGTTCGAATCGCAGTAAAATAACATCCATCTCCATACGACAGCAGCATTGTACCTCTAACGTTCTTGACATTACTATAGTGCTAATCAATTAACCTTTGTACCGAGAAAGAGACCAAACTCAAACTTATAACTAAGCCTTAACTTATAACCCCTTCACAAGGAATAAAATGTCTTGTCTGTCTGGTTCATTCCTCGCAGAGTCTCTAGCGGTCTGGTATTTCTTCTTCCACCCGACAACACTACCTATAATTAGAAACGTTCACATATCGTTGCTTATAACACCTCTGGTGTACTGTATAGCAGGCTGAGTTTCCGACAACGAGTACCACGAATGGCGAAAGATAGTGATAGTCTCTTCTTGAGATCCGGGGGTATAAGCCGTCGGTACATCGTAGGCGAACAGGTTTGGGTTCAGGACGTCCGGCCAGAAACGTGGATTATCTTTCTTGGCCTGCTTGTACAGCTGCATGATTTGAGCTCGGAGCTGGGTCATGAGTTCCAAGTAATTTTCTTGGGCGACGATGTCTGGTCGTTGGAGGAGTATGTTCTCATAGCCTCTTTCTGCAGGTGATCGTACCTAGCTTCTCCGGACGCGCCGGGGGTCTTCAGTACGAATGCATGAAGGCTGTCCAAGTCTTGCATCAAGCGAATCTTGATGAGTGTCAGGGCTACAGTGAAAGACACATCGCAATAGTGAGTCTTCTCAAAGACAGGCTCGAATGCATCCTGTTCATGCAAATCAAGAAACGGTAGGCTTGCGTCCCCCCAATCATAATCTTCGTCAGGCACAACCGCATACCATTTGATAAAGTCGTACGCCTCTTGATCATTACCAAGCCGTAGGTGGAGGGCAGGGACATGAGACCGAACGCCCTGGTTGTCGCCTCTGCAAAGGCGAACCATGTCGAGTGCATGGTCAAGAGCAGCTTGGACGGCTTCTCCAGTGCGGACATTGAGAATGGCAGACATCAGGTTAAAACGAGCTAACATGTAGGGGGGAGTGCTCTTGAAAACCCAGAATTGGCCTGCTTTGGAGTCAAAAGGGTTTTCGCCATTTGTGTCTTCGTCTGGTTCGGTGCGTAGCTTGGCCTCTTCGGCAGCCAGTTTTTCTCTTTGCTGCTTTATAACAATACATTGAACCTTGTGTCTACGCCAGTCTGCTTTTTGGTGAGGCTTGCCACAGTAATTGATGACATGGCAACCGGCGCACTGGAGCAGGCTGGCACTCTGAAAACCGGCCAGACATCCAGACGGCAAGCTGCAATGGTTATAGGGAAGGCCAAGATTCATACGCGGCATTTTGGCAATTGGAGTATTGTTCAATTGATGATGATATGTTCTTCTGTTCCAAGCAGTAGTTTCCAAGACATGTAAACGTGAATTACAGAATTGATGTGATCAAAAATAAAGTTCCACATATTCTTCAAATGGACAAATTTTCCACCGCCTCTTTCGTCATCACCACATATGCTCTATATCAGGTTATTCCTTATCAATCCGAAGATGTTAACAAACCCGCATACAGGCAGCCTCGTTGCAACTGCTATACCATCACTTATGGAGCTGATGTTTCTCTTATCACCACTCGTATTAAATTTCAGGGGGACTTTCCATGAAAACGATTCTGTCGGGTGCTGAGAGAACGGACACATCCAACATTTCTGCTCTAGCCGGTTCCTCAATAAGTTTTAGGTCTTGCAGAAGAGGTACATACACGAAAGTTTGTCGAGTACCGATGAGCCTTTGCAATACCAAGCCAGGAATACAGCCCCTTCCAATTTGAAACATTCATGATATCTTCTCTGGAAGAGCCGGTTGGCTGTCGAGTCATGGCCGTTTAAAATTGACTTTTTCACGCCAGTGTTACATCTGACTGCTGGTGTGAAAAGGGGCACTCCTTAATTTTCCATGGTCACGCTCTTGTTTATCAGTCTCATTACACCGCACCTTAGCTCGTGCGCCTACTTTTCCTGTTTCTGCAAAAATTTCGAAGCTATTACCAACATTCCTTGAAGACGAGCAGTTTGTCGCAAGATTTTTGAAGGCTGTCCATAATCCTGATTTCGACAGTCGTCATGAGCCTGAGACTAGACGAGTCAAGGTCAGGTGTAACAGTAAGTCGCTTTAGATCTATTCGCTAGCTCGCAGGCACCTGCGTGCGGCAAGGTTCCGATATCTGATGATCAGCATAAATCTAGATTGTTCGTTCGTCGATCTCGGATGTCTTCTCCGGGATTCGGAGCGGTGCTTTAAACGAAAAGGGAAGATCGAACCTCACATTTGGTTAGTCTCTCCCCAATCTTGACATGACACCAGGACACGAGTTGGTCGATTCCCAAAAAGGTGTGGGCTATCCAAGTTTATGAACTAAAACATACTGGCCCCATCAAATTGCAATCAAACACTGCAGTACCGAGATATCCAACGGAGTATACCGTGGGGATCGGCACACTTTGTTTCTAAATTAACATGCTCTTAGCGGGTCGCTAACAACTGGGGAGCATCAGAGCGACCAAAGCTAGAACCCGTTTGGGTAGGCTTGCGAGTTGTTAATTTCTAAAGACAATGGTCAGTGTTTTATCGTTGTAGATCCCTTGACACTTGTTTGTATAAGAGTTCCGTTTCGAAACATGATCGAGGAAACGAGAAAACAAACTATATCATCTTGACAACTTACCAATTACTTTTCACAACCCTCAAAACCAACCCCTACAACATTCACAATGCGTTTCCAGATGATCCCCCTTCTTGCTGTCGCCAGCTGCGTGACTGCAAGCCCCATCGAGCATGAGCCTCGTGCAGCAGGTTGCAGCTCATACACCATCATCAACACCAGGGGAACTGGTGAGGTTCAAGGCCCCTCATCTGGTTTCAGAACCATGAACTCTCGAATCACCTCCCAAGTCTCGGGCGGAAAGATTTACAACACTGTATACCCTGCCGACTTTAGCCAGAACTCGGCATCAGGAACTCGCGACATCGTCAGGAAGGTCAACAGCGTCCTGTCTTCCAACCCCAACGAGTGCTTCATTCTCGAAGGCTACTCTCAGGGTGCTGCCGCTACCGTCAACGCCATGTCACAGCTGACTGGAAGCGCCAAGGATGCTGTCAAGGGCGTCTTCCTCATCGGCAACCCGCTACACAAGAGAGGTCTTGAGTGCAACGTAGACAACAAGGGCGGCGACACTACCAAGAACGTGAGCGGAATCTCGGCATTCGGAGGTGGTGGTATTCCTCAGGACTGGGTCTCGAAGACTCTCGATGTCTGTATTTATGTGAGTAAACTTAACCTTCTCTCTGGATTCTTTTACTGACCTAACCAGGGTGATGGTGTTTGTGATACCACACACGGCTCCGGTATTAATGGGCCTCATCTGCAGTATCCAAGGGATTCGTCCACTCAGAACCTCGGAACTGAGTATGTTGTGAAGCAGCTGACTGGCTCTAACTAGAAGCCTTCATGATGGTTGGATCACGATATTGAATTCAATGTGGCTTGGAGACATAGTTTGAATAACGAGCATAATAAATACATAATTATATCTGATATGGTCCTCCACAAACAAGAGCTTGAAGCACGATTTATCATCGCTTGGACAGATTCCTAAAAGGGGTTAAACCGTTGAGTTACCAATGACTGGAGACAGCCGCTTGCTCTCATGAATCAAGAATGATCATGCAAACTATTAAAATACGAGTCATTTTTTTGTATTTGTGCTGGATATAAGCCAGAGAACCACCTTGGTTCAATATGAGTGGCCAAAAATTGAAACGTTCCCGATGGCAATGTACCCCCGAAGATCAGATACCTCCTATTTCTAATCTACCAAGCTAAAGGCGTTACCCACTTACACAGCTACCAGAGAATCGACGCGTTATTATTGGCTATACTACTTCCTTTTCTAGTCTTGCCGCAATCAGTCTAGTGCCTGTGTCACGATTCCTTACGGTAGGTTTCATGGCCCCGATCCCGACTGGCTTTCCAAGTTATTTGACTACACTTCAAACCCTCACAAAACAACTTCAATGCTCCAGTCAAAATGTCCTCCATCAATTTCTCTCCAGACACCGACATCCCCAGTCTCAATGGCAAGGTTATCCTCATCACTGGAGGAAACTCTGGCCTGGGTCTGGAAAGCACCCGACAACTCCTGAAACACGACCCTGCCAAGATTTTCCTTGCATGTCGCTCCAAAGCAAAATTCGATCAAGCCATCGCCGAGCTGCAAGAGCAAGGCTCAAATACAGATGCTGTGTATTTTCTTTCCCTGAATCTTGCCTCACTTGAAAGCATTAAATCTGCTGTCAAAGAATTCCAGCAACAGTCCACTCGCCTTGACATTCTCCTCAACAATGCCGGTATTATGATGACACCCGAAGGCCTCACTGAGGAAGGATATGAGGTTCAAATTGGTACAAACCATATGGGTCACGCTTTCCTCACTCATCTTTTCCTTCCTCTGCTCGAGGAGACTACTAAGCTCAACCCTGATGTGAGGGTTGTCTTCCTCGCCTCGATGGGTGAAGCCATGTCTCCTAAGAACCCTTACCAATTCGAGCAGTTCAAGACTACCATGCCCAACCTATCAAGCTCATCCCGCTACTCTATCTCGAAGCTCGCCAACGTCCATTACGCTGCGGCCCTTGCCGAACGACATCCCAACTTGAAGATTATCAGCGTTCATCCAGGAATTGTACAGACAAACCTGACTGGTCCAGCCATCAGTAACAGCCTCATTGTGGGAACACTCACTCGCTTATTCTTCAGCTTGGTTGGTGTCAACTCAAGCAAAGGCGCGTTGAATCAGCTATGGGCTCTCTCTGATCCTAAAGCTGAGAGTGGCGTCTTCTATCACCCTGTTGGCGTTACGGGTAAAGGAAGCAAGTTGAGCCAAGACAAGGACGCTCGAGAAAGCCTTTGGGATTGGACACAGAAGGAAATCAAACAACACCTCTCTTAATGGCATTCTCTGTTTGGGGTCGGTTTACTACATTGGAGTTGGAAGTTGCATTAATGGAGTAGTCTAATTGAAGTTAGTGTTGTTTTTTTGACTTGCGAATGTTTATTAGATAGTACGATATCAGTTTATTTCCTTGTGATTTCTCTTCTGCAATAATTTCCTCTCCTATTTCCCTCGGCACGTCTCAAGGACGTGGAATCACGCCGACCAGCCAGGCTTGAGGTCAATAAATGAAGCATGTCCAACGCGTCTAAGCAAAGTGAAGCGTAGTGGCGAAGCATGGGTACATGAATACCACATTACTCAACAACGACTAGTCTGAGAATTCAGGGGATGAAGTCAAAGACGAACAAAGAATCGATAATAATGCCCTGCTATGAAGGACGGAACAACGAGCTACTAGGATAGCCTTATGACGGATCATAAAGCCACAGTAATTTCCACGTAAAACAACACAAAGTAATTTCTTTTCTAGTGCCTTGGCTGTATTTGTTCTCCAAATGCGTGGCTTAGTCGAACATGAAAGTCGACGATCCTACAATGATGTTGGCCCTGGCCATGACTTAATCACAAGTTCAGACCCAAAACCCAAAATAATATATCGTGAAATAATCTTAAAAGCACCCATGATACAAAGGTTCGTTCAATCTTTACCATACAAGCAAGAACGTGATGGTGTCTGATACCTTTGTTAATGGAGTAGACATGTGCCGGGCAGAAGACATTCAAAGCCATTGCAATCTCTATAAAGTCTGAACATTATACTCTTCAGGCTTCAAGATCGAGTTCACTTATCAACTCAGAATCGCAGACTTCAAACTCGTACTGAATCAACCATACTACACTTTCCAACTTCAACATTCGCCAGAACATCGTCATCATGGCTAATCGCAGTAAGTCAGTCGAACTTCCATCATCGATCATACTAACATCATATCAGGTCACATTTCCTTCTTCTATGAGCCTGTTCAGGGTATTTTCCCAGCCTTCCACCATCCATGACTTCACGCTGACAATATTAGAACCACGCCCTTACATGCCCTACAGCGGTGTCAATGACAACGATGTCGAGATAACCTCACATTACATTAATCGCGTTGACCACATTGTTTACATGTGGGTAACTTGGTGTAATGGCTCGCGGGGGATGCGGTGCAGTGAGTACGACGTCCAGACCGTGAAACCCAACAAGGTTTACGAATACTGGCGCAAACTCGGCGGACGTTGTTCCACCACCGAACTTTCGATGTACCACGTCTTCGACATCATTGGCGAATGTGGGAGGAGCTATCATGTTCAATGGATCGGGTATGATGAAGATGAGGCGACATGGGAGAGCAAGGCCAAGGTCAAACGGATTTGTCCTCGTGCTGTACTTGACTGGCAGCAACAGGCTGTAAGCACCTTAGCAAAGGTGAACTAGAATACCACTGACATCTCCTAGGCACAATAGGCCCGAAATTAAGTGTACCACTCCTCGTTCGCAGGGGAGTTATTGGCAGATGGAAAAGGGCATAATTCTGCAGCAGGGTTGATCTAAGAAGACGGAGCATACACGGTATGGCAGGCAGGCGTTCTATTGTTTGTTCGATATCACATATAGAGGTCATTGGGAAATTATCTGGTTTTTTCTTGGTATTTACTTGTCCAATCTTCCGCGCATCATATGAGGCTCAATCCTAGACTATAAATTGCAGTTAAGCTTGCTTGTCTGGCAGATGTCGATGTAGCTTTTGAAGACTACTATAAACCTCCCTTCTTGTGAAACGTGCACTGATGAGACGGTTTCATTCTGACTTGTGCGTCACAGCCCGGCTTTTCAGATGTATTAGTTATCTCCAAATATCCTCCTTGGATACGAGATGCTTCAATGTGTGACATAAGCTCAGATTTTGGGCGCCGCAGTAAATCCCCTGCCACTCAAACGATCAATCCATTGTACTTATGACCCTAAAGAACAGCGCGAATGCAACTATTCCAATCGAACCTTGGAATCCCTTACCCTCTTCCCAAGTTCAGTGACACTCTCAGAAGTTCCCCGGATTAGACCTTCATCTGGGTCGTGCTGACAAGCCAGAAGTACCAGCGCCGAAGACTTCCAAAGAGGCATCTTTTGCTTTCTGGCACTACTGAATATCGTGGCGACAGCAAACAACAGTGAAGCCAGTTCTACAAGCCCTGGTCCAACTAACCAATACCAGTGCACAGCAACAAATATCTCCGTGTCAATTCTAACCCCTGTTTCCAATTGCATGTTTGGCCCAGATCATATGTAATCCGTCATACTGCTCGCCATGTTGTCGAAGGCGCGGGACAGGTTCACCTTATCACCAAGTACGGCGCTCAATCCATGTTTTAGGCTGTCAGTCTCCTTCCACAAACTCCAGCTGGAAAGTCGGCGGCTGTAGAAGATCTTTTAAGGCCCGTTCATCAACCCCGTCAAAGTACAAGTCAGGTATACCGGCTTTGACAGGAGAGCTGACAAGGCGAGGTATCTGAGGGCTTTGAGATCGAGCCGCCCACTCAAGATCGACGACATGGATGTTGCCGAAAGAAAAGACGCTGCCATTTGCCCTAGCGTCTGTGTATTTATAAGCAACGTAACTAAGAGTACATTCCGTAATGTCGTTATCCAAAGGCAAATAGCCCTCATCTCGCCCTGACAGTATCTCGAGACCCCATCTGTGCTGGGAGAAGATTCCATGATGGGCAGATTCTTCGGTCACGGGAGGTTTTTGGGTTAATGTAGGCTCTGTCGATTCAATTTTGGTATTGTGCACTGGTGCTAGCTCGTACGAGTGTGACGGTGGCTTCGATTGAGTTAGTGGCATGATTCGGGCGAGTCTGTTCACAATGATATACTTGTTTGAGTGTGTGATAGATAATATGATAGGCCACAAGCACCAATTATATACTTGCTATGTGTTTATTAAGCCGCAGTACGTTGCAGTAGTTGGTATAAGCATGATTTAATAGTAGAAGGGTTATGCAGGTGGCTGGAACACCTACTGCTGGTCGAGCTTGGCAATCAGGCTGCACGATAATTGTGTGCTTTATGCCTATAAGCATTGAAGGACAAGCTGACTTCAATGAAGTCCAGGTCCTAACTAGAAAGAGGCAGGAAAGTTATTGATCTAAGTCTCCTTTATAATTCTTACTATATAATTAAGAGAATATATCTGCCTATCCGTCAAATACAAAGACTGATGAGTTAAGTGCCGGCGAGGGCCGCTTAGTCGTACAAGGCTGTGTAGCTACACGAGCGGTACTTCTTATCTTGTAATCCGCCATGAATCACACTGGGCGAATCATGCATCATACTCAGACAAGAGAGCTGAACGTGTCTAGGGCCTTGGCAGCTTGTGTCCTACACCCAGGTGCATTGGAGAGAACCGCTTTATGTGTTCACTTCTCTGTATGCGGGTAGGCGCTGAGGCTGAGAGCAATCGTGCACGAGCGTGTAAAGCTTATGGTAGAGTTCTATATATATAAATATATTTGATGGTTCATTAGAGGTCCTCTCTCCAGCCAAGAAGTGCTCGCCGAAAATTACTTCTCAGATGAGCTTGATCACCTCTCGGCCTATCGCAATTCGATCAAAATTCGGACACGGCGTGTGTCGAGACAGATTCGTGTCTCTAGTCAGCAAAAGACTGCTCGTCTATGTGTGCGGTCACCTTGGAAGAGGGACGAGAGTTCTCGTTTGGCTTCTTTGACTACGAATGCACAAACATTTGGGGCATACCTTCTTCAGCGGAGGCAATGGGAGCGCCTCGGCAATTGGGAGGTTCTGTAACTTCAATGTATGGAGAGCTAGTGGAAGATCGATGCAGATAAGATCCGATGTATCATGCTGATGGTGGTATCGGCGCTACATTTTTAATTACGGTGGCCAATGCAGTTGGTGATTTGCGAATGCAGTATGCATTTATCGAGAGAAGGGTGTCTTCAAGGGTAGCAATCAGGATTACCTCGGGTGGAAACAGAAGTAATAGAGGGTACGGCCTATGTCGAGTGCATTGTGTTCATGGATCGAGTAGCTTCTTTTTAAGGCGTTCTAATGACCGTCCAAATCATAGCGCATTCTTGTATCTCAAGTGACTGGACAATATTTGAGTTGAGAAGTAGGAGAAGTCACCTTCGTTACCGGATTCGACCGATGGCAAGCTTGCTTCATGTGCATGCGCAAATGCTCGATCAGCAGTGCCGGTGTTCAATCGCGTTGCAGTCCGGCTACCACCAAAACTGCTCGGTAGGAGTATCATTTCTCGATACGTGTCACGGTGAGACCGGCAGGGGGCAAGCTGAACACAGCAGCAGTATAGAGGGTCGATCGGCGTCGCGTGGGTGGGAGAGACGTTGCCAGACTCTATAGAGCCACGGCAATCACTGGTAGAGAGATCCCCCGTACTTGTAGAGTGGAAGGCCGTGTATTCGTGGCATCGCGCATGTCAAGCCGGCCATCGTGCATGAAAGGGTGAGAATATCGCAGGAACTCGGGGTCGTCAAAGTGGACAGGCCATGTTAGATTGCTCAGGTATCTCCCCACTCAGTTGTCTTTGTTGCCGTTAAATCGGGCGCGTTGTTGTCTACAACAAAGCAACGAGCGCATGGTTGGGCCACAATTACCAGTGAGCAGCGTTCGTGTGGCAGGGATATCCGAATCCTTCTCGTGCAGACTTAAGTCGGGGCGTTTCGCCTGTCAGCCTGTAACTCATGGCGTCTTGACGGCCGTTTTCCCTTTTGAATGGGCTCGTAGAAGGGTATATTATAGATCGTTTGTGTTGCGTTGGCGTATACGGAGGGTGGGCAATCAGTGCTGGCAGCGAACAGAAGTCGGATCGATGGTCGAGAGGACGGAGAAGCAGGTCATGTCGAGTAAGAAATCGGGTGCGCGATTGTTGTTTGCAAGAGCACTAGACAGTGACATCAAGTGCGAGACTATGCGAGACAGCGAGACATCAAGACGGGTCTGGATGCACAGACGAAGGTTGGAGGAGTCGAGGTGTGTTTAGGAAGAAGTGTTAGAGACATCAACAAACGAGAGTGACAACGCCATGCCTCGCCAATGGCAAACTCACGATAAGAGATAAGGGTACTGGTCTTTTGGGATGCAGAGTATGCAGAGTACTAGAATCTACGCCTTCGATTACGACGAGACATTAAGGTGCACGCGCGAATATTGTTCCTTGCAAATAAATGCATTTTGTCTTTGTTCGTGTATTATGGGATGTCTGTGGGTATATGTATAGGTAATATGTATATATGGTACATGTGTTCATGTGTTCATCAATCATGAAAACTATTCGGTTCACGAACAAGGCTTCCATTTGTGCGTGTATGAGCCTCGTCCCTGTCAAAGGGCATCGTCAGATTATGTGATCTTTGGAACACCCGTGAGCCGTGAGCCGTGAGCCGTGAGCCACCATCAGTCAGCCGGCGGCATATCGAAAGACAGACTTGCTCCCCTTATATGCTCAAGCACCTTGTATTTAACACGATCTACCAGTCTGTCCTGGTCAACGTCCTCTCTCACGAACTTGACATTCTCCGCCAAATCCTGTATCTCGGACCTCGCATCAAGGATTTTGATATCCATCTCCTCGCCCAACTCATCGCCCTTGATCTCCGTCCTCGTTTCCAGCGCGTCAAACTCTTCTTTCAGGTCTTTGTGGCGCTTTTCAGAAGCAATGACTTGCTTTCGTAAATCATCTACCTCTTCCCTAAGATCTAGGTTTTCTTCTCGAAGGGCTTTGATCTCCGCCCCGTATCGGGCTTGCATTGTCTCCAACTGGGCCCATATCAAAGCGATATCTTCGTCGCGTTCGTCTCGAAGATCATCCTTGAGGCGTCGCCGCTTCCGCGATTCGAAAATGGGGGCATGGGGAGGTGGAGGTTCCGTCTGATCGTAGGACGGCGGTGGTAGCTCTTGATGGGGATCGTCTGCATGAGGGGCGGGCAATGTGACGATTTTGGCGCCCGTGCCGCTAAACATGCTGACAAGATCATCTTGAACAACGAGCGAGACACCGCTGCCGACAGCATCGCAGACGGGTTGGAGTTGCGCCGTTAATGTGCCTGAGTCTTTGATATAGATTGAAAGTACGGTAATGTTTGCAAGTTCGTGGATCGCGTCTAGGACTGTCCCTGATTGTGCGCGCAGAGGAGCCAGCGGCTCGTGAGCTTCTGCTGAAACGAGGACTTCGGGGTGTCTATTGAGGCGGAAGTCGAGACAAAGGGTACTGGAGTGGAATTTGTCCCGCACAGCACTAGGAATTGTAGGATTTGGTATGATTTCAAATGAAGAGATGAATGAAGGAGATATTCTGAGGATCAAAGTCGTGCCGGTCTTCATTCCCTTGATTCTGATGGGTATATTTAACTGAAAGAATGTTGCTATGCTATCGAAGCGCGTCGTAAAGGTGATGTCCCTGATTTGGGGATCAGGTTCGGCCAAGAAGCGTGTCGCATCGTTCCAACACCAAGCAGCAACCGCAGAATTTGTTGTGTTCACATCGAGATTCGATAGCGTCGCCATTTTCGATTGGTTCTACGGTCAGCTTCAAAATCTGCAACAGCACGTACCTTGATCAAGTTCGATACCGCAAACCGCCGAATCAACGATTCCTGACAAAGAACCTTACCCTCCGTCTCCAGAACTGAGCTGCAAGACTGAGAGTGAGGTTTTCTTCTTTTACGGCCGAAAGACCAACAGGTTTTGGCCAAGAGAAGTCAGCTTCGCTGCCGGGCAACTATTCGAGCTCCAGAACTGAGCTGCAAGACTCGAACAGTCCCCTCTACAGACCCCGCTCGTTCCAGCAAAGGAGTAGGTCGCCAAAAGACGCTCGTTTGAAGGGTGCGAAACGGAATTTATGATGGCCTGTAGCGCGATTCACCGACTGCTCTTGGGACGCGTTTCGGAGGAGGCGGTTCGGCTCGTGAGGAGGGTAAAAGGGCATCTAAAGGTCGCTTCATGAATATGTACAAATTAAGGAAGAGGAGCCTCGATAGTCGAGATGCAGGTCGTAGGGAGAGGACATGGCGAAGAAGAGATCTGTGGTAAGGTGCGTGAACGATTGCGTTAGGCAGGGTGACCGAGATGAAGAGGCTGGATGTGGGGCGGAAGAGGAGTTACTCCGCTCGGAAGAATAAGTGGGTTTTGAGCTCTCGACCAATAGAAAGCACGACGAGCTCCCTCTCTTTAGCTGGCGCTTGTTGGGTCAAGAAAGCAAGGTCATCTGTCTTGGGGCGTCGGAGAACTGGGCCGTTATGTAAAAGTATAGAAGACAAAATTAATGGGTAGGCTCATGGTATTTTGAAGCGGAGTTTGAACTATTTATTTTTGCACCCTTGAGCTTGTTAACAACTCAGTGCTGAAACTGTCCTGGTTCTGAGGCTCTATCATAACTCGATCTAACTTGGGCACGGAACCAGTACTAATTTAATTGTTTATTCTCAGACTCACTCTTTCATACTAAACGTTGTGTCGAGATTGCATTCAAGAAATGAATGGATCACAAATTGAGAGTACTCAAAATTATCGTTGTTAAGTTTTCGGTGTACTGTTTCTATACCTCCATAATCCCCCCGAGAAAAGGTCAATCGTAAAAACGAAAGTGAATGAGTAGCTTTTTTTTCCCTATTAAAAACAACACTTTAAACTACCACATTATGTCAATATTGCCTTCTCTTCAGATGCATTATGGATGTTGATTCATCGTTCGCTTGCCATACAGGGTAACAGAACACGCTAAAAACGTGGATGGCGCTTCGAAATTAGCAGCAGACCAGCTACAGTTTCGTTTGCTACGGAGAAAATATTGTACATTCGAGCAAAAAGTCTTTGATGATGTTGAAAATGAATTTTGACTTTCAATCGCGGTTTATTGTTAACTGGGAGGTCAGCACGAGGGACTACTGAATACTCATTTGGACTTGGTATTGGCCTCGCATTCCTGAATCATTCATTTGACGCGATGACGTGCCAACCCGCCTAGAGTCTCTCCGTTGGCCCCAGCTTACTGATCGGTGCTCTTCGCTTGCTGCTTCTACCTACGAAACAAACATATTTTGCGGGATCAAATAGATGCAATTGCTACAACGCGTCCTGCCTCAATACCGACAAACGAAATATCGACAAACGATGGAGTGAACTCCAATGACCCAGCCCACAAATCCTTCCTAAGCTCTGCGCATACAAAACGACTCGGAGCGAGGCGACAAGACACGAATCCACTGGTAATGCGACAGCTCCGAGCTGAGGTTACAGACATTGAGCTTTGGTCTCTCGTTAGCGATGCCTCTGCAACCTATGTGCCCTCCCTTTGGTCAAGACACTCCGTCTCCTCCGCGCCTCCGCCTTGCACCATATCACCCTCGAATAGTCTAACAGCTGCGACTCGAGCTCAACCGCTACAACATGGAAGCTACATCTGCTACGGCGGGGCCTGACCCTCGGGACATCGTCTAAAATTGCATCCATCACTCGGACTCGCGCGCCCGCCCATACGATCAATACTCACGAGCGAACCGCACATTCGATCCTTAAAGCACTGCAGACACGAAGTAGAACAAGACTTTCTCAAGATGATAGTATCGTTATTGAAATTGCTCAGCATACGCAGGCCCCACGTTTGCACCGAATTCACGATCAAAGGCATTCGACACCCACGATCGCCAACAATGCGAGGGAAACCGCGCTCGCAGCGATGGTATGAGGTTGCAACATAAGCAATGGAAAACGATGGAATGCTGGCGGTATACTCAAGCTCCCAGTATTACTCGCGAATACTTGGACAATGTGGGAGGTCGCATGCGCCATTTGGCCAGCGACCTCGCAGTAGTGCTCGTTGCCTGTATTAGCAGCCGACCGTGCCGTCACTCGACGCCTTGAAGCTCTCTTGACACTGCTGGACCTCATCACTCCCTTCTCAGGGTGTGCCCGAATCTTTCTCACAAACGCTTTTGCCATCAACCTGACCATCACCGATCAACTGTTGCGTCAGGCAGTGACCCCGCCCAAGCTGTACAATCTGTAGGCCTCTCACCTTCTCCCGTTACTGCTGCCGCGGTCCACTTTCATTGCATGTTTATGTCTTGTCCAACGGCGCTTTCGGGTGCTGGTTCCCATGCGAACAGTGTTTGTTCTGGCCTCTGCAGTAAAATATTTCGTAGCCATGCCTTGCCCTGTAGGACTCGAGACTCGAGACTACTTCGAGTCGCATCACCAAATTTGCTCAATCGCGTCTTGAGGAATCCGATCACAAGACGAGCTCTTACGGGCTATTATCCACCACCCCTTAATAGTAGTCCCATTTTACATTCAGCTGCCCATGGATCTGACTGGAGTTTCCTGCATTTGGGCTGGCTTGCGAATGGCCATGGTGAGTAAAGAAACAAGATGAATCGCACAGACCGCTTCACACGCCCGAGAGTCCCAGTTTTGGGCTTTGACAACTGCGCTTTCCAAGCTGCAGCCCAATTATCATGTCCTGTACTGCCGATCATGGCCAATTTCCTGTCTGTCAAGACGGAGTGTAAAAGTGAGGCCAGATCAAGCTATGCAGAAACAGCGCGTCAATAGATAAGTTGGACAGGAGCGGGGCATATTGCGGTGTATATAGTCGTGCCTATGTAGCAATTACGAACCTGTTCCGTTTCCAGCACCCCTATTCTGATTCCCCTACATCGCCAACATGTTGACCGAAAGCAACAAACTAGACGATACCTGCACATACACCATTGGCTTGACAAACTATGTAAGTTTTGCAAAGTCTTAGAGCTTGACGATGCTTCATATGGCGGAGAGACCAAGAAGCAGGAGAATGGATCGCCTTTTGTTGATTTTGGTGAGGTTGTAGAAACCAAACAGGATTGAATAGCGACATCTGGATCGAGAGTGACCACGGCGATCAAGCCTTGGAGCTACGTGATGCCAAATCATGATGTGGATGCCCCAAAGACCGTTGCAAAGACGGAACTGGGACTTTCATACTCAAGGAACGATGAGCTTCCTGACCTACTGGCGCTTGGCGATACAGCATCAGCTGGACGTATGTTTTGCAAGGTCCTCTGTAGTGATCTGAGGACCACGTGGGACACGATAAAGGAGAATTGGGAAAACGAGAGGGAAGAAGAAAAGGTAAAGAGGATGAGCAGAAAGAAGAAATAGAGGAAGATACGAAGGAACAAGAAGAAGGAGATGCCACTGATGTTGAGGATAGTGAGGGTGATGATGATGTTGATGATGATGATACGGATGCCGAGGAGAACAAGGAAGAGGAAGCAATCGTTGAGACCTTGGACAAAAAGACAGAGGGAATTGGCGAAGAAAAAGGAGAGAGGAGAGGAAAGAAGACGAGGCAAAGACCGAGGCTGCTGAGCAATTCCGATCTCCAGCTGTGGCCCCAGAGGTACTACCCAGAAAAGCAGAATTGGTCACCACCGAGATTACCTACAAGCTCTAAGAGTATGGAGCGAATGATGATCGCCCCCAAAGAACATGGTTGGATGCGCTGCACATTTCTTCACAGTTGACTACCAGGGAAAGAAGAGGAGATACTCCATTCATTTCAATATGTACGCGGAAGAATCTGGTGAGTCAAACCTTTAATGACGCTGCATCCTTAGAAACTAACGTGTCATAAGATCCATGCACTTCTTGGCTCGAGATTAAAAGGTGGCCCATCATAAGCGATACATTATCTCTGGCATCTTTGAGAAGAATGAATGAACTCATTCGACTTCCAGAAGAAGAACAGCCGGTGAAAGTTGTCAAAAAACCCTTCTTACCAACTCGTCTACTTGATGTGCAGGCATCTTGTCCATCGGGCTTGCGTCTGGTTATCACCAAAACGGATTCCGATGTTTGTATGCTTAACGCTTCACTGAGACGATACGCAGCGTTGAGTTACTGCTGGGGCTCGGGGAACGCAGCGCTGAAACAACTCATGACAACCAAGGACGTGTTGCAGAAGCATCTTGATGAGATTCATATGGAGAACGTTCCCTTGACAATTGCAGACTCGATCCGAGTTTGCAGGGCGCTTGACGTACGATACCTCTGGGTCGATGCTTTGTGTATCCTTCTAGGAGACCGTGATGATTGGCCAAACGAGTCGTTCCAGATGTCCAGCATCTATGGGAACAGCTATCTTACACTATATGTTGTGTGATGTGATTCGTGTTCCAGCGGTTTCCTTCACAAGGACTATAGCACGCCCAATGTGAGAGTCAAGTTCCAGTCGAAGCTTCACAACTCAGTCTCGGGCAATATCACTCTTCGAATGCTTCATCCACCTTCAGTAACAGTTCGGAGGTGCACGAAACAAGTCGAGAAATACGGCCGTGCTGATGATTCCGCCGGTAACTCGGACATCAACGAAGCCCTGTGGAGCACGCGAGGCTGGACATTCCAGGAGGATCAACTAGCCCGCGGAAGGTGTTCCACGGTAATCTGATGTTCCACGTCAATCGTGGGTCGCAACTTGAAGCAGCTGATGGCTCAACAGTGCGGAGCTTTCGTTTTGTCGAGACAATGGATTCTTCTGGAACTAGGGCTCGAGACCTGGTATACGATGATCGAGAACAACTCCGAAAAAAACCTTTCCTATGAAAACGACAAGTTCCCAGCCATCGCAGCTCTGATCAGGTCTTTCAGCGAAAAGTTTAAGAACCAGGCGTATCTAGCAGGCCTGTGGGAGTCAGACATTCACAAAGGCCTTATTTGGACCTGCACCTCGGCATGGAAGGAGTTCGACGACTTCCAAAGGCTTTTGTCGAAGGAACATACAGTACCATCTTGGAGCTGGGCTCATCGTCCTCTGCTGGTAAATTGGATCCTGAACCATGACAAAAGGCCCAAATCGGAGCTTATAGTCCGTGGCTCCGAAATTGTCGCTCTAGATAAGCATAACGATTCTAGCTGCATTTCAGAAGGCCGTCTACTCCTAAAAGCACGAATATTCAAACCGCCAACAAGACGAAATGGAAAGATCAGGATCAAGCACTCATACAACTTGTGGAGGGACATGAACTTACCATCGTTTAACTATATTCTCTGGTCCAAAAGTAACAAGTACATGGTCAAGATTCGCTTCGACTGGAATAGTCAATCTTGCTTTAATGATGAGGGTTAACCCTGTGGTCCAATGAACGATATATCCCTGATCCTCACTGCCAGAATCTTCCCAGGCGATGATATGTTGCTGAAGAGTCATGATTTTGCGGATGACCAGGAATTGTTGCTTGGAATTGTAGTTTGGCCCTCACCTAAAGAAGAGGGAGCATACGAGAAGATAGGCGTTTTCTTTACAGAGGACAGGGGAAAGGATGGAAGAAAGTTCTGGCAGGATGTTCCGATGCAGGATCTGGTGCTTGTGTAGGCATTCAGTTTGGCCTGAGTCTCGTGTGTGAGGAGATGAGAAGTTCGAAGCATATGGTTATTTGTGGTATTTAACGCTAGTATTCTTGCTCAATGACACTCGTTGAATGCCTCACAAGTAACACTGGTGAGGACAACTGACGTAGCTTGGCTAGCGTGCATGCTAAATAGACTGCACCAAAGTCTGCAGCTTGACTTGTACATCAAAACCCAACCACGGAGAGCATGTAAAACTATTCATGACATCCCATTCTGAGCCCAGTGACGTCAAAAGTTACCTCTGCCTTAAACTTCGTAGTGTCTTGATCATCGAGAAGACGTCTTGGAAGAGATCGTCGACGCCAAGAGCATCTGCGCTGGGTAGCCCATGGTTGAGACCAAGTGCATTGATTTCTTCACTGCAAATTTAACACTCTCCAAGCTTCCGAGGCAGACTGGCAAGCAGCGTTGTTTGCCCCATGATATGCCCGAAACCGAGAAGCTATTCCTGTTTCCGACTAGCCGAACAACTATTCTACTAGGACATAGATCACGATGCTACAAATATCTGCAACAAAAACAGCTTGGTACTGTGGTCTAGTTGGTTATGACATCTCGTTAACACCGAGAAGGTCCCCGGTTCGAGCCCGGGCAGAACCTCATCTTTTGCGTGTTGCACCATATCTCTTTTTTGTTCATGGAAGTGAAATGTAACCAAAGTCTTTATGCAACGCACGTTTGCCACCAGGGTAATCCTTCCTAATACACTGGGGCCTCTTTTATCTCTTTCTTTTTTTCATGACTGTCATCTCATCGTCTTTAGGTCTTGTAGCAAATACACTACTTGAGCTTGAGATGAGGGTATTGCGGTCTTTGGAAAGCGGCGTGCAATGTCTCGTACAGCACCTGTTGATCAAGAAAAAAAATCCATACCGTTCCTCAAGAAGAGCTATCTGAATCGTCTAATCGTAACTACTACAGTATACTTCTCAATGACGCAAACGATAGCTCTAAGTGACATATCATTTTAAGCCGTGTTTATGTGTAACTTGGGAGATTGACAAAAGGCAAACATGTGATCCATCAACAACGGCATGGCCATGTTAATAATGAGAGAAAGGAAGCAAAGAAGGTTGAGGGTGAAAATCGATGCATAGGCGTCACCTCACACGCTTCATTCATTCTTTCAGAATGACACTGGTAAAAGACAAGGAGAAGAATAAGAAAAAGGGAAGAAATTGGTAATATGATTTATCAATTCCGCTCTTTTTGTTCGTGCTGTCTGCAAGGATCAACTCTGCACCATGAAAGGACCCCTGAACACCAGCCTCTTTGTACAACACCAGCTGCGACGTAATTTCTGCCACTCAGGGGCAATCTCATCGTCATCTTCAACTTTGTCATTTAGTCTTGCTTAGTCTCGAAAATTAAAAGGCTTCATTCTGCAGAGAACTGCGCAATCGGAGAGCAGGCAAAGATAGACCTTTCCTTCAAAGACCTGTTTGTGCGTATTCAGCTGCCTGGACCTATGTCTGTAGTGATGAATGACGGAGATGACGAACAAAGGCCGGGCATAAGACATGCACACCTTCTGCTTAGCTGTGGCGAGACATAAGATGCAGTATCTCTCTACCAACATGGTATGCTTCTTCCTCTCACTGCCGTGTTCATCTCTCGACTACGAACCTTACACTGAATCACATTATATCAGCAACCGCACCATCGTTATCGTCACAAGCATGTGTACGTCGTATGATCCCCGTATCTACGACGTCCTCTCGTGCTGGTCGTTTGACCCTGCGAAGGATGGTAAGTGAAACGTACCTGCTTCTCTGAGATTTAGTCACTAACCAGCATACAGTTCCGACTTCTTCTTCTCCGCAACACCAACCCCTGATTTCGGGAGCAACAGCATTGCCCGGCGATTTGTCACAGCACTCCGAGGGGATCGAGACTGGAAATAATCACACCTACCGTCGATATTCATCTGTTGTAAATGGGTTGCCTATCTTTGACAACAATTGTCCCGACGAAAATGCTAGAACAATACTGTCTAGCTCAAATCCTAATAAACCTCCTACCACCGATCAAGTAACTTCCTACAACGCATCTTCCCTGGGTTGGCCTTCTCCCCCCGTCACCCTCGAAGTCTTTCGTGTAATCGGCTATCGCACAATTTTTGGTCGAGGATACGATGAGAAGAATGAGTTCTGGGTCAATTGGAAGGGATACCCTGCATCTGAAGGCACCTGGATGAAGGAAAGCCTCGTTCGACGAATTGCGCCCCTACAAGTTGCGGAGTTCAATCGTGAACGACGCTTGTCTTGCCATAGGGGTCTCTATGGAGAGATATTCACGAGAAAGCACGCGCCATGTTGCGATGGCAATGATACAAATTTGTGTAAAGGGTGTATAGTTTGTGGAAGAGGGTGTCACTAAATCTGATGGGGAGGGTTAGTTGCTTGATGGACTTGGTGGCACGTCTTTGAGCCAACGGCAGCGCATTCCTTTATAACTTCAATTGAAGATATCTTTCATTCGACATGAGCCTTGTGACTGCGGCTGTTGACAAAGAACTGCGCCCGAATTTGGGCCATGGCTGCCTTGCTTTTGCCATTCTTCGTTATAGTTGACTGAGATGATGAAATATTTATGAGTTAAGGAGTGGAAATCCCGACCTTATCTATTTAAAAGTACACAACACAAATGTCCCATTGCCCTCAAAGACGGTTCCTCGCACCATCTGGTGTTCTAATGCAAAAACTTTTCTTGCATATATGCGAACACGCTGACAAGAAACGTCAACCCAATGTTGATTATTCCAAATTTTAGCCAACACCCTATCAAACTTGATCAGGCCGCGTGGCCTAATGGCTAAGGCGCTAGATTTCGGTCTCCAGCATCTGATTCTCTAGAGATTCCAGGTTCGACTCCTGGCGTGGTCGATTGACACAGCTGAACTATTCTTTTTGCTGCCTCACAACAATATCAATCGCCTAGAGAAAACTCAATTACTGTGGTGGCATCGTGGGATCTCCGCCTTCTCTCAGTGAACTCTAGATACGCTAGTCTGGCTGATGGTAATAGTCGTCGAGAAAGTGTCATGTAGTGCTTTTGTTGTAATAGTTTACTCAGATATTAGCTAAAACCTTTGTGGACGTCTCAGCAAGTTCTTGTTGTCATTGTGAAGATTGCAGTCTGGTTTGTATCTTCTTGACCGGTAACTCCCGTTTGTCATGGGAATCATGAAGTGACACGCTCCTTGCCAAGTAAAAGGGATACTAGAACAAACAAAAATAAACAGAATTGTGCTTCTGTAACAGTGTTTCATTTACCGTTACACCTCATAAGGGCCACAGCGCTATATACTTAATGCACTGGAGTCAGAAATTTGAGCCTTGAAACCTCAAAACCCAAGATGGCGATCATAAGCTACGTCGCTTCGACGACAAGAACCGTAGAGCGCCCATTTCTATTATGCATTCTTCTTATCCTTGACCCACTCATGGTAGACGTCCGTAGCAACCTGCCGAACCTTCTTCTCCCGTTCCCAGGAAACCGATTTCCTTTCATTTGGGTATCCCACCCATTGACAGAAGAATGTCTTGGTATGATCTGTGCGAAATAAAATCTTGGACAGTGTTCGAGAAAAGGAAGCTGTGTTATTAACTTCATGTCACTTGGAAGGGGCGACTGTACATGTACCTTCCAGACTTTAAGCGTGGAAAGACCCAGGTGGTCAGTCAGGTGCACTATTACAAGAGTACGGAGTATCTTGACTATTCTTATTGTTCGTTGGAGTCTAGCAAAAAGTATTCGCAACAGATAAGGGTACTGCTACTGTTCGCCAAAAAGGCAAAACATACAACAGCGGGGATTCGCTGGTCGTCACCGACCCAACTACTAATCCGCCCCTTACCAGCTTGACTATGGGAGAGCGGACGGGATCCCGTATTTTCTGGTAGGTATGGTCGTATGTGAAGGTCTAAGCGGTAAAACAAGACTATAATGGAAGGCTCGCAGTTACAAGTTGGCCGAAGCCTTCATTGATGGTGAAACAACAGACATGATGTAATGTTCCGGCGGCTTCATTTCGACCAATACAAAGTCTCACACCATTGAATAGGGTCTATGGAGAATGCGAAACAGAGCCTTTCATAAGAATGGCATCGCTAGCTGTAGATCGGCTATAGTCGCGGGTACCAACTGGGTTCATAGATGCATGCCCCAAGGTCATGTATTTCAAAAGAGGGCACTGACCCTTCTCGGTGACAACCTTGAGCCTAATTTCCATGTCGATCAACGAATGCAATCATGGACAATCGGGAAATTACTTGTCAAAAGAAAGGATGCTTTATTGGACCTCTTTAAGGACCTTTGACAGTGTTCGAGGTGGACATGTGTAATGAATGGACTGAAATACTTTTGCATCCAATCCCCTTTTGCCCTTAATGAAATAAAACAGGAATACCTTCCAAGACCGACCGGAGAGTAAGAATGAACCGGGAAACCACAAAGCTTCTATTGCCAATCAAACTTCCCTCGAAGCGCTCGATCTAGAACAAGATTTCTTTCACCGCCGTACCTTCAGCCCTACTCGATTGTATTCAGCTGAAGCCACGGCGTAGTCCTTGCTTGGAGCTGACTTCTAAATTAGGCTAGATCATATGTGGTGGTAGCTACATAGTACGTCCAAGTTCCAGACCCGAGATAGATGCAATAACTATAGGCTGCTTTTCTGGTTGCTGAACATATTGAGACGGTATCATAACTGGCGTGTCCTCAACTGAGCATGACAATTATACTTCGTCTCTTTTAAGTTTCAAGGAGGTTGTTTGATGCCCTGCCTTGTTTCATCAATCTCCTCTTCATCCGTGGACGTGCTTCGATAACACCCCGCCAAAGAACAGTCAATTTATGGCGCGAAAGTGGAAATTAGCTGGCACTCTCATTAATATCGAATGAAACTCTAGACACACAGGTGCTTTATTTGTCGCATTGTGCCAGAAGAAAGTGGCGGTTTAGTGAAACTAGCCTAACGCAATTATTGGCATAGCTCGTTTATGAGCTGAAAACTACCGTGCAGGGGTTTCAAATTGAGCTTCTCTTTCGAGGGATCGGTGCTCGTATGTTTAAGACATACTTAGCTATAGCCCCTTAATTATTCTGATAGAGGACAAGACTCTTGTTGGTCTGACAAGCCTGTGATGACCGCTACTCCATTTTGAGTATAAAAGCACCACTCGACACCTATCTGCCCTCGGTATTCATCCCTTCACCTCTTTCACTTCTCGACATTCTTCATAAAACAAAAATTCCACTATGCGTTCAACCATCATCATCGCTGTCGGGGCCACCCTCGCTGCCGCTTCCAACGCTGTCGAGAAGCGCGACGCCAAAGAATGTGCATCACTCGCTCAAGAATTCCTCCCCAAGTTGACTGATCTTCCTACCCCCGAGGGATCGGTTCTCAGCTTCATTGCTAGCAAGACTGAGCTCGCCACCTTCACCAACAGTTGCGAATTCCCCCACGTTACCGGCACTATGGCCAAGGAGTACTCTTCCTACGTCGAAAAGCTCAGCTCTTGGTACAAGGACCAGGTCAGCGACGTTTCTGAACTCATGGCGGCTTGTTCCGATGTCCCTGAGGTCAAGTCGCAGCTTGACAAGCTAAAAGAAAACGGCGCTCTTTGCAGCGAACTTTCCTGGGCAAAGGAGACTGGCTCTGCCTCTAGCAGTTCCGACGACGAAAAGAAGGACGATGACAGCAAGGAGGATGAGGGCAATGCCGCCGGACTCAACACCATGGCAGCCGGTGTTGTCGTCGCTGTCGCTGGCATCGCTGGTGTCATGATGCTTTAAACAGCGCCACGATCCAGCTTCAGAGACGAGGCATGTTGGGGACAAAGATATTCGATGTTTTGATTGTCTAGCAAAGGTGTACTGGTGTCTATAGTTCTGTTTGGAAGCCTACAATAAACGTGTCATGGTTATTGTTTTCTTAATTGTTGATGATCTAGATGTTGAATTTGTCAGATGCCACAGAGGGATCTCAGACCTGTCTCGGCAGCTCAGCAATGGAGGATCTGCGGAATAACGCTGAATCTCGCGGTTTAATTTCCACTGCATGACCTGTGACCATGGAAAAGAACGCCAACAGACACTAAGGTGAATGATCTACAGGGGGGCACGGCTAAATGGCAACCAATCTGAAAGCAATGGCGACATGCCTTGTCTTGTGTATTTACATCAACTGTACTTAATGTTTTGACGGTAACATCCCGATGAAAATGTAGACTATTCTGGTAACCGATGCCAACCGTGAAATTGGCTACGCTATCGGGAAGGCTTTGCAGCATGTTCGCTTCCCTAGTGCGTAACTTTCAGGCCCAAAATATTCAAGATGATGCAGCATCACGGCGTTGGGCATCGCTGCATCGAGCACCAGGAGCGGCTCGATCGCCTCGGAGGTAGGCATAGAGTAGGACAAGGTTGGCAAAGACGTTCAGACCAAGAATTTCGTAAGGCTTGATATCATCTTTGTTGAGGTAGGCAGCAAGGTTGGCGAATAAACAAGCGCCGGGAATAAGGTATGCGGCTGACGCTTGAATAAAACTGTCGAGCAAATGCGTGCCGGAATGAACGGCTGAACTCATCGTGGCCAAGTTTATATCTTTTAGAGAGATTATTCGTATTCTGTAACGGTCTGTCCCAAATTGAATGAAATCTCAGGATGATAAGAGAGAAAAGAACGGTGGATGTTATGAAATCGAAACGAGGGGATTATGACAGTATTGAATACAGACGTGCCGCTTATCCGGTCAAAGTAACGTAACTTGTTAGTTGGACGTCAAGTTGAAATCGTATGATATTGTCATTCAGAACCAACAGATTCAGACAAGAAATAAGAGCTCTCTATCATGTGAAAAAAAAAACCGCCCTGTCCGGAAGTACGGCACATCTGACATTAAGTTAATAGAGTGTATATGGATGAAGACCCGAGTCGCCCGAGTTGTCTAACCACAAATCATTTTTATGTTTCATATGATGAACTGTATAGACTTGGCTCTTAGATACAGAGTGGGGGATGAAGTTAGTAGTAGACTTTGAAAATCGCATACAACCACGAAAAGAATCCCATATGGATAATCTGTGTGTTGATTTTGGAGATGATGCAATTCATAATCTTTGACTACTCTTAGATATGCCTTAAAAAGTCAAAGGGCAATGCTAATAGGCTGTCTAACAAGTCTTCAACAGGTTCATTGACTCCTGCCTTCACCGAGCAGACAAACGTGTCAAGCTTATGTTTATGAGCATATGTTGACAAAGTGGTGGAAGGCGTAGCAACTGTAGCAACAGTGTGTTGTTCCAACCAATACCAACTTTCGTCGTGGAAACCCGAATCAACAAAACTACTAGCTGTTTTGCTGCACATGGAAGGATCCTCGAGGAACGCCCATTCCATCGCGTCGCCCTTCTTGTCGGCTCCATCGTAACTGTGCTCAAACAACTCAACTTGTGCAAGCTGACATGTGGTCGACGTGTTATTGACGAAGTCTTGCAAATCTTGTAATGCTTTTCTGGAGTCAATGGAAGTTCATGGTTGGGCCAAACAGGTTAGATGTACCTGTGAAGTCTTCGTATTGTATTTGCCTTGAAGAATGTGTTTCAATCGACAGTGATGAGTTGCCAACGTCTGCTCTTTTTGTATTCTTCAAGTTATCGTCTTGTGAAGATCCGCTTTTTCCTTTTTCGTGTTCCTTTCTCTTCTTTCTCACTCTTTCTTGTAATCAGCACAAACGAATAAAATAAATGATTTGGGAATGCAACTAACGGAGACTTTCGAGACTCTATCACCACACAGTCTGCTGTGTTCCATTTACAATTACTGCAAGGTGATTGTCGTGTAACATCGCATCGTACTTTTCGAGATCGACATGAAAGACATGCCCTTTTAGCTCTGTTAGCCCTCCTCCTTGTTATGTTTGTCCGGGTGGATGAATTCGGCTTAGCTTCTGGAACATTACACATGATGAAAACAGAGAGAGCTTTTCTTTACCACATTATACCTGGAAGCACTGAGGATGACTGACACTTATAGAGGAAAGTCTGTTCGTGCCTTGATCAGCGATCTTGGCCTGATTTAGGTTAGCTAGGTTGTCGCTACGATGTTCCTCTTCCCCCGCATTCTACGGCTATATATAACCGTCGTAGCCGTGCCCGTCTCCGCCCTCTTCTCTCTTCCCCCATTTCTTTACCAACCCCAGACAAGAAGAAAAGCGTATTAGTCCAATGTCCGACTCCCAAGACGACTCAGACGGCACGGAGAGCCGCCGTAAGAGAATCCGCCAAGCCTGCCTCAACTGTAGAAGGAAAAAGGTCCGCTGCACTGGAGAAAAGCCGACTTGTAGTTTCTGCGTGCGACTGTCACAAAGATGCCTGTATGCTGAGGATAGAAGGAGTTTGAAGAGACCATCAATTGTGCTACCAACTGGCGACAAAGAAGTGACTGGCGCTGGAATGGTAAGCCTAAAGATTATGGTTGATGTGATGTATACTGATCGTTATTGTTGGGTCAGCATACTATCACAGAGAGGTTTGCCATTCTCGAGAACCAGATTTCAACATTGCAGAGCACAATCGAAAAGTAAGTCACCCATTTACTTCATGTGCTTTCACCTGCACCTCTGTATTGACCAGCAAAGATTACTACCACTTGTCGAAAACCAGAACGCCGCGCCTACCAGGCGCACTCTTGATCAAGTCAGCACTCCAGCGACAGGCATACTTCAAACACCCTCAACAGTTCAATCACCAGCATTTGATCGTCCCCAATTACAGTCGCTCATTTATGCAGCAGACATTTATTTCCGCTTCTGCCATAGTCAACCCTACTCCCTCTTCCATGAATCGACCTTCCGGCAACGTTTAGTGGACAACTCACTCCCTTCATATCTGCTATGGGCCTTTCTATCGGCAGCAAGGCGCTACTCGACTTTTCCAGTTGCTCCGCTCAACTGTGCTGATGATGCATCGGCCTACGCTGCTAAAGCTTGGGAATGCATAGACCTTCCTTGGAGTGGTTCAGATTCCCCAGAGAAGATTTTAACAGTCATTCAGACTATCATCTTGATCGTCAGCACCGAAGTACCAGGTGAGCTCTTTTGAATCTGAAAGCTTTGATCTCAGAAGCCAGGCCGTTAACGTCCGTGAACAGCTGGTCTCTGTACTCAGGCTCATATGAAGCTTGGCTTTGCCGTTCGCCTGGCGCAGAACAACAAACTGAATATGGAGCCAGACGTTTCGATACCAGTCGCTGAGCGTGAAGAGCGCAGGCGAACATTCTGGTCATTATTTCTAATCGACAAGTTAATTAGTCTTTCTCGTGGGCGATTTTGCGCCATCAGGGATGAAGAGTGTAAACTATCTCTTCCGTGCTCCGAAGAAGCTTTCCGGGAGAGCCGGGAAGAGCACACACCAAAGCTTGAGGAGTTGACTCAAGATTGTGTGGATCAAGAGGCAGTAGATGGGTGTTGTCCATTGGGACTCATCGTAGTCATGGTATCGATTCTAGGCCGAGTCTCTCACTATGTGTTACACGACACCAAAACGCCCCAAGTTGCCTGGTCTTCGACGTCTCCTTATGCCACTTTATCATCTACTCTTCTTCAAGCTGAACATTACTTCACGATGGACGAAAACACTATGGAGAGTCTCAAGAAACGGTGCACTGTTAACGGAATCCTTGATCAGCACCTCGCAGGGTCATTTATTTTCGCCAAGGCCATGTTCCATCTGTCTCATTGCCTGCTTCATCACCCATTTTTGATTCAACAGCATTTGCAGTCAGGCAAACAAAAAGCTCCATCGATTTTTATGAAGACGGCATGGGAAAAATGCAGGACGCATGCCAAGAGTATCACAGAACTAATGGAGATGAAGAATCAGAATGTTTTGGTGTTGACATCGATGTATGGGTATTGCATCATGATCGCGGGAACGATTCATGCTCTTTCGATGAACGACGAAAGAGAAAATGTCAGGAAGGAGAGCAAGGAACATTACCGTGCTTCGATTGAATCTCTACAGGATTTATCGCGCTATTGGGCACATGCAGCGCTGATGGTAAGTTGGCCCAGTTCCAAAATATCTTTTGCTTCAAGGAAGTCTGACCAGTTCTCTACAGGTCAAACGGTTGGAACGGTTCCATAACCAGTGCGAGACTCGTGGCCAGGAACTCTCCCCGTGCAATTCCAACGTGGAGCGGCCGCCTGGAGATGTCAAGGCGCTGTGGCAGAGCGTCGACTACACGTCGTTGTCAACCCCGACAAGACCTGGAAGTCCAACGTCGGCAGCACACAATACGAGTCAGGAAGATTGGGCACTTTCTGGAGATATGTTTGACTTTACTGGCTTTGGTGGGTTTGCCGAGGGTGTCGATATCTTCAGTATCTCCCTTGTTGATGGGGATATGATGTTGGATGGTGAGATGCCAGTTATAGGTGCTTGAATCACATGTCGGAAATATCACAGTGTGATGTCATGCAGTCTTTATATGTGAAATCAATAATTTTCTTCTTCAGTTTAACAAAGTTTATCTCCCAAACATGAAACTAAATGCTAGCGCTCGCAATCGAATACAATACCGTTTTTGTTCCGCATATCTTCCACAACAGTGAGAACACTTCTGCTGAGTACCCTTAGATCACCTTCAGCTGCTCTGTCTCCCTCGTTGATGATTCGACCAAGTTCCTGAGCCTCCCAAGTCAGGTTCAACATGTTAGTGTATTCGGGACTCGTATTCCCAAGCTCTTCTCCATCTTGAGATCCCCGAGGGATATATTTCATAGTACAGATATCTGTCACATTCGAAGGTTGACTACCCTCTATGCAGATAGTCCCCTTCTCACAATATATCTCTGTTGGTGCATGTGAATCGTAAAGCTTACTTGTTCGAGCTTGCAGAGTAAATCTTTGCTTGTGCTTGGATATCTCAGGTGTGTAATCAAAAACGATCAAGCCCCCACCATCGACGCCTGTTTCAAGCATCACGGGAAAATATGTCTGAAAGGCAGGTACACCAAAAAGTCGAATGGCAAAGGTGACGGGATAGACACCCATGTCCATCAAACAACCGCCGCTGAATTTGGGAGAAACCACGTTGGGAATGTTTGTATCAGTCATTTCGCCGAACAGTGGAGAGTAGACTGCCATGGAAAGGCTGGCGCCATAAATCTTGCCAAACTTTCTGGTCCTCGCTTTCTCATCATCGAACAATCTTTGTAAAGTTTTAAAGTTGGGCTCTTGGATATGGCGATAGGCCTCTAGAATGAACAGATCCCTGGAATCAGCCAGTTCATAGAGTGCCTCAAGCTCGCGCATGTTGGAAGCAAAAGGCTTCTCCATGATGACATGTTTTCCAGCATTCAAAGCCTTCACGCCTTGTTCGTAATGTAGAGAGTTTGGCGACGCAATGTAGACCACGTCGATGTCTCGGTCGTTGAGCATGGAGTCTAGGTTGTCGTATGCTTCCACAGACGAAGTTTCTTCGATGGAGGGAGTTTCTGTAATGAAGCCCTTGGCAGTATCGAGTTTCCTCGAGTATACCGCTCTAAGGCGGAACAATTTACTCTCGTGACATGATTGTATAAACGAGTTGGTAATCCAATTTGTGCCAATGACGGCAAGTCCAAGAGGAGTAGGCATCATGAGTGCTTGATGAGTTTGTGTTTCAAGAATCGACAACCCGATAGATTACAGTTTGGGGACTGGTAATGAAGATTTGGTCTCTTTATAGCTGCCAATGTGTAATTTATGACGGCATGGTCGAGGTGAGCAGATATGCTGTGAGATACTGTGCCTGTTAGTGATGACCAAGTTGTGAGGAAGCTATCTAGCTAGATACGGTAATACTCGGCGAGAGCATTACCCATTTCGAAATATTGTGCTTACTGTGACTACCGTAAGAAGTAATTTCCGCCGGACTGATGTCATCAAGCTAGTGTGGCTAATTCTTATTTAACATGTGCCTCGACTGTTTTGTGTTTCTAGATAACATCCAATCAATGATTTATTTCATTAATAAAAAACGAAACGATATTCTATCATTATTCGCGTCAAAGTTTCTCGTGCATTGGTAAGACGTTTGATTGGCCTATAATTGTTTACGTATCCCTGCTATTGATCCAACCGGGGTCGTGCAAGAGCCCGAGATGCCGAGTAGAACACACATCGGGTCAATACAATGTCACGAACTTCCCGGTCTAATAGAAATAACATTCCTCTTGAAACACATTGCATAACCAATTCATTACCTGTAATCATCTACTCATCATGAGCGCTCCATATGTTAATGGTCATCATTCCCAAGACATGCCGAACGACTCCGATGGCGGCTCTATCCAGAAACGCCAGCGAGTCTTGGCATGTACTTATTGTCAACAACGGAAGATCAAATGCAACCGCATATTTCCTTGTTCCAACTGCATCAAGGTTTGATCAGTCGCCCAGGATACAAGATCACTCTCCAGTGCAGGATTGACATGTACAGGCCAACTTGAACTGCACTCCATCAAAACCGACTCCTGTGCGCAAAAGACGAACACCAAATGTCCTGCTACAAGAAAGAATCAAAAAAGTAGAGGCCTTGCTGGAGCAGTATACACTTCAGGGATCGCCTGCTGAGCCTACCTCTGCACCTACACATGAGTCTCTGGATTTTTCACCTTCCGCGTCTCCCGCTCCGTCGAACGGGCTTTCGACTCCAATCTCATCCGGCGCCGGTAGACTTGTAGTCAAGAATGGCGGCTACAAGTTCTTGGATAGCATGGTCTGGGGGACTATTTACGATAACGTCAGTAGCTTATTACGGAGATTGGAACGCTCAGACTAACTCTTAGAGAACAACAGCTGGAAGAGATGCGCCATATTCTTGACCAAGAAACCTCAGACGACGAAACATGCCCTTCACGGGCCTCGCCACCCACGCATGAAGATGTTGACTTGCTTCTGGCTGCAGCGTCATCTTCCAACCTTGGGGATCACCTTCCCTTGCCATTTCAAATCCTTCGATTGTGGCAAGTCTTTCTAAACAGAGTCAATCCTCTGAGTAAGATGATACATGGCCCTAGCACGGAGCAGTTGATCATAAGCGCAATGACGAATCCTGAAGACATGCCTCACAAGTCTAGAGCCTTGCTGTTCTCCATCTGCCTCGTTTCCGTCGTTAGTCTTTCAAAAGAAGAAGCCAAATCGATGCTGGATCTACACAAGAATGAAGCCATCCGACGATTCACAGATGGTCTGAAAACAGCACTGAACAAAGTGAATTACCTCAGAAACTATGACATGCCTATTCTACAAGCATTGGTGCTCTACTTGGTATGGTTGCCACAGTATCTTGAAATGCAATATGATCTTTACCACTAACTACTTCTGCAGATCTCATTACAAGGCCGTAGCAATCACGATGCAGTCTGGGTTCTCAGCGGCGCAGTCATCAGGATCGCTCATAAAATGGGTGTCCATCGTGATGGTGAAGTACTCGGATTGACCCCATTCGAAACCGAGATCCGTCGCCGTGTATGGTGGCAGATTCTAGCACTTGACTCCATGTATGCAGCAACCTCTGGGATGAGGCCGACGTCGTTGCTTTCTGGGGCCGACACCAAGAAGCCCCAGAATATCAGCGACATAGACTTCTCCCCCGACTCCATATCCATTCAGTCCAAAGAAGGTCCCACAGAAATGGCATTTACCATGGTAATTTACGAGGTTATTAGCTTCATCTCGGATCATCACATGTCCGACTTTGAACAATTGCTTCTTGGGGGCCTGGGAGTTGAGCCAGGAACTCCAGAAGGCGAAGAATATCAGTCTTCGTTACAGGAACTGCGAGGTCTAGTAGATGAGTTCGACGACAGGCTAAGCGAGATCGAGAAAAAGTATTGTGATCGCTCAGGAGGACCGATCCATGCTCTGGCACTATTTCTTCGCCCGCATATCATGGAGGAAGGTCGATTAATGTGCACACCGATGGCAGAGACCCCAGAATGGGGCACCGAGCTTCAGAACCCCAAGGATAATTTCTTTCGTATCTGGCTCGCCCACAACGAGGGCGCTATCAAAATGTACGAGATGGCAAGTCAAGGAAACTTTCTTTGGGCATTCAAAACGCACTTCCACCTTGACTCACTTCTGTTTTTGGCCGGTCAACTTGTTGAGCGCTCACCAATCGGGCCGTTCGCCGAGCGTACGTGGCGACTGTTTGATAATTTCTACCGTTATCATGAGGAGTTATGGGATGTTACTACTAAGCTGCATCTCCAGCTGGCTAGGCTTCTGCTTAAGTCTTGGGAAATTCGCGAATCGACGCTTCAAAAGATGGAAGCTCCTGTCGATGTCCCTATCTTCATACCCAAGCTGAAGATAGAGTTGTTACAAGCTGGACTATTCCGGACAAGTCAGACTATCTTTCCATCGCACCATTTGAATTGCGATAATCAAGGAGGCTATGTCGACAATCTGGAATTCGGCGATAATGTCCCGCCTGATTTGATACAAAACCCGGCAATGCCCTTGGAATGGTCTATGATGGATGATCAACAGATGATGGATGCACAAAACCCAGCGCTTCCTCTCTTTGCCTTTTTTAATAGCACTAATGGCTGGTGAAAGAAGGTATATTACACATGAAAGGAGATCCGGAGAAAAGATGTTCATGGGTCTCAAATTGTGAGATAGGCTTGGTATAGATTGGAAATATTCTTAAACGAGAAGGAGATGACAGCTCTCTGATATTGATTTACAACGATACGGACTATTCCCATCGTATTGCCCTCACAGTAGATTGACGAATTCTTCAGGCAAAGGTTTGTCTTCGACCCAAGCCTTGATTCCATCAGCGAATAATTCTGGAAACTGAAGATTCCAACCATGAATGGCTCCCTTTATGACACAAGCCGCGCTTTTCTTTCCATCACCAAGCCCCTGTGAACAGAATAGCTGAGCCATCTCTTTCGTCCCCTCGATATTATCACCTTGATCTCCGGCAATAGCCAATATTCGCTTATCCTTTGCAGCGACATCATTTACAGCCTCTTCTCCCCACTTAGCAAGACCCCCGTAAGCGTCGTTGACCAAGTTCCAATCGTTATTGCAAGCAATCTCATTCTTCAATAGAGTGTGATCCTTGAGACCGACCCTCCAGACGCTAAACGTGTAAAAACCAGAGTTCAGGACTAGCTTGAGTCCATAGTACAGAAGGCTGGGTCGCTCAGCCATCCAAGTCTGCCATGACATGAATGGCGCCGCTCCAGTGACAAATGCCGATATGACAATGCCTGGATGTCGACGGACTATCTCCATTGTTGTAAAGCCTCCCAGCGAGAGCCCGACGACATGCGCTTGGCCATTGTGGGCGTAGGTTCGGATAAGATGCGCGACAGAGTCTGCGCCCAGTTCGAGAGACCAGGGTCCAACTTGTTTGGACTTTGAGTGCTGAGGAAGATCGGGAATTATGAGATGATAATCGCCAAGGGATGGTACGACGTGCTCCCATTCGAGGTTGCAGGAGAAGAGGCCGTGGATTAGCACGACTGTTGTGGCGGACAACTCATTGTATGAACAAAAGAATAGCTCCTTCTGAGTTTGAGATGTTTCTGACATGACTAGATTTATGTTATTTCCTAGCCTTTGTTGAAGGGGGTTGACAATCGTTTTCAAGGAAGGACATGCATTGTCCCAGCCATTGCTCGGGATGAAATTTGCCCGACTGACCTCCGTTCAATTAGGCTAGGAAGGATTACGCTAGAAGTAGCGACAGGCTTGTGAAACGTTGGCTGCTTACTTGTAATTCTAGGTATTGGGCAGTTGGCATCCAGCGGCAAATGTGGTGCAGTGAGAGTACGCGGCTCTATTATTAGTGGCCAGTAATTTTATAGAATCATATCATCATTCTATACCTACACATATCAATAAATAGGACTTTCCCTGAGTTTCCCGCCAGCATCACTGCCGACTAAACGCTATAGCATCTGTCATAATGCAGCGCCTTACAAGTCGGGCCCAAGTGTCTGGGCATGGCCTTGAAACAATTGACCTTAGTAGCCCTAGAACAGAACAAGCGACCCAGCGAAATAACGACAAGAGACCCACCTCCGATACCGACCAGGTGTTTGTACCAGCTCAAGGAGACCTTACAGAAGATAACAATGAGGTCAGATATCTGAAAGGTTGGAGGTTCTACTGTCTGACTGCAGCGTGAGATTTTACCATTTCTCTCCGTGTTTGACACCGTCTAACATTAGCTACCTAGGTTATGGTTGAGTCTCTTCCTCTCCACGCTTGAAACCACCATTGTCAGCACATCGTTAGTTTCTATTACAGACGCCCTGAATGGATTCATACTAAGAGATTGGATCATCACCTCTTATCTCTTGACGTACACCGGTCTGCCAATTACATGATGTTGTTGAAAAACAGGCCACTGACGAAGCTAGGTTTCCTAACTGTATATGCCAAGTTGAGTGATGTATTTGGAAAGAAAACCATGCTTTTACTCGCTATTCTGATTTTTACGGTGTTCTCTGGCCTTTGCGGCGCCACTAGTAACGTCGTTGACCTGTGAGTTCTCACCGCTTCGCTACCTGTCTAGGCACTGAACTTTCCCTCAGCATCATTCTCCGCGCATTCCAGGGAATAGGTGCATCTGGCATCTACTCCATGATCTTGGCAATTGCTCCAGTCCTAGTGCACATTGACAAGTACGCAAAATACATGGGAATTGTTTCGACTGTCTTTGTCACTGCAAGTGTTTTGGGTCCTATCCTTGGTGGTGTCATTAGTCAACATTCCACCTGGCGTTGGGTTTTCCTCCTCAAGTACGTCCCATCTGTATGTCCAATAGTCTCTGTGCTGACACGATGAAAGTGTCCCAGGGGGTGCCCTGGCTTTCATTCTTGTGGCCATTTTCTTGCCAGCATCCGAACAGTCGTCCGGATCGTCGCTCATTCCGATTATTCGCTCTAAGCTGAGTCGTTCGAATTGGGTGCGTATTGACTACCTTGGCATATTTCTACTACTTTCAGCATCTGTCCTACTTGTATTTGCCCTAGAAGAGGGAGGTACCCGATACCCGTGGGATAGTGCTGTTGTGATATCCATACTTGTCATCGCAATTGTGTTCTTTGTTGGATTCGGCTTTTGGGAAGTGCATGTTGAGCACTCATCGAGTAAGCAAGAACCTGTATTTCCTCCAAGTATCTGCGACGACAGGATATGCAGTGCCATGCTTCTGTGAGTTATGTGAGCTTTGATCCCGATATCCTATACTGAATTGCGATAGAACAACATGCTTTGTCGGATTCCCCTTCGTATCAATGGTGGTCAACATCCCACAAAGAGCTCAAGCAGTATATGGCATGTCCCCTTCTCAGGCTGGCATTAGTTTACTCCCAATGATGCTCTCATCACCTGCAGCAACTGTTCTTTCCGGATACCTCACTGGTAATGCAAAGATCCCGCCAGTATACCCCATCATTGTTGCTGCGGCACTGCAGGTACTAGGTGTCGGCTTGATGTGCTCGTTACCAACAGCCTCAACCAAGATGCCAAACGCACAATATGGCTACGAAGTACTCATGGGCATCGGGTTTGGATTGGGTCTGACTACAGTTTTGACTTTTGCCCGGATTGTAGTTTCTGCAGCCAATCTATGTAAGCAATAATCTATCATTAGTGATTACAGCTTGAAATACTGACATCTTCGAGCCGTGATGATGGGCGCCTTGACACAGATCAGAGTCCTGGGTGGCACAGTATCGCTAGCTATATGGTAAGTCCAGCTTTAACAAACCGTGAAGATACAGAAAACTGATGATGATGTAGCGCCGCCATTCTTAACAACCATCTGAAGCCAAGATTGTCAGATATCGTGTCTGCGAACCAGGCGGTAGCGATCTTTGACTCCATATCTTCCATCGATGATCTGGACCCGATTCAACAGCTGGCCGTTAGAAGAGTGTTTGCTGAAGGTTATAACAAACAAAATATCTTCATGACAGCTATGGCTGCTGCAGGATTGGTTGCGTCATTATGTTTATGGGAGAAAAGACCGCGAAAAGCGCAATAGGGACGGAACAGATGATCAAGGCAGCTTAAGAGTTTCGCAGCAAATCGCAGGAAAGCCGGAGTGGTTATCCTATCATGAAATCGTCCATTGATCAACATGATTACACTTGATATGTAGTCTCTCCTATGTATTTTTGAAGTCCCTCAGATGCATCCTTGTTATGCTTTCTCTTATGCCTTGTTCTTGTTTTCTGCCGCTATCTGCGCAAGGACTTCTGACGATTCATCCTCTCGACCCAGAGGTACGAATATGTGATCATGATAGAACCCGCTGACAGGATTACAACCAATTCCTTTCGCTGCCAGTTTTGTAGCGATGACTGCCATGAACCCCACAGCTTCCAAGCTCGATGTGACATTGAGACTGATCATCTTGCAAGGGAAGAAATAGTCCATGTTGTGAGACTCTGCATATTCCTTGCTGACAATTGCAGTCACGCCCTCGGATTCTCTGAACAGCATCTGAGTCTCGGACAATGGTGGTAGTTTTGATAGGTCTGTATAAGTGGCAAAGACGTAGATGGTTGGGTGCAGGGTTGAAGTGAGAGTTGATAGAAGTTTGCTCAGGGAGAGCTCGCCGGGGTCTTGGGCCATCAAAGACATGGTGGAGGATGGGTTACGATGAGATTTATGATCAACCTTTTGGCAGGGTTCGCAATTGTTATGAGTGACAGATAGTATGTATGAACATTGGGTGTCGGAATGGAATGGATTGCGGGCACTCATTACTTATAGATCAGTGGGCCTTGAAGTCCACTAAAACAGCCCCATCACGTCAGTGGCAGGGCGCGCCGTAGCTTCAACATGTCCACACTCCGTGCTATGGAACGAATTGCTTCCAGCCTAGGAAGCTGTCAACGTAACAAGCCTTTTCACCAATACGGCCTTCATACCCGCAGGGCAGATATTCATTCCACGCACCCACTTTCCGGCAAAGAGTGGATTATCTATTCAGCTACAATCTACAGAGCATTTAATTTTGCGCTCTTACCCCGCATGTAGCAGACAATGAGGCTCATCAACACCAAAACTCTAAAGCTTGAGGAGTTTCAGAGCCACATCCCGACATATGCCATCCTATCCCACACTTGGGGCGATGAGGAGGTATCATTCGTCGACTGGCAAGACAATTTGTCTGACTTCAGAATAAAATCTGGGTTTGACAAAATACAAAAGTCTTGTCATCAAGCTCGCCTCGATGGTTACGATTATCTCTGGTGCGATACGAACTGTATCGACAAAAGAAGCTCTGCAGAGCTGAGTGAGGCAATCAATTCCATGTTCAGCTGGTACAAAAACTCTTCAGTTTGTTATGCCTACCTTGCCGATGTACAGCCTGGCGACCTGCAATCCTTCTCTTCCTCTCGTTGGTTTACTAGAGGATGGACGCTACAAGAGCTTCTAGCACCCAAGTCTTTCATCTTTTTCGCCAAAGACTGGTCCGTTTTCGGAACAAGAAATTCCCTATCTGAGAAGATTTTTGAAATCACGAAGATCAAGAAAGATCATACCGGAGACAATATCCATCAAGTCAGCGTCAGCGAGCGCATGTCTTGGGTGTCACACCGCGAAACAACGAGAGTAGAGGATATAGCATACTGTATGCTTGGCATCTTTGATATCAACATGCCCTTACTATACGGGGAAGGGAACAAAGCATTCATTCGACTCCAAGAAGAAATTATTCGTGTCTCGAATGATCAGTCAATATTCTGTTGGGAGTGGAACAGGGAATGCGTTCCTGAAAATTGGCCAAGCATGCTATCGCCATCACCAAAGACGTTTGAAAACTCTGGTTCATACTACAGACCACCATGGGCCAACGATTCTTTGTCATACGCCACAAGCAATTCTGGGCTATCGATTAGTCTAAAACTTCTTACTATTGCGTATACGAGAACCCTTTGGCCTACGACGGCTTATAGGAGCTTCGACTCAAAGGGCTGTCGCTACTTGGCTGTACTCGATGTTGCCTGCCATGATACTAAGCAACATGTCGCCATAGTCTTGCAAAAGCTTCCCCTATCTCGACGCTATGCCAGATTCTCCTTTCCTCATCGACCTACGCCTATCAACAATGTCAGTGGTATACCTCTATCGAGCTTATATGTTGCAGGCCCAAGAGACCAACAGCTCTTGATGGCGCAGTCACCGATGTCAATAAATGCTCCTAGGTTTGGTCTATTTGTCACTGTGAGTTGCCCCAGTAAGATCAGTGCTATCTCCACCAAACCGGAGGTAGATCACCATTGCTGGACTCATGCTTTGCGTCCACTCACTGATAATCTGTTTGGGGCTGTGTTCGTGGTAAAGCTTGTAGTGGACCTTCCATCAGGGCAACCATCGACGGACTCAATTGCTGTCTTCTGCTTTGTGGGCGTGGACGCAACATCTATCGAGGAGTTCTTTTGTCAAATCCTCGAGATCCGAGGTACTGTTGATGACAGGTTCGTGGTCGAAGAAAATGTTGCTTATTACGAGTCCAAAATCCGTGACTCTGTTCGAAGCTCAGGATTTCCTGATGGGAAAAGTTCAGCTTTTCCTTCAGACTTCATGTCCATCTCAGATGAGGCCGTATGGTTGCACAGTGGGTCATGGGTTCGCATATCGGATAGCTCCAGAGTCTCTGTGGCACATATCACCATCCCTATGGTTCCACCGTTTCGCTTTCCTTCCAAGGTCAAACCGGGTCTTTTGTCTACTTGAGATAGGACGAGGCAGTGCTCCACGTAGCATGACTGTACTACATATGTCTAATGACTGATATATGGGAAGTTTTCAACACTATACATGGTACTATCAACATCAAGTAGTGATACATACTGGCATTTGTTCTTTTCTTCTCCACCTTGGTCCATCTGGTCACTCTCGATAAAGACCGTCGGACCGACATACTGTCAATACGAACACATGACATCCTTGACTCTTAGTCCAAGCTTCAACAAACTGTCGGACCGACGGAACGCCCCCGTAGTTCAGTCCATTTTTCGCCCCTCAGCCCCAGATCTTCTCCTTCTCCTTAACCCCAGATTTCCTTGGCCTTATCGTGTCGCATCAAGTCGCCAACCCCAGAATCATTCAACGGCGTCCCCAGATGCCGGTTGTTTCTTACCCGAAAGTCTAACCAGTGATATCAAACTTTTTCCCCGGACCGACGAGTTGCTTGGCAAGAAAACACTTGGGTTGGGGAATGACGGGTACTCCTTTTTAGCTTCACTTCGGAGATGAGCTGATTTGGACGCCGTGTCAAGCCAATCCATTGGTTTCACATCAGGAGTTTACGAGCCTGGAAAAGACTGACATTGCTGCACATTGTCAATTGACTCCAGAAGAATTGTATCAGGTATAGTCCCTCAATTTCTGACCCTGCTGGCGGTTAAAATCGTCCCTTGCGTCAAACCTTATTCTCGGACATGGATCGTGACGGAGAAAGCGCGTCGCTAGACACCATCTCGCCTTCCAACACAGCAGCAATGGCGTCCGAAAAGCCGCACCCAACAGTCAAACAGACTGCCAACGACGAGATGAAGGGGCAGTCACAGCACTCTGAAGCCAGCGCCGCCACCGCGCTAGAGCATGAGCTGACGCTTCGAGACGCCCTACGACTTTACCCCAAAGCCATCTTCTTCTCGCTAGTCTTCTCCATGGCTATTATTATGGAGGGTTATGACATGGCCCTAATTGGTTCCTTCTACGGCTACGAATCGTGAGTTCCCTGTCCCGGTCTGAAATGATGTACAAGGCTAACCAGCATGCAGATTCCGTAACAAATATGGCAATCAACCAAATCCCGATGGTGGAATGGTAATTTCAGCTGACTGGCAGACGTACATCCAAGTCGGCGGTATGTGTGGCCAGATCTTTGGCCTGTATCTCAATGGCTGGGTATCTGATGCCATCGGGTACAAAAAGACCATGATTCTGGCCCAGATCATCATGATCGCTTTTACTTTCGTCGTGTTCTTTGCCAAGAATATCGAGATGATTCTCGCGGGTCAGATTCTCATGGGTATCCCGTGGGGCGTGTTTCAGACATTGACGCTTGCATACGCGTCTGATATTGCCCCGGTCGTCTTAAGGCCTTATCTCACAGCCTATGTGAACCTCTGCTGGGTCATCGGCCAATTGATATCGGCTGGAGTCCTCCGTGGACTTTTAGATCTCGATAATGAATGGTCTTACCGCGTTCCCTTTGCCTTGCAATGGCTTTGGCCACCGTTTATCATCCTCGGTACAGCCTTTGCGCCAGAATCGCCTTGGTGGTTGGTGCGAATGGGCCGTCACGACGATGCTAAGAAAGCTATCCTTAAACTCGTCAGTCCTCAGCCAGATATCAAGTTCGATGCGGATGCTCAAGTGTCAATGATTCACGAAACGAATGAGCTTGAAAAGGCCACGTCTGCAGGCACCAACTATTGGCATTGCTTCATGAGAGCTGACTTGCGACGTACTGAAATTGCGTCGATTACATATGTCGCTCAAGCTATGTGCGGCAGTGTTTTAATGGGCTACTCCGTCCAATTTTATGAGCGCGCAGGATTATCATCAAACAATGCGTTCACCCTCAATATTGTTCAATACTCCGTCGGAGCCATCGGAGTCATTCTTTCGTGGTTTCTCATGTCCAAATACGGACGTCGCAGTCTCTATATCGCAGGCACAAGCTGCCTCTTCGTAATTCTTCTTGTTGTCGGTGGTCTCGGCTTTGCACCACAAAAGAATTCTGGTCCGTCTTGGGCAGTCGGCAGTCTACTAATTTTCTACACCTTCATCTACGATCTGGCGGTTGGACCAGTTTGTTACACTATCGTCGCGGAGATTCCTTCGACACGCCTCAAAGCCAAGACAATTGTGCTCGCGCGTAATTTTAATAATATGGCTGGCCTAGTCAATAATACCCTCATGCCAAGGATGCTTGGTGTGCATGCATGGAACTGGGGTGCAAAAACAGGTCTCTTTTGGGCGGCGTTCTGCTTTCTGATCATGGTATGGGCGTATTTCCGATTACCAGAACCCAAAGGCAGGACTTTTGGAGAATTGGATGTTTTGTTCGAACACAGAGTGAGTGCACGGAAATTTGCAAAGGCGCGCGTGGATCAATTTGGTCATAGCACTGGTGCCGTTGAAGTTGAGGGAAACAGGTAGATATACGCTGGAGTACCATTATGAGAGCGTGTACCTGTACTTGTATCAACATGGAATGGTCATTATAAAACAAAGCGTCACGTGCAAATAGTCTGCAGCTTCTCATTCATGCATGCAGTCTCCAAATGATGAAATCTTACACGTGCGGTTAAGATGGTAGTGAGACTAGCTACGCTATCAACTCCCTGCATTTGCACCTGCAGTAAAACATCTGACACGTACGTCTATCCTCACCAATTGATCTTTTGTTGTTGCAAGGGGAAATAATCGGTTATCTCTTTTAAAAAAGCAAAACTCCAGTGGACCTGAATAATGCGGGGGCAATCCGAACGGGCATGACAGGGAACATTGGGTTCTGATCTCGGACCGTCGAGATTCTTAGGGGGCGTTCTTAGCGGCAGTCTGGAAAAGATCAAACACAAAGAGGCGAAGAGACGATCTGCACCTTACGGTGAAGGGATCCACCACTTGAACCCCGTTTCTGTCTGTTGATTGGCGTTGCATCTCTTTGGTCCATGTCGGTCCGACGACACGGGTAACGCAGACGGACGGACGATCGTGGAGGGGTCTAGAGAGGTCGGCTGAATTAGCTACTTATTAGGCAAAACCCATTTTTGACTGTTTTCTCTTACCACGAATTCTTGATCGTTTTATATCCGTTCGATTCCTCCAGATTCTCATCGCCCTGACTGAGTAGAAACTGACTGAAAGCGAACATCAGAACGACCAAGGATTGATCCATCATAGACAGTGACCATGACGGTGAAAAACACAACTCCACGCCCAAGATGGCACCCTTCACCCACATACCATCTCAAAGCACCAAGAGGCTGGATCAACGACCCTTGTGCACCCGGATATGATGCTTCTACTGGTACATATCACTTGTCATATCAATGTAAGTCCACGACTCATCTCAATTCTGCATCCCCAGCTGACTTTGCCACCAGGGAACCCCAAATCCTGCGATTGGGGTGACATCACTTGGGGCCATCTCACGAGTAAAGATGGTTTGACGTGGAAGCAAAACACACAAAACCCTGTCTTGGAACCCTCAGAGTCATATGATAAGGAAGGCATCTTTACAGGTTGCCTACACCCAACAGGTCTCCAGGGCGAGGAAGGCCAGCTTACAGTTATCTACTCGTCCATCACACATCTTCCAATCCACTGGACTCTACCATATACTCGAAACTGCGCTGGGCTCTCTGTAGCCACATCAAATGACGGGGGAAAGACATGGAACAAGAGCGCGCAGAACCCCATTCTGGACGGCGAACCCGAAGGTGTCACTGTCACAGGCTTCCGGGACCCTTTCCTGGCAGAATGGCCTGCTATGGACGAGATTCGAGGCGAGGCAAGCCTGTATGGTTTCGTATCAGGAGGTATCGTTGATGGTGGACCTACTGTGTTCCTCTATGCTATTTCACCGACCGACTTAACCCAGTGGACCTACCTCGGTCCTTTAGTCGACCTCCCCACCGGATATAGCCCCTCTGGTCGATGGGGCGGCGATTTCGGTGTTAACTGGGAATGCGTCAACTTTATGACACTTCACAACGACTCCGAAGAATGTCCGTTTATGCTTATGGGAACAGAAGGTGGAGTGAAGCCCGGGGCGAAGGAGGGTGCTGAGCAGTGGTCATTGTGGATGGCCGGTTCTTTGGAGCAGACACAGGAGGGCCCCAGGCTCAAACCAGAGTTTGACGGCATCCTCGATCATGGATGCCTATATGCCCCAAATTCGTATGAGCATCCCATTACGAAGAACAGAATTGTGTGGGGATGGCTAAAGGAGGATGACTTGACTCTGGCACGCCGCGAGAATAAGGGATGGACAGGATACTTTTCTCTTCCCCGAGAGTTGTTCCTGTACTCCGTCGACAACGTTACAAGATCGCTCACATCTCCACTTCAGGACCTTGGTTGTATCAAGGCCACAGATAATGGAAGAGGGTCTAGTACGGTTCAAACACTTGGTATCCGACCACTTCCGAACTTGGAAGGTCTCAGACGAGGAAAACCAGCGTATTGGAACAGCCTCGATAGCTCGGCAGCTCTGGGAGGTCTCATCAACGCACACTCTGGATGTTGGGAACTGGAAGCCACGATTAAAGTGTCGCCAACCGATCAAAGCATGGGCTTCTGGATCCGACACAACAAAGACTTGACGCAAGGAACAAGCATCCACTTTTCTCCCCAAAATGAAACGATCACCATCAACAAGTCCATGTCAAATAACGAAACTGATATCGAAAAAGCCCCTGTCTCGGGCCCCTTCACTCTGTTCTACTATGACAGAAATGGATCAGAGGAGCTGGAGAAGCTACATCTGCGTATCTTCTGCGATGGAGATGTTCTAGAGGTGTTCGCCAACGATCGCTTCGCTTTATCTACAATGGTATACGCCGATACAAGGGACTGTACTGGTATCAGTTGGTTTGTGGAAAGCCACGAGCCAAGTGAGAGTGTCTTTGAATCTGTCAAGCTATGGGAGAATATGAAAGAGGTGCTAGAAGTGGATGAGCCTATTATTTATGAGCGAAGTCAGCTCTAACTAATGGTTACTATCCCGTGCGCTTGAAGTTGAGAAATATGATGTTATTGATAGATCCACTTCGAGAATAGAGCCATTCATTTTAATCAAAAATTCTTGTCTCGCAGCCATATTTTCAACCTTTTTTGAATCACATGATGAATGAAATTCCTGCCGAACTGAAAAGAAGCATCACAGTAGACGCTGTTGCCGGGATTAAACCCAAGAGAGACTGGTCAGCTTTTTAAGTTGGTTAAGTTGACAGTATTACCACAAACGGTAATACAAATACGCCCCCCACAACTCTGAGGATCAACATTCTCGGATTGGTAATTAACTTCACTAGGTTATTAATATTTCCCCTCTACATCACAGTGGAATAGAAGACATTAGTCAGGGATCCCAGAATATTCCTTTGCTATAAAGTCTTCATCTTGACCCTTGCGTGTTCAGCATTATCAATCATCAAAATCTCACTGCAGCATAACATAACCATGAAAGTCGTAGCAGTCGCTGGTGGAACCGGAAGTGTTGGTAGCACCATTGTCGATGGCCTTGTCGAGTATGGCAAGCACAAAGTATATGCACTTTCTCGATCGGTAATCTCCCTATAAATTCATGTTTCGTTCCTTGTAAGCTAATAACCCTCCCAGGAACGGCCTCCGTCAGGCGCAGTGAACTATCTCAAGGTAGACTATAACGATGTCGACGCTATCACCAAAGCTCTCGAGAAAGCAAACGTCAACATCCTCGTATGCGCCATCAGTGTCGTTTCGCCTGAAGCAAACCAGGCTCAGAAGAACTTGATCCAAGCGGCAGAGCGGTCAACTTCCACGGAGAGATTCGTGATCAGTAGCTTCGACGTGCTTCATGTGAAAGAGTAAGTCGACGATCATTCAACTTCAGTTTCAACTAACCTTGAGCACAGGGATATTGAACTTTCTCCTTTGTCAAGATACACTTTCGAAGCGATTGATATGCTAGAAAAGACAAGTCTTACGTACACACGCATCGCCAATGGCTGGTTTCTCGATTACTACGGCATGCCGCATTGGAAATCCAATCTTGAGCCATGGATCAACGTTCTCAACATGAAGTCGAAGTGGGCAGCTATTCCCGGTGATGGGAGTGTCCAAGCGAGCTTCATCACCTCTCAAGACATGTCCAGATTCGTAGCTCGGTTGATGGACATCGGGGAATGGCAAAAGATCAGCGCTATTCGAGGCATCACGCTTTCTTTTGATGAGCTAGTGCAAACAGCTGAGAAAGCCCGGGGTACGTTGTTAAATACTCAGTCGGAATCATCTCATTAACGAATTGATAGGAGCCAAATTTGAGGTTGCTGTTGATAGTTTGGAAAAGTTAAAGTCTGGCAAGATCTCATTCTTTCCGGACTTTCCTCCTATTGGGCACGGTGATGGAGATGAAGCGTTCTTTGCAATGATCCATTACCAAGCTGGTATTGGTCGCTATGTGGTACCAAGTGACCTTTCATTTTTGGATGACAAGTTTCCTGATTTGAACATCACTGAGGTTTCTGAAGTTATGGGTTCATGGAAAGGACAGTGAGATGATACGTTTTTGTAAAGTTTCTCATTCTGTGCCGAGATTAATTTGTAAAGTGCACCACGTTGATATTTGTGCTGATTAAAATTGAGTTGTTCCTGACATCCAACCTTCATAAACATGGCAACGAATTGTTGATGTATTTTATCTAATCAAGTTTTTCTCAGAAGCTTCGGGTCTCATGTCCGAGGAAGCCTGCTGCTCCTCCTTTCGCTGACTGTCAGCCAGCGCCACACGTCTCCTAGCATCAATATACACCATATACTCTTCATACGTATGAGGTAGAACCTTGAGATCCTTGGGCACAGAGAATGTATAGTTGAACTGGCCAGTAGGCTTAGCAACGCCATGCTCAACGTCGCGAACCTTGCTATCGACTCGGACATGGACACGAGTCATAGGGTTCTCATTGTCGGGGAAACCAGGCTCAGTGCCATCTTCTTCCAATAAAGGAGGGTCAGTGTAAGCAACAGTCGCAGTCAAATATAGAACACTTCCGATTGGGACTGGATTGCGAAATGTACAGGGATCCGCACTGATGAAGGTTGGTCTTGCATGAGCGAAACTGGCCGCGCAACAGAAGGCAAGCTCAAACGTCTGCTTCAAATGGAATCCACCAAATATCATGACCTGATGTCGATTGCGATTCTGCGGCTGCATGATAGACGCAGTTGAAAGCTGTGTTTTTGACATGGCAACAACGTTGGGTGGTTGGCGAAGATCGTTGTTCGGATCATGGTAGGCAAGTTGCCGAAGCCAGATTTGGTGGATTAGTGCAGACTCGGCATCATTAGGCTCAGTTTGGAGAAGCGAAGCCTTAGAGGTCTCCTTCTTGGACAGTGACTTTGCTTCTCCAGCCTTGAAAATCTTCTCTTCCTCCTCGTTGGTGGGCTCGAGCTTAGGAATGTTGACGGGCTTGCGCGTGTTGGGATCCAAGGCTACCATGGTAAAGGTGCATGTGAGAAGGACGTCTTCAGGTTTGCTTGGCTCGCCTTCTTCTCGGGCCTTGGCGACTTTACAAGTAATCTCGACACTACTTCGACCAGAGGCATACGTAACTTGACCACTATACTCAAGATCACAGATTTCAGTGAGGGGATGAGCTATCGTGATTCGGTCGAGGGCGGCAGTGACTGTGGTAACGCCTGGGCCTGTGTGCTTGTAGACAATGATACCAGAAAGGGCATCAAGATCCATGAACAGTGTTCCAAGTCTGACGGAGCAATCAATATGTTATCGGAACGGGTGAAGGGACGAATTCATACCTAATGTGACCGGACGAATTGACGTATGTATCAGACAGCCAAGGGTCCTTCTTGAGAGGTAGCACGACGCGATGATAGCTGTCGCTCATCTTCCTCGGTGTCAAGTCGCGTTCTTTCGGTATGTCATCAGAATTATGAGCCGGTTTCCCTTCTTGCAGTCGTTTGAAAGCTTCAATCCAAGGCATTGGCTTCCGCTGATCAGCCAGACCTTTGAATACGCCATCAGTTTGTGACGTGGCTGTGGTATGAAATGTATTGGCTCTGAGACCAGCCAATGCAGGACTGGCAGACCTAAGTGTATGTGGGCGTCTTAGAGACGCTATCACACTTCTTGCTTCTCTTCCCCTGTACATCATGGATTAATGAGTTGCTGATTGTGGTGATTGAATGAATGATGTTGAGGAATTGTGACGCAATGGCGCGTTTTGGTGAAGCGGTGGAACCCGACAAGTTGCCGATAAGGACGCGATAACAGATCTAGGGGTGGGAAGCAAGAAAGACAATATTACTAAGTAAGTTTACGCCATCTCATAACCGACTCTTAAGCCGCTTATTTTGACACCATTGACCCTAACCGAGCTAACCTGAACTTCAACGGACGAAACCGGCTCTACGATCCTGACACTAGGGATCTCAGAGAAAATGCGATAGGAATGAACTTGACAAATTTACTTATAATATTATTTGTGTCTACCTTTGGTGAGTGATGTACGTGTGTATTCTTTGCAGAAAGTTGGTTAACTGAAGCTCACGTCAAATAATTGTCTCCAACATACCCACAAAGAACTTTCACGCAGACGCCCAACCTAAGCAACTTTGGCGTGTCCCAAAACTTTATCTCATACCTCCGATTACTCCCCAAGTTCAAATCTCGAGCTTGGAAACTTGTAGCCACTTTTCGTCAGACTCAGCAAGAGCCTTGGCTGCCATCTGAGCATAAGGAATCGCACTAGGGCCCAAAACAATCCTCAGTGGTGGATTTTCAACCTCAGAAAGATGCTTGATGGCCCTTGCTATATCTGAACCTTCGGACCAAGCTGACTTGTCCTCTCTAATTTTGATCATCTCACCAACGGTCTGTTGGTAAGGTTCGCTGATTACCGCAGCGCTGGTGGCAGCATCGGCCCAGTCAGTCTTGATACCACCAGGCTCGGCAACAGTGACTTTTATGCCGAAAGGAGCAACTTCTCGGGACAGACCAGTCGAGAACCCAGCAACAGCCCATTTGGCACTTTGGTAGGCGACGATTCCAGGCGAACCAACTCGGTCACCAATCGTCGACACCTGAATGATGTGGCCAGACTTTTGTTGTCGCAGGATAGGTAACACGGCCTTTGTCACGTTGACAACACCGAAAAAGTTGACATTGACTTGTGAATGGAATGATTCCAGGGATGCGTCTTCGACGGAAGACATCTCTGCGTAGCCTGCGTTGTTGACGACCACGTCGATGCGACCAAACTTATCAACCGCCTCCTTGACAGTTCTGCTGGCTTCTTGAGCGTTAGCCACATCAAGAGCCGTAGCGAGAATTTTGTCGGGCCCGTATTTGGTGGCCAGATCATCAAGCTGTGAAGGGTTGCGAGCAGTTGCCACGACCATGTCTCCGGCAGCAAGGATTTGCTCGACTAATGCACGGCCAACGCCACGGGAGGAGCCAGTGACGAACCAAACTCGGGCCATGTTGAAGAATGAATATGTAGTTAATGGTGTTATTATGCTGGGTAGTGCTTCAAGTGAAGAAAAAGTGTAAGATGTTTGCTACTGATGAGATATACTACGTAAACAAGAAATGCCACTTTATATAGATCCATATTTGATTCACTGCTGTAAACAAACTTAATGTCTTAACTCCATATTCCCGAGTTGGACGAGAAATAAGCATTAAGAAGATGACCGACTTGCAGTTGAACTAACATTACAGTGGCCGATGATCAAGTGCAAGAAAATGGGTCCCCGTTAACTCCGGCGGCAAAAATGCCATATTCCACTGACGTGCATTAGGTACCACTATAATTCTTCGCTGGAATAATGCCTAGTGGGTAGCACTACCTGTACACCAGAGGTAGCCTCGCCATATCTAGCTGTGACAGCATACAGAAGTTGCCATTCAAGTTTATAAAATGCTTGATCATCTTGATCATATACTAGATAGACATAAACCCATTATTTGCCGTTTCCATTATACAACAACAGATTTGGGACCCCCTTGGTATCTGAAATCTTGTCTTTAATGGCCAGTTCTTGGAGCCGAGCCCGAATCTGAGCCGGTGTACGGGATCCCTCCAATCCCAAAAGGTAAGCAACGACACCCGCAACATAAGGAGCAGCCTCCGATGTACCACTTGATGTGCGCGATGCCGAGGCAGAAGTGGAAGACGCGGATAAAATATCTTCACCCGGGGCAAAGATGTCGCAAACCGATCCCCAATTGGAATGAGTCCATCGCTGGTATTTGTTATTACTGGCCGCCACAGTGATGGCATTGGGTTGGTTTGCAGGGCTTAGTGTTGAGGCATCCTGGTTTGAGTTTCCAGCGGCTACAACAACAATAATGCCAGCGTCGATAGCTTTCTGCACCGCATCGTTCAAGATAGTCGAGGATGCACCTGACAAGCTCATGTTGATGACGGACTTTCCAGCACGCTTCTTAGCCACAACGTCGTTTACCGTCCAGCTAATACCAGCCAGGATACCACTGGTGGAGCCACCGTCGTCGCCTAAAACCTGCACATCTACAACAGTCGCCTTTTTGGCAACTCCGTATGTAGCGCCGTTGATGATAGCGGCCACAAGAGTACCATGCCTCTTCTCGCTGGTCACACCTGACGTGTCAGCGCCAAAGACAGCGCGACCCTGGAATTCCTGGTGCTCGAGGAGGATGCCACTATCCAAGACATAGGCAAACGTTCCTGCACCAGCTGTCGAGTCGTAATGGTAGGATGCACTCGAGGATGGAGGGTTGGCGTTGGAAATTGCGGAGAGACCCCAAGGAGGACTTTGCTGTGTAACCGGCGATGCTACGGTAAAGACCTGTTCAGGTTCCACGTACAAGACCTATTTCTGAGTCAACTCTATCCATGCAATTTGACAACTTGTTTGTATACTCACACTGGAATTGGCCTTAATGATTTTGATCGTCTCCTCGTCAAATGAGCCAGAGTAGCCTTGGAAGCCAGGAAAATTGAACTTCTTGTCAATCCCACCAGACTCAACACCGCGACGCGTTAGAGACTGTCCATGAACGTCGGACACCCATCGAGCGTGGAGATCAAGATCAATATCCTTTGACTTGAGCGCTACAATGAATTTCCCAGGCACGATATCCTTGCCTGTGGGGAGAGCGAGGGCTACAGCCGCAACACCGAGTAGGATAAACCTTTTGAACGACATCTCGATTACAAACTTGGGACGAGTGATATGAAGGACCGTAGAATCAACGACGAAACTACAACCTACTTATATACGAGATTTGAGTATTAATCTCCATATTTACTACCCAGGAGTAGAGCGACAAACACTCCCAGTTGCCTTTATAGTTTAAATGTCCGTTCTGATCCTGGCACTATGTATCCTTGCAATCACAGCCAAGACTTTCGGTTGACCTTACCACCTTCCATTTCAACACTAGCAGCCTTGCGGCAGTGGTGTTTTCGCGGGGTTCCTTGATATCACTTCGTCAATTTGTGCTTTTATTGCGACATCTTGCCGTTCTAAATATACCCTTACCGCAGAATTATGCCAAAGACTAGCATCGAGCCACTTTCGTGACGGTATACGAAGAACAGGCTTGGCAATAACAAGGGCTAACAAATCTACTGTGGTGACGATCAAGTCCATTGTCATAATAACAAATTTATGTATTTCTTAACCGGTTTGCAGAGTAATGCAAATGCCTTTCATCTATGGCCGAGTAATGGCTACCATGCTAGTCACGTTATCCAAGATGCAGCTTGCAAAGAAAGAAAATGAATTAAGCAGACAATGTATCATCGGCTTACTCTAGATACGGGTTTATTGGAGTTGAGATATTAGTATTTTAATGGCAATCGAACGAATCTGTAACCCAGTATTACCAGCGTTATTGTTCGTGGTTGGCCTTGTCACCAACTGCAGTCAGCAGACTGCTTACTAGTCCACAGATCAGCATTTCGTCCATGCGGCATTTCTTTCCGTCATGCACTCAACAATGTTGGACTAAGCCGTATTCTAACCCAAACAATCCAAGCACCCAAATCACCAAGACTCTTGCTACTGGAACAATGGCACCAATCCAACCAATCGTAGACCCAGGTACGTTGGCCGCAACGCATCCAATATGTGCTGCAGATGCTAACGAGAAGTTGTAGGGCTGCAGGATTTCTACGATTTGACGCCCCCTAGAAGGCTGGGTACTATAACTCCGTAAATTTCTGCGACAATACTTACACATTGTTGTTCAGGTCGAGGAAGACACGCGATTGTGGTTGAGTGTCGCAGTCGAAACGATCGAGTGTACGCTATGAAGCTCTTCAAAGATGACAGCCGGGACAGGATAGCTCGCGAGATCGAAATCCTGCGACATTTGAGATCCGGTCCAAATATAGTGCAGATCGTGGATGTTGTGCAAGGAGAAGAGGTTTGTTGTTCAATGTTCTCTCGCTAAATCATGGCTAAATACATGGGTTTCTAGGGAGCCGACATCGGTATAGTCCTTGAGTATATCGAGAACATAGACTACCGGACCCTTTACCCTCGATTTACTAATTCAGACATTCGCTACTACACAAAGGAGCTTCTAAAAGCATTGGAATTTGCACACGACCTGGGTGTAATGCATCGCGATGTGAGACCCTTGAATGTGGTCATCGACCATCACAGAAGGAAGGTAGTATTTCCCCTATAACCAATAAATAAAACTTATCTGACGATTAACTTGGTAGCTTCGACTCATAGGGTGGAGCTCGGCCGAGTTCTACGAGCCGGGGGCTGAGTATGACTGCTGCGTAGGTTTCTACAAGCCACCTGAAATCCTTTTGAGTCACGAGAAATATGATTGCAGTGTTGATATGTGGTGTCTGGGTAGTATGCTAGCTTCAATGATTTTCAGGAAAGATCCCTTTTTTCATGGCAGCAGCCTCCTCGACCAGTTGGTCAGAATCTCCAAGGTTCTTGGAACAGAAAAGCTCTATCGTTTGGCTGAACAGCTCGAAATTGTGATAGAACAGGAAGAATATGAAGCTCTTGGTCATCGTGAAGAGAAGCCTTGGGTCAGTTTTGTTGATAGTGGTAACGAGCATTTAGCAACAAGAGAAGGTATGAATCTTGTCGACCGGTTGCTACGATTCGACCCAAGGGTGAGGAGAAGAATTACTTGTTCCATCTGACTATGCTAACCTGAAGGATTAGGAACGCATTACCGCCAGAGAAGCCCTTCAGCACTGCTACTGTAGTGATACGGCTTAGTTACCTTGTCAGCTTTCAATAAAGGTTTAAGCTGGCAAAGGATGAAGCCCTCAAGAAAGACCAACATTCTCAACCACACAGGATGCAAACGCCATATTCGGCTGAACTGGGTTTGGAAAAGGTCGATGACTCATGGTTAGACAAGTGCCGATTCTTGATGATTAGGTCCGAATCGAATTGCAGTTTCAAGCTCAGGGCGAGTATCGGGACGCGTATCATCTGTTGTACAGTATGCTTTTCCCCTTCCTCAATGACGTATGCTCCCATTATCTTGGTCAAACATTTCTTCCAATGGCGGTCAAGGCATTTCAATATCATGAGTCTATTGGTGGGTGGGTGTGGATGATTGCACAGGCGTACCCGAGGAACTCTCTTTTTCAATAAGAGCAAGTTACATGATTAAGCCACAACAAAAGCAGCTCGTCGTTCTTTTGTCAAGGCTCCAAAGCCATGTTCCGGAATCCCGTCATCGACTTGACGCCTCCATAGTCGCTCGGCATAGAGTGCTCAATATAATGGCATGTTTCAGGCTTGTTTCTGTGAAGATCGGGTCATTCTAAATCCGAATATCCTCGTGTTCAGAGCGAGTACGATGCATCTAGCTTAAAGTAGTTGGTCTCTATCAAAACGCTATCATTATTCCAGTGCCAAAGATCAACCTACACTTCCGGTATTGGTTGTACCTGTAAGCCGGTGCTTCTTATTGGTTGAGATTCTCTAGTTTGGGTCAATATGATTAACTATTGGCCTTAAACCGCGTACTAATGTGCCAATGGGACTTCGTGTTCAGCCTGCAACCTAAACATGTCACATCTTAAGACGAATCTCCGAAAATCTCATAAAGTTGGCTTGAAGCTAATGTAGAACGTCATCGCGCACGAGGATGGGCAATTGGTACCTGTCATTACTGACGTCAATATAATTGCCGTTAACGGATAATGGCAATGCATCACGCGACAGGACACTAGACTTTGATAGTAAATAAAACCTAACATACGAATTCTTGGCGATACCTGACTTTTACCAAGTGTCGAGTAATTGTTCTGTTCCAGAAAGCCACATCTTGTTCACCAGTACCATGTGGTCCTTGGTCCAACGTCGACAAATATCTAATCAGATAAGATCAGAATACCAACTCGATCCAAGCTCCGTCGAGAAACAGAAGACCAGCCCATCTCGCAATAGCTTACCACTCAGCAGTGATGAGCCAGTTAGTCGACATAATTCCCTCAACGACAGTGACTTTATAGTTCAAAGCACAGGCGACGATGACCCCCTTGACCCCAAGAACTGGCTTATTACAACGAGGGCCCGAAGCATGGTCATTATATGCCTCCTGGTCTTCACACAATGTTGGTCTGGTGCCGCAGACTCCATCGGAAATGCCATGGCAAGCAAAGAGTTGCATGTCAGCCAAGTGGCTGAGAACGTCTCAACGGCGGTCTTTCTCTTCGGTGTCGGAACTGGCGCTCTCTTTTCAGGGCCACTATCGCAGGCCGTTGGACGCAATCCCACCTACCTGGTTGCTACAGCGTTCTACCTTTTCTTTGTGCTCGGATCGGCTATGACGCCTACTTTTGGTGGACAGGTGGTGTGTCGATACTTTGTCGGGTTGTCAGCTAGCGCTACCCTGACGATCAATGGTGCAAGCGTGAATGACCAATTTCGACCTGTCAAGAAAGCTTTCGTATTCCCAATAGTCGCCTGGGCCAATATTGCAGGTCAGTAGGCCCGAAAATCCGCGTTTGCCTCGGTTCCTTACTCTCATAGCTCCTGTTATTGCTCCCATTGCAAGTGGTTGGATAGTTCAGGACGAAAAGCTAGGATGGCGATGGACCAACTGGGTAACCCTGATCATGTCAGGAGCTGCTTTCTTGGTCGCCTTTTTCTTCCTTCCAGAAACACACTTTCCGCTACTGCTGGCATGGAAAGCGAAAGAACTACGTCGTGCTACTGGGGATCGAAGATACATCTCAGATCACGAGCAACAACCATCGTTCTGGAAACAACTTGGCAAGACTCTTCCACTGCCAGCAACATTCTTCCGCACTGAACCGGTTATCATCGTTCTTGGCCTTTACCTGGTCTTACTCTACATCCTACTCTTCAGCTTCCTATCTGGCTTTGACTACATCTTTAAGCGCACATACTCTCTCACTCTTGGATACCAAGGCTCCTGCTTTGCCGCCATTGCGTCCGGAGCTACATTCTTCGCTGCTTGCAGTCCATTATTGTACAATTGGTCACGAAATCACACCGAACACATCCGAGGAGCCGTCGTGGAACCCGAGTTTAGACTGTGGCCCGCTATCGTTACAGCACCGTTTCTTCCTATCTCCCTCTTCTGGCTGGGTTGGACAAACGACAGCAATATACCAATATGGAGTGGTCTGGGTGCCTGCTTTGTATTTGGCGTTGTGCTTATGGCTATATACGTCAGCAGCTACGAGTACATCACCGACAGCTACGGGGAGCATTCCGCCATTGCGCTTGCAAGTATCACAATGTCAAGATATCTCATTGCTGGCGGCATGGTCATGGCTGCAAGGCCCATGTATGGGAATATCGGGGTTCACTGGACCATGACACTCCTGGGTTGCATTGCGGTATTGTTAACGCCGGCGCCATTTCTGTTCTGGAAATGCGGTGCCAAGTTAAGGAAGAGGAGTCCATATGCAACTTCTGACATCTGATTTCACTTTTCAATCTTGTTTAGAGACAAACACGTGCTGCTTTTACAGGCTACCAGTGTTTCTGTATTGGGAGTTCCTTTATAGCATGGTGTATGATGCTTTGTTGCAGGTTGCCTCCTTCTGTTCCACCTCTGATTCGCGATGCCATTTGAAGCATTATTCTCGTATATTAGACAAGACCTTTTTTATTCAGTTTAACCTCTGGCATATAGCTCTATTTCATAATATTATTACATGAGTCCCGCTTTGTCATACTGTTGCAGGCAATTCTTACCAGCTTAGGAATTGGTAAACGCTGCAAGCGCATCCTCCAGACACTTAATAGTGTCATCAGGCTTACTCAACATTGGAGAATGGCCACTTGCAATCTCTCGTACGACCAGATCGGCGCCAGCCTTTTCCGCAGACTGTGCGAACATCTTCTGTACCTCCAGTGGAAGGTTCTTGTCCTCTGCGGTCATGATATACCATACAGGTACATCTTTCCACCCCTCGTATGAGACTTCGTATCCGTCAGTTACAGACGTCAGCGCCTGGTCGGTAAGTTTTCCCACCCAGTACTTTGCTTCCTCCTCGGGAAGGTCGTGGTATAACATTTCAACTGGATCGAGTTGGAGGGGCATGGTATTGGTCTCATAGTCGGCAGCCCACAATGGCGGAGGCTTGCCACCAACGGCATCTAGAAAGGATATTCCAGAAGCTACAAAGCCCGTTCCAACCATGAAAAGACCAATAACATGACCATTTCCTTTGTTATCTTCTGCGTTCTTCCGTGACAAGCCCTTGATGGTACTGGCACCGACAGCACCGCCGTAGGAATGGGCCAAGATAACAACATCCTGGTCTTGAGCGGTCTCTGTCATAATAGCCTCACGAACGGCGTTAACGTCGGTGGAGAAGTTGACCGAGGTGCTCGTTGATTGTGTGGTAGGAAGTGTGACGGGTATGCACTTATAGTCTTGAGCTTCCATGGCTGATTTGACTTTACCCCAGTATTCCGGGGTATGCCATGCTCCGGGGACAAAGACAAGGGAGGGTTTGCGTGTCATAATTGTGATATTGAGAACTTAGGGTAATTGTTCGAAATAGTGAAAAAGGACGAGATGATGTACTGTCCAGATATGTCGTCGCAAGTTAATGATATATATACATCTGTATCGGATTTCGGGCTTCGGTTGAGAGAACCTTGGCTGCGGACTTCGGGATAAATTGACGACGTATTTGCCAAAGGTGCCTCGTTAATGCTGGCTTTCTCTATGCTCACTGGCCTCAACCCTGGCCGTTGTCCCGCTATTTCGTCAGAAGTCGGGTTGATTAATGATTACGACAGTCTAAAATTTCAGAATCTGGAATTTAAATAATCTTGACAGTTACCGAGCATACGGGAAGGATATGATGACAGGAAACTCGTCAAAAGCACGACCTGATTGGCTAGAGCAGCGGAGTTTGAATTTATGTCAGCTCGTCTACGCGTCTCGAGTTGGTTTAGTTTCACTTACTAGCTTCTAAGCCGGCTGACAGCCATTCCTGTCCCTGGAAGAACAACTCTGTTTTCGTTAGTGGAGACTTGATCAGGCAGCTGAGCACTAGTAGACTATCTGTATCAGACGGGAAACATCGGGTGCTGTGTTAGTGTAGTATCTAGCTTGATAAAATTCCAGCAGACTCCAACATCGAGCATGTATCGACAAACAATGAATCTGGTGAGTTGTCTCCAAAACTTATCAACGCCTCAACCTTTACTTTGCCAAATCTCCTCTTTGATTTCGCAAACCCCTCAGTGATCGTCGATTACTTTATCCACCGTCACGAGTTGCATCCGAGCGACACAAAACAGTCATTCGACATGAGTACCGCAGCTACAAGGACTCGACGACCCCACACGCGTAGCAAGACAGGGTGTCTGACGTGCCGAAAGCGCCGTGTACGCTGCGACGGCGGAAAGCCTACGTGGTAAGTCGGACTTTGATTTCCTGATTCGACTGTTTAGTCGAGGAGCACTGCACTGGTGTTCCAAATCTGGTTGGTTAGCTAATGCCGTTGAGTAGTACCCGATGTTCCGGTGCAGGAAGGGAGTGTGAGTTTGCAGACACTGAGTTACCACTCCGTGATCGAAAAACTATCTTCCTACCTGGAGAGCAGGCACCTTGGGTAGTCAGCTCTAACAGTCCATCCGTGGCACTGGTCGTTGATTCGCCTTTTGCGAAATCGGTTGAGCCGTTTGACTGCTTGGGTCTTGACATGTCCTTACGTTCAAGAGAACTGCTTCATTATTGTGAGTTCGAGTCATGTTGCACTTCAACAACAGCACCACTAATAAATCTAGTCCACCACAGTCATGACAGCTCTGATTTGATCTTGGCAAAAGCCTCGAGAAACATGTACGTACCTGTGCCCGCTTACCCTAGCCAAATCTTACCAGTCTGTTCTGCAGCTTTGCATCTGTTGCTCAACATCCAGATGCCCTCCGTGACACTCTTCTTGTGGCAGGTCTGCACTATGCATGGACTGTCGGTGATCTTCAGACGTACAACGCCACGTTCCTCTATCATAAAGTGTCAACGATTGGCATCCTGAACAGATGGTTGCAGAACATTCATCAGCCAGGGTTGATGACTTTCATCCGGCATGTTTCCATTCTTTGTTTCATCGAGGTATATCGTCCTTTTCCTTTCACGTTCTTGAGGGTTTTGATATACTGACTGTTCGCGGATCGAAGGCTTCGTATGGAAACGTTGGTGATACTGAAGCTCACATTAACGGGTTGTCCAACGCGGTGAATCTTCTCAGTCCCCTCGATGACGACTTTCGCAACAGAACAGGACTCGAGGAAGAACTTGCCAATAGATATCTCCTGCTGTATGTCTTATCCAAGTTCTTCTTCTATTTGTTCCCAACTGATTTGTCAGTACCCACTACGCCTATCAAGGTTTCAAAGCTCGAATACTGGGCAGTGATTCCCTGAAGACCATGTTCCGCCAGAACAATGCCGCCGAGTTTTCAACATTTGTGTCGCTCATTCATCGTTGGAAGACGCAGAATGTTGGACATCTCGAAATGCGACTGAACGCTATGAAACTGTTACCGTTCTTCTTCGCGATCCTTCCTTCGTCTACCTGTTTCCACAACATCGATGCATCGCCATTGATTGAGCATCTGAAGCATGTGACTATTTCGACACAGACTGCCAACGAAGACCGTTACAAGTGCGATCCGAGCTGGGAGTGGATCGAGGGTTCAGAGTCGCGATTGCTATGTGCCACTATCAGCTCACACTTCTCATCTCTCTTTGAGGACGACATGTTGTCATCCTCGGGAACTGTCAAGTACAGCATCTCGTGGTCTGGAATGTGTGCCGCGTCGAGCTTGTACATGCATAGTGTTCTGGAGCTTTGGGACGGTGGCCAAGCCATGGACTCTAGTCTATTGCGGAGGTTTCTCTGCATAATGCAGAAGGATCTTGAAAACAACATGGGTGCCCTGGGATCAGATGATAGTTCTAACTTTTGGTTCTGGAGAGCCTTTCTTGGGATGTACAGCATTGCGAAACACCAAGCCCAGTCGTACGAACCAAAATTGGATGATCTCGCTAATGTATATCATGGTTTTGTGGATACATGGAAAGATATTACGGGATCAAGGCTCTGGGAAGACGTTCATCGACGCTTGATCTCAATAGCATGGCCTGATCGTCAGGGTCATGAACTGGAGCCGAGTGTGTGGGGAAGAGCAATTCAGCATGAACCATCCGACCCATAGTTCTACAACGAGTAAGAAGCGGATGTCACATGTATAACATGTTGTAGCAAAACTCAACTCTTAGATAGGGAACAGGTGCTTGTTGAATTTCGTTGATCAGTATAATTTGTATACTACTCTATTCTTGATGGGGGTCTTCTCAAAGTTAATTGTATACTACTATATAGATATCCGACCATCTTTATCACGAGATGAACCATGTTCAAATTAAGAGATGTTAGAAACAAAGTTTATCTCCTGACAGGAAGTTCCTCATCAACCTGGCTATCGTGCAATTGCTCTTCGTATCTGCAAGCTCCTTCTCGGTTAAGCTCATCCCGTGGCCTTGCTTGCGTTGCAAAGTGCCTAGTATCTGTACAGTTTTCACCCTGGGAACAACCAATGAGAAAAATCTACTGAGGAGTTATCATGACAAGGGCTCGTGAGATTTTATTTTTCAAGCTTAGCGGCCAATAAAACCTCATCGGACCGGGTCCGCGATGTGGACAACGTCCCACTATTTCGGAGCTTCTGCTCCAGCCCCCTGTTCACTCGACTGATGTTACCCAACACCATGTCAACTCGTGAGAATAATCACGACAGTCAGCCAATTTGAATGTTTATATATGAATCATGTATGTATACTAACTTTCGTCGGATGTGAGTTGATACTTCATGTCTAGAAGCAGCCACGTTCGGCATCGTTGCGTTCTCCAATCTGTTCGAATCATTGGGTATCACCGGGAACATCGTCCAAGGAGCTCTTGGAACTTGTCAGTCCATTTCTATACATGCTTATTGACTCTGGATATTTCACAACAAGCGTACCATGGTACAGCGGGGGCTTTGGGGACTGATAAGAAAGTAGCACGTGAGATTTCACATCACGAGCAAATCCCCAGTCACCACCGCTCCACACTCTGTGTATTCCTCAACCAAGCTTGGAGGCTGTTCCTTATACATTCTCCGCAAAAGACTTTCCACTAGGAGGAGATACATACAATTTCAGGGTCCAAAGCATTTGCTGTCTTCCAGGGGGAAAACCTGCAACTGCGTCATTTTGCTTGAAGCAGCGGAGTGCGGGTCGCAGTAAGGGTCCAGGGTCTTTGCACTTTGCAGACAGGTTTACATCATACCTATGTCATTACGGGGCTTTCTAGAAGATTCAGAAAGGGATTCGATTCTCAAAAAGTCAGGCAATTGTTTCGATCGATGAATCCGTGACCTTTTTGCCTTCTGGAAGAGCCCAGATCAGTGCGCAGTCAAGATGAACAAGCTCAGTCGCCCAGGCCAGCAGAATTATTTCATTATAGCAAGATCTGCGACCCAGCAGGACGTGGGTAATCTCTTGATTCATGTCACATAACTGTGTACTCACGTGATTATAGGATCAGCACAGCTGTGAAGACCCTGAACAATTTGGCCAGCCACTTTACGATGTCCCGCTATTTCAGACAAAGGCCATTTCATCGAACCTGACTGCAAAGCCGGACAGTCAAAACACATATGATGTACAACTTCATTCCCAACCACGTACACAGACGCCTTCTCGAAATCCGCCCAGACTGCACACTGAACGGCGTCGTCAAAGTCTGAAGAGGAATCACGTTAGTCGCTCGTGCTTCAGTGAGGAATCTGTCTCTGAACAGGAGACCGTATACTCGCGGCAGGCGAAATCAGAGCCAGCCAAGGCCTCTGGATCGTGTCGGTCATGCACGTTTTGCGACGAGACAGAGACTCCTAGGTGGCGTAAGGGACCTGGTGGACGCCGGACCCTCTGCAACGTTTGCGGTTTAATCTATGCCAAGAGGCGGTCGAAAGGTAAATCACCGATACTTACCGGAGGACATAGTCGTGGTACCCGTGGCACCGTCTCCGACCTCTTCACGACAATCATAACTTGAATCCCACTGGCTGTTCAAGTTAAGCAGGTTCCAACTGCCCGCACCAATTTTGAACTATCGAGGTGGACATATAGTCCAGCACGTGCTGATCTTGAGTCATGATCTTATTTGAAGGTGTCTGGACGGAACGTTTTTCTTCACATTTTGCAGCGTTACAGGATTACGGTGTCGGACAAGTATTTGCGGTGTAATTGGGTTCGGGGACCAAACAAAATATCAGGAGTTCTCAGCATTAAAGTCCATGAAACGGTTCATTTGACAGATTTGAAAAGATTGCACATCATTAGAATAACTTTGTCATTTCCCCATAACGATTCAGCTATAAAGGTCTAGATTTTTCGATCTACATACTACGATAGATCTTTTATCTACTACCGCCAATTGTGAAAACAACTGTTCTCAGCAAGTGTTTGGCATTGTTAATCTGCACTAACAAAACAAAGTAAAGAAGCTGTCTTCAGATTATGGTCTGAAACAACGGATGTAGTCCGCTGTGGAGATAATCCAAAAGGTTCGACCGGTTGAACTAGAGGAACGATGTGGGCGAATTGACGTTGCCGTACAGGCACAACAAAGCTAAGAAGCACCAAGTGGGAGGACGAGTCCGGCGCTTTGGGAAGCTAATCTTTGGTGCCGGTAATTTCTACCCTTCATGGTTACTGTGTTCACTACGATACAGCCAGTGGCTGGATGCCATGGCTCAACCCCTCATTACCTAGCAATAAGCAACTCTTCTCAATATGAAATGCCGAGTTGTTAAGAAGCTTTGGGCACACAGTGTTACATAGTGTTGGGCAGTGGAGGCAAAGAATAAGAGGGTCGCACATTTACAAAAAAAAATCAGGCGTTGCATTTCTGTCTTCCGTCAGTCCGAGAGGGTGGAAAACACTGTGTTGCACATAGGAAAACTCAGCCGTAGACACTTGTACCAATAGGCAAGCGGCCTTGTGAAGGGAGGAGTCGTGGCTTACGCGTCGGTAATGATGGCTGCAGCAGTCAGGTGCATTTATTTCTGGGCGATAAGGTAACCTATGTTGCACTGCTGGGGGCGCTGAGAGACAGGCAGAAACGGCACAGCAACGGCCATTTTTAGGTATGCAAGGAGCATGGAAAAGCCTTCTTCATCATGCCAGGGTGCTGTGAGGGACAGGCCTGAGCGTACATGAGACGAGAAGATGTCTCGTAGCCAACAAAGCAAAGGAAAGAAAGGCTCAGCAAGGGAGTGAGAAATTGCAAGAGACTGTTGAGTCCAGCTTATTGAGTGTGGCTGGTCGTGTTGCTGGGGCAAATGATCATTTTTGCTATGTACCAGGTGGTGAAAACTCAAATGTCGAGGGAGGAAGAATGGGATTGTGGAAAAAAGCCCCGGATGTCTGGTTACCCGTGTAGAATTGCTATGCTCCATCAAAACAAAGTTAATAGACCAATGCAAAGCTCAACAAGCAAAACTCATGCGGCATGTTTACTCCGGATCCCGCGAAAGGACCCTTATTCAGGGTCCCTGCAGGTTAGCACCCAATAACGTAGTGATCGTCAAGGGTAGCTTGGGGCGAGATTGGCTTCTCGTCACGCTTTAGCACCAAAGAAGCCCTAGAGTGTACAGTAAGCGGGAGACAAACAAAAAAAGAGGGGTGAGAGGGGGGTATTAGAAGCGCTCGATCCCAAGGTTCTCCCTTTTGTTTTGAAGATCGAGTTCCCTATATGTCCCTCTTTCATTATGACTTCCGGATCCATAATGAAACAACCGCAATCCCTCACCAAGACGAGCAATCCTGCCTTGATCCGCAGAAGACGCGAGCGCTCTCACCCCTGTCAAGTTGATCCTTTGGAGTCGAGCATTTTCCCACCCCGACGCTGTAATTTCGCCCGGAGACCTCCGGGTTCCAGTCGACGAGTAAGATTTCCCCGCATCTTTATTCATCCGTTACCGAATTCAATAACTAATTCCGTCTTAGGTCCGACACAGCATTCAGGATGTCCAGCACACGGGTCTGCCTCTCTGCGACGTCGTCTTATTCCAGAATGCAACCATTCCAAGCCCGTTAGCCTGCAAGCCTACAATTTCACAATTAAAGGCTGGCTCCCGCGCCCCATCTATGCAATCACCGGCCACTCCAGCGTGTTCAGTCAGATCTCGTTCTGCCAGGGCGAGCATGAGGGATACATATGAAGCGCGTACGTGGCGGAACAGACTCAGACGGCATTCCGTAAGCTCCAGTCCAACCCCTGTCATAACATAAAACACGTTTACTAATCCGCGACAGAGGTCTCCCAGATCACTCGAGTCAAGTCCATGTTGCACTTCTTGCTTCACACAAGAAACTCCCAAGTGGCGTCAAGGTCCCTTTGGATCCCATACCTTGTGCAACGTATGTGGCCTCCTCTACGCCAAACGTGAAGCCAGAGTCCAATCAGTCATGGTTCAAAGGGAACTTGACAGACTCTCACACGTGTTTTAATTTGACGCGCCCATGATTACGGTCTCATTTCGTTTCTTTTCTCTTCTTTTGTTGCTTTAGGATAATCCCCGGGTAAATGTTGTTTCTTTTTTGGGTTTACGTGAGTGATGAGGCAAATGGTTTCTATACCCTGGCGCAGATTTAGGGACGGCATTTTGTGAAAATTACTCGGCTGGCTACCCAAGTTTTATGGTCAAAATGGTGTTTTTGGGCAAAAATATTATCATCTTGGATTTATTAGCGCAGATACCTCATCCACGGTTATGATTTGGAATTGTTTTTCGTTACCTATACTACAGCTATAAATGCCACACATTGCATTAGTCTAGGTCACACTTCATAACGCATTGTGAAGATAATAAGTACCAACCAATACTTGAAATCAAAACAGTTGTGACGAGATATAGATAACTCTTCACGTACACGCGTCAGTAGACTCATTAGTTCTTCCTTTTCAATGTTGCGCGACGTAAAACATGTATCCCGAATCAGTCAGTGTAAGTTCAGGGTAGCCCAATCATTGAGTCTGATGAGTCATCAAAGTCAGTTGCTGATAAGATAAAGCTATGAGTTGGCCAATCGGAAATAGTACGGTAAACATAGCCTCAACGCCACGAAAAATTAGCATTATCACGAAGATTTACCGTAATATTCCATTAAATTGGTCGAGAAAAGTAAGACGACCAAGGCAGCCACAGCGGGGTATGGGTAAGGCAACTTGAGACTTGAGCAAATCGATGATATCCTCTCTTTCCTTTGTCATCTGGGCTAGATGATATATAGAAGTGATTGACACGGCAAGGCCCTGTGACGTGCCTTAGTCGGCTTGCTTTTCTCGACCAATTTGACGGAATATTACGGTATTATTTCTCAAGAAAAGATCAGCAAAACATCAAAGAAATGAGTTAGTACATTGTACAGATTCAATCTTGCCGTTATTACCATCTGTTTTCTCTTTTTCTCGGAGCGACCATAGGGTAGCATTCTGAACAGATGACAAATGGAGGAATGAAGTACCTGTTGGGACAAATAATAGCAAACAAGAGATCGATCGTTTTGTACCAGGATTTGAAGTCGTGATCTGTAATAAAGGTTATATAATGGGGTTCGTACGGCCCGACTCGGTGACAGCCTCCACTTTGAAGCACGCAATTTAACTTTGCCATGTCGTAAATTCTGTAGACATGACACTGAAAGTACTGCCAAAGCTTCTTTAGTGGACGGAAAACAAAACTGATTTGATGTCAGCCCTGTCGAAATGATACTTACCCTGCTCGTTGGTTCGCTAGAAAAGGGAGGAAAGCTTAATATACAAGACATAAAAATGGTAAAATCACCATCCGGATATACATGGATGGATCGTGCACACCATCCATCGAGCACTGGATACTCTTACCTAACGACTCAAGCTTTCAGAGCTCCATACCAACCAGGCCCCGAGCGATTATTCGTCCATTGACTCAGGCATTAGGGAAAAAACTCATCTCAGACCAGGCCGCAGTTTTTTTTCCCTTCACAGGATCCATTTCGAGCGAAAACGCGATTCGGTTCAACGGTGTCGTGATCAGCAAGGATCCACGGTACTTATAGCTCCGATCGCCATTGTTGCTGGAAACCCTACGTACAACCTGTATAATCCCCTTTGCTCTTGCTAATATGAGTGACCCTTCCGAAAAGAGAGTCGCGGAGGACGAGATTCATAATGCAGAGGGACGAGAAGATCGAATTTCTCTAAAGGATGACACAGTACTTGCGAGAGCGCAACTTTTAGGTGCTACACCAGATGAGGTTATTGAAGCCGAGGAGCATGGTCGTACTATCGACTTGGACGAAGCGAAGAAGGTGAGAAGCACAAACAATATTTCTCTGCGGGTATTCTGACATCCTCCCAGCTCGCCGAAACACTGGTCTATTTCCATGAACATGACCCAAATTTCAGTTCCGAGTCCATCGTTCGTCTCCAATCCTTCATCGCCAACGATGAACTTTTCCAAAACCCCGAAAAGAACGAGGAAGCCATCTCAAACATCAAGACCGAAATTTCACTTCTCACAACCAACTCACCTTACCCAGAAGTGCGAGCTGTCGTGAGCAACAAAGATGACCCTTCCACACCAGCTGGAACCATCCGCGCCTGGACCATCGGCCTATTGTTCGTCATCGTACAAAGCTTCGTCAATCAGCTCTTCTCTGTTCGACAACCGAGTATTCGTCTCCAAGCCCCAGTCATCCAACTCCTCTCGTATCCTCTCGGCAAAGCCTGGGAGAAATGGCTCCCGGTTGGCGAGTTCAGTTTGTTCGGCTCTCAGGTCCAGCTGAACCCCGGAAAGTTCAACCAGAAAGAGCATATGCTCATATCGATCATGGCCAACGTGTCTACAAGCTTGCCTCACTCACGATACATCATCTTTACCAGCTGGCTGAAGAAGTATTTCGATCTGCCTTTCGCGGCCGATTTTGGTTTCCAGATCTGCCTTTCGGTAAGATAGCTTCTCAGGTGCTTCAAACTGCGGCTAATAGAAACAGCTCTCCATGAACTTGCTAGGCTTTGGACTCGCAGGTCTGGTTCGTAGATTCCTAGTTTACCCTTCATTCTGCATCTGGCCTCGATCGTTGGCAACCGTTGCCCTCAACCAAAGTCTTCATAACGGCAAGTTCAATAGCTGTTCGCATATTTACCACTGTTCGCTAACCTAGACATAGACTCTGGCAATGCTAGTGTCTTAGGACCATTTAAGAAGATCTACAACATGTCTCGATATCGCTTCTTCATGCTCTCATTTGCCGCCATGTTTGTATGGTTCTGGTTCCCGGATCTTATCGTTTCTGCCTTGTCGCTTTTCAACTGGCTCGCCTGGATTTCACCAAATAATTTTAACCTTGCAGCCATCACTGGCGTCAGCAAGGGTCTAGGTTTCAATCCGTTGCCGACTTTTGACTGGAACATCGCCACCTACTACATCGATCCGCTGCTGGTTCCCTTCCATGTCACTTTCAACATGTTTCTAGGTGCCGTTCTGGGAGGAATCACCATTATCGCCATGTACTGGAGCAACACGTACAATACGGGGTACCTGCCTATTAACACAAACACCATGTTCGATAACACAGGCGCCAAGTATAATGTTTCATCGATTCTGGACGATCGTGGATTGCTCGACGTGGAGAAGTATCAGGCTTATAGTCAGGTCCATATCGCCGCTTCGTCTGTTACTTACTAGTGAGTTTACCCGTAACTCCAAATAACCAGAAGCTGACAAATTGCAGTATCTACTTCTTTGCAGTGTACAGTGCGGTCATCTCGTATGCTGCCATATACCACTGGAATGATATCAAGCTGGGATTTGTTTCCTTGTATCAGAGCTTCAAGAAGGACAGCAAGGTCAACGAGTTCAAGGATATTCACACTAGGCTCATGGAGAAATACCGTGAAGTACCTGAGTGGTGGTATATGATTCTGAACGTAAGTACTCAATCTTAAAACCAAGAACTTGGCTGACATCACTGGAGATTGTTGGTGTTGCCTTTGGTATTGCATCTGTCGCAGCCTGGCCTACCAACACGAGTGTCGGCACCGTATTCTTTGGCCTTGCTCTTGCAATTATCTTCACTGTACCCACTGGAATCATCTTTGCTACTACCGGTATCGAGGTTGAGTTCAACGTCCTGGCTGAGTTTATCGGAGGTGCATGGCAACCAGGAAATGCCCTAGCAGTAAGTTTTCAGTTGTTCCTAATGATATACCTTATCTGACCATATCTTAGATGAACTTCTTCAAGGGATTCGGATACGTGACTGTGGCTCACGCTCTCGACTTTGCAAATGACCTGAAGTTGGGACATTACCTCAAAATTCCTCAGCGTCAAACCTTTTGGTGCCAAACCGTCGCAAGTAAGTTAGCAGAAGCTGGGTATCTAGACATGAACTGACCGACACAACAGCTATCATTTCCGCCTTCGTCTGCACAGGCGTTATGAACTTCCAGATCCGCAACATCCCTGATATTTGCGAGAGTGGCCAAAAAGACCGATTCACCTGCCCCGGTGTTGAATCATACTTCACAGCAGCGGTACTCTTCGGCTCTCTTGCACCGCAGCGCGTGTTTGGTAAAGGTGGAATGTACACCGCCCTTCTCGCAGCGTTTCCCGTCGGTTTGGCGTTCCCTGTGTTGTACTATTATGCCACACGCAAACTGCCCAAGACGCACTTCCTCACCAAGTTGCATCCCGTTGTTATCTTCAGCGGCGGTCACATCTGGTCTCCCTACAACCTTGCGTATGTCTGGCCTGCTGTTATACCCGGCTGGATCTCATGGGTTATTGTTCGCAAGAGATATCTCGCATTTTGGGCAAAGTACAACTATGTACTGTCGGCAGCCTGGCAGACTGGCATTGCAATTGCTGCTGTTGTGATATTCTTTGCGGTTAGTTATCACGGTGCTTCGGTTAACTGGATAGGAAACAATGCCGACAGCGGTTGTGAGGCCAACACTTGTACGAGACTCAAGCTTCCTCAAGGAGAGATATTTGGACAACAGCCTGGAACGTTTGCATAGATATCTGTTGTCAAGTCACGATAGGATAAGCATTGGGCCCCAACTCCATTATATTCTATGATCATATACTTAATTTATTGCGGTAATTTGCCTATGCTTTTGCTTCATGTCTACAATCTAGGGGATAATCGAGATGTTGTACCTGTCAAATTTCTGACAATGCAGAGGGTAACTTAACACTCATCCTGACGTATGCCGATAGGTCATCGAAAGCCTCGCGGCGTCTTCACAATTCCGCACTTTCTTTCCCCTCATTCCCAACGACAGGGATCAAGACCGCTTGCATGCGATAAGGATTTTGCCAACTGCACTGCGGAACCCGAAGACGATCCCTTCCAATCAGAGTCCCCTCATCAGCGAGTCACGAAGTTCACAATCTGATACTTTGGCTGGCTGATGCATGTCCGTTAGCCTCGATAAAAAAATTGTTAAATTACTTCCTAATGCGGTAATGTTTGGAGAAGATGGTGCTGACGCTATGATTCACTCAAGTTCTGGGGTATGAAGGCTCCGCATCAGTAATAGTTGACAATCAGTAGTGGGGATAAATAAGAAACGACTCATTATTGCATCTCTCCGTTTCAACAACACTTCTCTAGATCAGACTTCAAAAGCCATGGCTTCAATTCCTCACCCACTTTGCCCGTTGACGGGTGATGAAATCCAATCAACTGCCCGCTTGATCGAGAGCGTCTGGCCAGAGTCCGTCTCGCTATCATTTAAGGTTATAACGCTCAGCGAGCCACCAAAGGAAAAGCTTGCGCCATACCTGCACGCGCTAGACAATGGCAAGTCCCCTTCGCCGCCTGAACGACGAGTCTTTGTCGCGTATTACATTCGCAAGACAGTAAGAGCATCCCAGTGCTCCTTTATTGTGCAACTACCGAGATTGACGCCATGATAGGACATATTTCATGAAGCTATTGTCAACTTGACCACTGGCAGAATCGAGAGCAATGTGAAACTTGGGCAGAACATCCATAGCAACGCTGTCTACGATGAGGTGCAGCAGGTCGAGAAGATTGCGCTCGAGGATCCGAAGGTGTTGGCCGAGTTGGAAAAGCTCAAGCTTCCTGAGGGCACAGTTGTCTGCGCCGATCCCTGGATCTACGGATCTGATGGTGTCGACGACGACGCTCGCATGTACCAGGTCTTCCTCTACATGCGCGACCCAGTCAATTCTGAACAAGCTGATTCAAACCACTATGCCTTCCCTCTTCCTGTCTCGCCTGTTGTTGAATGTGTTAACTACCAAGTGGTTCGCATTGATGTGCTGCCAACTGGTGCCGATAACACGCCCAAGCCGTTGGCTCCCTATCAGCCAAAGCCTGCAAACGAGTACATTCCCGAGTCTCAAGAGCTGCGAAAGGATCTCAAGCCGCTCCGTGTCATCCAACCCGAGGGACCGAGCTTCTCCGTGACGCCAGTTGGAGAAACTGGAAACATTGTTTCATGGCAGAAATGGAACTTCTTTGTTGGTATGCTACGACACTTATCAAGTTGCTTCCGGTAATAATGCTAACCCGAAGGTATAGGATTCAACCAGCGCGAAGGAATGGTGCTGTACAACGTCAAGTACGACAACCGCCCGCTATTCTACCGTCTATCACTATCCGACATGAGCGTACCATATGGCGATCCACGACATCCTTTCCATAAAAAGACAGCGTTTGACTTGGGAGATGCCGGTGCTGGCGCTACTGCCAACAACCTCAAACTGGGATGCGACTGTCTAGGCAGCATCCAGTATCTCAGCGGGGTAATCTGTGACGATAAGGGAAACGCTCTGCCCATGGAGAACGTGATTTGCGTCCATGAGCAAGATGCGGGTATCGGATGGAAGCACACAAACTACAGAACGGACAGAGCTGTGGTGGTTCGCTCGCGAGAGCTTGTGTTACAGTCTATCATTACCGTGTCCAACTATGAGTACATCCTCATGTTCATTTTCAACCAGGCTGGAGAAGTCACATACGAAGTCCGCGCGACGGGAATCCTGTCGACTCAACCGATTGACCACGAGCTGGACAAGGTGGGAGTTCCATTCGGTACAGTCGTCCACCCTGGTGTTCTTGCAGGTGTGCATCAACACATCTTCTCCCTACGAGTAGATCCCATGATCGACGGCCACACAAACCAGTTGACCTACACTGAAGCCCACAAGATCCCCCGTCACCCAGAAAAGAATCCCCACGGATGCGGCTATGAGGTTATCGAAAATACCGTCGATAAAACGGCTGGTCTCGACATCGACTACGATCTCAGCCGTGTCTTCAAAATCACAAATCCTAACTCCCTTAATCCTGTCAACGGAAAGCCAGTGGGATACAAGATCCAGGCCCCACCATTCCAAAAGATCATGGGTGACGAAGACAGCTTTGTCCACAAGCGCGCTGAGTTCGGCGACCATAACATCTATGTTACCACGCACCGGGATCGCGAGTTATACGCTGGAGGATGGTACACGAACCAGTCTCGTGGCGGCACTGGCGTGAGAACCTGGGCAGAGAGAAACGAGACGCTTACGCCAGAGTCTGATATTGTGTTGTGGGTGCAGTTTGGCATCAACCATATTCCTCGCATCGAAGACTTTCCTGTCATGCCAGTAGAGATTCTCAAGGTGCATCTTAAGCCCGTCAACTTCTTCACCAAGAACCCTGCCTTGGATGTGCCTCCGAGTGAGCAAAGGTTCAATCAGAGTACCCTGGTTGAGACAAAAAAAGAAGAGGCGCCGGGCGGAGACTGTGGCTGCGAGTCATCCTCGGTCCCTTCAAAGCTATAACTTAGGAAGATAGTTTCATGACATTCATTAGTCGCAAAATCGAGTCGATTTGTATTAGTTTATTTGGGACTCTCAATATCATCCAAATCGGGCATATCAGCCCCGGGTTCACCGAGTCTCTCAACATGAACCGTGGTTTCCTCTGATATCTGAATACCGTCCAAGCCCTCGTTTATCGTCGGAGGCGGCGTTTGGTGCCTCCATGGGCTAAATATTGTTATTTCTGTCCCGTAACTCCATCCCGCATGTGAAGCTTCAAGGTCGTAGCCAGGTGGTATATCAGTGTGCATCGCAAATTCGCAAACCGAGCTTGTGCCTTCCTGGTGCGAGATGTCCGTCGCGTTGCTGCCTTTTTTCATGCCATATTCGGGAGCCAGCACCGAGTCTATGACAGCCCGTTTGCTTCTGTGAGAAGAGAGAAACGACGAAGGAATGATGGCGCGGAATGCAGGCCGTAGCATTGGTAGGGAAACTGAATGGTGATCAATTTGAGTTTTAATCAGAGGGCAGAAAGAAAATACTTGTAACATTACTGAGATTGATCTCGGCGGCACTCAAAGCGCCATGGTATGCCATCGTCAGTGTCATATCCCTCGTATCACTATTTAGCATGAAAGCATCGTGAATCACGAGTACAGTGAAGACGCAGACGCTGTTTATTAATTAGCCAGGATGTCAAGAAGGCAATGAGAGATAGACAGACAGAGCACCAAAGCCAAATAGCGCCATTACGGCAAGTTTCTGGCCAAGAGGAAGACGCATTCTTGACACCTCGACAACAGGAAGTATCAAGATGATAACGTCGAGTACTGCGTGGGTTAAGCCAGTAGAAAAGAAGTAGATTGAACTTTTGACGTGGCAATGTGTATCTCTACGATCAAGGTCCCAATAGGCGGCTGTGGGTTGGCATTGCATGGTCAAGAGGAATATGCGCACCAGAGTCCACAAGATGCAGAGGACCAGAACAATTTGTATGGCGATTCGTGTATGCGAGTATCTGAATAGACGCCAGTAGAAGGTCAATACGGCGAATTTTGCGCTGGCGATAGCAGTCGTGTACATGAGACTACTGATCCACGTCAGGACATATGATCGTTCGAGTCGCTCGTCGTGGGTGAGGTGCGCTGGGCCATCTTTGAGTGGTACACCGAGTCCAAAGCCTATTAGCCCTGCACGAAAGGGTTAACTTATGGTGCATTGAGAAAAAAAAAAAGGCGTGCGCCTACAAACAATATTGTCTATCGAGTATCCAAGAGCTCCGATCTATTTGATCGGAAATTAATTGTCAGCCAAGATGCGCGACAAGGTCAAGTTAGTACCAGGTTGACATACAAAGGCAACTACCGCCAAGCAATCGTCAATTCCATATCCGGCCCTCGTCGACCGTCGCGCAAAAAGTCGAAGTACGAGGACAGTCGCTGCAAGTGGCAAAGTAATTGATATTGAGGCGATGACATTCGGTCTATAGTCCATCGTGCATGATTGATGACGAATGGAGAGGAGTTTTCGACTCCACAGGCGAAGGGAAGAAAAGAAGAAGAAGAAGAAGAAGCGGTAGAATAAAAGAAGATTAAATTCTGGAAGAAAGTTAAACAGAGGGAAGGGATGGGAATGAAACCAAGACAAGGACAAGGGAACATGGACTGTGATGAACTGGTAATGTCTTACATTGGCCAGTCAGCAGAACTTGCAATGACTCAAGTGAAACTCTCCTTGTCCGAGTGAGAACAACAGACGCTAAAAACGCCTATGATGCGGGTTTCAAGGCGCTAAAAAGGGGTCGATGCTACCTTAAGTTAGGGCAGTTGAGTCTTATCGTCAGTGCTTTTCGCGGGGAGATGATGAGGTAGATCCGGTTGATGGATGTTAACGTGAAAAGGAATCAACTTGTTGTTCGGCAGTTCTTTAATTGCCACTATCAAATAAATGACTCCTATTTCTAGACATGGTTTGTTCACTAGGGGACGTCCTGAACCGGGTTGTTTTTACCAAGTGCCTAGGTATGTGAGCGACTGACAAGTCAAAGCGCAATACCCGTGTAAATTCCAGGCATGCGAGAATGCCAAGTAAAGTCAGTTTTGTGGCTTAAAGGTCTGACGATGACCAACAGCTGCAATAATTGGTCTAGTCCTGTCAGGGGATCTGCGACAGATGAAGATCAACCAGCATGAGAATCTCGATACTTTGATGGTACTGAGATTTTCGTGCTTTTGGTGGAGATTTCCATACTTCTAGATTCCCAAGGCATGTTCTTTAATGTCCGTGGTGGCGGACGGCACAGCGCTTTGACAGGAACAGTGATAAGAAAAGATGCTAGTGTGTTTGAACCATGCTTGTCTGCGGGCGGAAAATAAAACAGGGTTTAAGATAACATTCAATTACACTTTCAATGTTGGCCAATTCGAAAATCACTGTTGGAAACCTTTGTTCCTCAACAGCCAAACGCCTCTAATTCTCCGCATTCTCACCCCAATCCTCCCATCCTGCAAACAAACCAGTCCACTCGTGGCTGTTGGACCTCCATCTCCATGTCAGGGGTGCAGCAGTGCCTTCTAAAAGCCAATATCCAGCACCTGGGTTAGGCCCCAACTGGAACGGTGGCTTCGGATAACTATCGACATATGGCAGCCTTACAGCATGCAGACTGCCATCTAAAGAGCTCCAAATTTGGCTGTATGTTTTTCGTTCCCAACTAGAATCTACCTGTATGAGGTGGTGGGCAATGGATTCAAATGACCTAAAAGGTAATGCAACGGCACACTCAATAATATCAGACCTGTTTCTGACAAACTCGGCAAGGAAACTAGTGATTGAACCGTGATTGAGACCTGCTTCACATCCCTCATGGGCTTGAAGTGATATGTAAAGGCGCTTGAGATTTGGAAATTGTGGCAATGACAAGCGATGGACAAGAGGGTCGAGTTCGTCGGTCGTATTGGCTGGCCATGTAATCTCGAGAGAGGTAACGAGGGCAAGACGACGAGGTAGTATCAGTTGAGTAAGATGAGTCAGTAGCGCCTCGTCGTAGATCAAGATTGTGTTCATTGAATAAAGGATATCGATGGTTTCGGCATAACTAAATGTTCAATCAGTAACTGAAGCCATGTTCATGACTCACTTACTCACTTTTGACGACAAGATAAAAGCCAACCCATTATCCCAATAGACTCTGTGTCCTGATCTGGAGAATCACATTCATCTACCCAAGGACCGTCTTTGAGACTACCACGTGTCATTGGTCCCTCTTCCTCTGGGGAGACTCGATTACAAACTATGCCGGAGCTGTGCCAAGAAGGCGAAAGAGAGGCATCAAACTTCAAGCCCATGTGGAGGCGTCGATCCCCAAAAGCCAGTCTCAGGATATCGCGCCTAAGGTGAGGCGGGATCTTGAACCACGAGCAATTCTGTAACAATGTAGGAATCTGCCTTTGCTGATCGTTGGTGTCGCTTTCTCGAAATCCATTTGGAGTTAGAGCACGAGGTCGTGGAGAAGGGAGGCGAGGGATGTTGTGTACATGATCTCTCCAATCAGCAAGCGGCTCAACCACTAGGCTTGTCGGGGATTCGACCGTTGCGAGCACTGTGAAGCTGTTAGCGGCCGTACATCATATTTTGTCCAACCATATGAATTTACCTGGCGATCCTGGTGAACCAGGTGATGCAATGCTATAACCAGGAGACTCAGGGGAGGCACATGGTGAATCATCAGTTACGGGGCTTGAGGGTGCCATATTCGGATAATTTCCTTCGTTGTTGAAAGGAAACAGAACAGACTCCAATTGTTATTTACTTAGGTCAATTCTAAGGCACGTGCTCAATATTACGTAAGTGCTATAAACTCTTAGATGCACCGTTGAAGTACTAAAAAGTGATGTGCAGATAGTCTCATCTACAAACTTGTTTGCAACTATCAGAAACCCCTCCTTTAAAGAATTGCAGAGTTTTAGCCGCTGGAAGAACAGTAGACGAAATTATCATTTATGCTATTTAGATAAGACTATCAGGTTGTTGTTTGTTTTGTAACGTGAACCTTAGGGGCAGTCATTTCTCCTATCTACGGGTCTATGAACCAATTCCTATATATTACAACACCATTGAACAAACAATAAATGTTTACGGGTTCTGCCCCTTTCTCTTCCTGTTGGCCTCCTCAAGCTTCTGCGTAAGTCGTGCCAAATCGCGAGCTTTGCCATATACCGTCCAGTCCCACTGATCGTTGTACCTGAGTCACTGTCAGAAAAAAGTAGTCTAAAGTGAGTCACTGGCGGAAAGTGATTTAGAGTGAATCACAGCAAAATAAAACTTACATCATCAATGAAAAGATCATCAGTGAATCAGCGTTGGTGGTAGCTTTGTCAGGACCAGATTGGTTAGAGACTTTCCTGTGCTTCATTGCTAGCTCCATCATATTCTCGATACCATAGGCACCTTGCTTCCTTAAGCCTCTCGATGCAAGGTAGCCTGGGTCGGGAATAGCATCGTAGGCCCGAATTCCGCTAGCTCCCTTGTACAAGACTTGGCCATCTTTGTTGACGGCAGGGTGATCCTTGATGTTATGCTCGAGCTGAGTAGAACTGACGACACCACCAAACCAATGGCAAAGCTCATGCCAAAGTTGAGTGTGAAACGACACGAGACCGCTTTGAAGTTTTGTGCCGGAAGTTACCGAAGCCTTGAAATCCTTGGGAGACTGACGGTTTTTCATACTGTCAGCAGTCATGCCACTACAGATGATGATTAAGTCATCATGCGCGGATATAACGGCCTGTCGGTTTCCAAAACAAACCCCTAACGAGTTCATCTGCGTGCGGCTGAACTTCCACCGGCCTTGGAAGTACAAGGCACCTAGATATGGGTTGTTCTGTCGTACCCTGTCTTGGAATTGGGGCTGATCCTTGACCTTGCCCACTCCTGGCTCAGGCTCATCTTCGGGTCCATACCACTGGAAAACATCATCGCCACAGGCGATCACGGGCTTTGCACCCGGGCGTGCGGCCAGGGTCGGGTTGTTGCCGTGTTCAGGGCTGTTCTTGTCACTCGGAAGAACCCTTACTGCGTTGGCATAGATATCTGCAGATACGTGTTAGTCAGTGAATCAGAGTCAAGCAAAAACCACATAGGACATACCTCGAAGAGCTTCGGTATATCGGCGATCAGCGGGACCGGGGCTTGAAGGAATCTTGTAACCAAAGGCCATTTGAATATGGGTAGCGATTCGCTGCCATCGGATGTGGCTGTCCTTATCGGTATCAAAGTCGGGCAATTTGTTGAGAACGATCTCGAGAGAGGACTTGGCTGCGTCTGCTAGCTCGATCGATTGGGTTAAAGCAGCCTTGATGATATCCTTGTGAGGATCGCAGCTGCTATGTATGTCCCAAGGCTCTAGGGAAGCCTCAGGAAGAGCCAAAACAGAGCTGGAAAGGCTAGCAACTAGCCAAAAGGAAGAAAGACGCATTGTGAAGGTAAAGATCGACTAAAAACACTAAGGATTGACAATAATTTAGTTAAACGAGTGTAAGACTAAGCTAAAGCTTGGTGAAAGCGTTTAGCTTAGACGCGAATGAAGGAGCGAAGGGCTGCGTAAGAAGACAGACCAGACAATACAAGAAAACGAATGGGACTCAATAATGTATGTATCTTGATTTTCATATTCAGGATCCAAAATGTACTTAGAATTAGGTACGTGCTTGAACAAGATTGTCTTAGAGTCCTGGTTCTTAATCTGATCCTTCGAGGCTTACTCGGCTTACTACAGTAAATTGTGATAAGCCGGGCCTCCACTAACCCTTTAATTACAATACGACCCTCCACTAACTAGAGCGACTAGACAACCATTATACCATTCATTGTGTTTCGATGGGATTGCCTCGAAAATGGACCAATGAACAAACGGTCGTAAGGATCGTTCACAGACTCCTCTTCGATTGCAAGCGGTAAAGATTTCATACAAGGCCGAAGCGAAGAGTAATCGGTAGAACGGGGTTATCCCGCAACTCTTCACAAATCTCGCTTATCGCCGATCATTACCGCGCCTCATAAGGCAGTTGAGAAATCCGATAAAGCCGCTTCGGCAATTGTTTATCTATAGCTCCATACCAAGGAAAGGACATCAATTGAGGACAGTTCACGAGCTTTGAATATATTGCTAAAGTCGTTATTTCTATTTTGTGATTGATGATAATTTGAAACAATGATATAACAGTAAAGTAAAAGTACTACGGACATGTCCTGTCTGCCGTTGCATCGTCAACATCATCGAAAAGGCACAACAACGGACATATCCACAGAACGATTTGATGAGAGATAAGATGAATGCAACGCAGTAAAATATGCTTCCCACTGCCATATCGTCGGAATGCATGAACAAATTGGCTTGTTTTATTGTAGGATTCGAATGCACGTTCTATATATGGGTCTGTGTCCCGCAAACAAGGTTGTTCCTTAGGGCCAGCAGCGTTTCATACACCTTGAGTAAGCTGACCAAAGAGATTAATCCCCACAGGCAACATGTCTCAAAACGTAACCTTGGCTGGTAGATCAGTTTGGGGCTGAGACTCTCAAGAGTGCTGAGCACATCCATTTCATGAAAAAGGCACTGTCTCGCCTCTATCACGAACGTGTTTCCCATCCGCACTACGGACACTCATTCATTCGTTCAGTCGTTCCTTCTTTCGTTCCCGGTCTATACTAGTACACATTCTTTGTCTCCCACTAGTATAGTCGTCCAGTCTTTTATTCATTCTTTATACACTTGCTTTCAATAATGCAGCAGCCATGGAAGTTGCGCGTTCTCGCGCTATGCTTAGTATCAGGTTTATCTGGCGTGTCTGCTCAAGACTACACCACATCCACATATGACACATCCACTGGCACTGAGACTTCCTCTGGTATTGGTCTACCCAATGTTGATCCTACTCCCTCAACTGAGGTGTCTCTACCAGAAACAACATCGGCACCTTACGTAGAAGGTCCTTCCTCGGAAGTTACTTCGGAGGCTCATGTGGAAATCGGGACCAGCTCTGCAGTCAAGGACGAGACTAGTATCCCTTTTGTTCCTCACACTGAGGAGACTACTTCATTGGTGGAGTCTGCGACAGAGATCGCCCATCAAGAACCATCTACTGAGACTCAGATCGAGGCTATTATCCCTACTGTTGAGACACAATCTCAACAGCCTGACTTTACCACTGCCATTAGCAACCCAATTGACACTACTACTGGCCCTGTAGAGTTTATTGATACCACGACTGGCCCTATCGAAGCTCCCAACCAATCTACGCAGACTGGTCCAGTACAAGACACGACGACTGACCAAGCATTGCCAGTGACTGAGAGTACAACACACAACCAGCCACCCGTTGTATCTACGGAATCAACGGAAGCCGTTGAACCTACGACCCAGGCCGAAGCTCAGCCTGTGGTTTCCACTGGGTCGACAGACTCTGCGGAGACCACCGTCTCAGGTCCTGCTCCAGAGAACACTATCGAGACTACTAGTCAAGCCGCTGAGCCTACCACTGAGGTGAAGCCCCAGGAGCCTTCTACAGAGTCGGCTGAGATTTCCGTGGAGTCTACTACAGAGGAAGAGGCCCCAGAGCACACCAGTGAGGAGGAGTCTCCCGAGCAGTCTACCCAGTCAAAGGATGCTGTCGAGACTACTCAGGGCGGACCCGACCCCAAGCCGACAGAGGACAACAACGACGCCCCTTCTACTAAGAACGAGCCTGGTCAGACTTCTGCTCCTGATGAGCCTGAAAAGACCACAGCCAATGCTGAACCTACACCCACTGAGGATGGTATCGTGACTGGTACCAACGGCGCCGTTGTGACCTACGTTCCTGAGCAGGACAAGGACTTTTCTGACTTCACTGGCACTACTACCACTACCGATGATGGCGGTGCTGCTATTGTCATTTTCCCTGGCGGTTGGTTCTGGAAGCCTTCTGGTAACCTGCCTGCTGGAATCCTTCCTGGTCCTCCTGCCTCTAACCCTGGCCCCATTGGTGGTGGTAGCGGCGGTGGCGGTAGTGGCGAAGGAGACGGAGAAGACGATGACGATGACGATGAGCAGTCAACTAAGAAGGAAGAGGACAAGTCAACTGCTGAGCCCTCAGAAACAACCGTTCAAACAACTGCCAAGTCCACTGAAGCATCTACTACTTCTACTGAGGCATGCTCTGCCGTTGAGATTGAGGATTGTACGCGAACTATTTCCTACTACACCACTGACGGCACTCTCACTCACACTGAGTTCGGAGACTGCCCTACCATCGCTAGCTGTGCTACTGGTACCCAAGCCACTGCTACCACGACCGCCTCTGCAGAGTATGAAGAAGGCGTGGAAGTGCAGATTGACGAGGCTGATGTTGATATCCCTGATGACTTTGATGGTGATGTTTCTGACGACACCGCTCAGAGATCCCAAGAGGTGATGGACGAGTACTGGGCGGATTATGGTGTCTCAACTGGTACTGAAACGACCGCAGAGGCTACCTCTACCAGCGAGTCAACTGAGACTACTAGCGAGACCAAGACAGAGGAAGTCACTACAACCGATGCTACTACCGACATGACAACCACTGTTCCTAGCACCCTCATCACAATGACTCGCAACACTGAGTCTTCTCAAGAGTCTTCTGGTACTACATCTGACGGTACATCCTCAGACACAATCACCACTATGGCCTCAAGCACTGAGATGCCCACTACCACCACATCTTCACTCCGTACCTACTACCCCTGCCACCCTTATGGAGGCCCCAGAGTCGCTACTCCTTACTGCCAGTGCGAGACCACCAGTGACGGTAAACAGATGGTTGCAACTGCTCCTATGGTCTCATACGCATGCGATGTCTATACCGAATTCCCTGCCAGTCTCTACACCACACCTCCTCCCGCCCCGACACCCACCGTCTTCAACGAGCGGTACACTGAGACCAATGCAGGCACCGTCCTGATCTGGGAGTCGTACTCTCTTCGCGAATGGAAGATCATGGGTCATCCCGTTACCAACACCATTGGTCTTGGAGAGGCCTCGACCGTTTCGACACCCGTTCCCACTGCGACCGATACCAACGGTGATGGTTCCGACATCTGCACCAGTATCGACAAGAACGTCCGCAACGCTTTGTACGGTGCTTGTGACGGCGCTTTGGACCAGTTTGAGGATGATACTATCTATGACAAGTACACGGGCCGTTACTCCCAGATGGGCAGTATTCTGAAGGCATTGACTTTTGGTAAGGCGAGCTGCATTGTTCAGTTCTCGTGTGATGACTACGGTATTGGAATGAAGGGTAGTGACATCAAGAAAATGTAAGTTGATCCCCAGAATCATTGCTTGTCAGCAAGTTGCTAATATTATTATAGTCGCGAGGACAACCGGGACGACGTTGGTCGATGTGGTAACATTTATCTATCCAATTCGTGTAAGATTCACCTGGATTACTGCACAGAGTGCAAGTCGGACAACTAAAGAGCGATGATTCAAACATAAATCTATGTAATAAACAATTCTTTGGCTAAGTTATAACTGTCTTGCGTGATCAGTTCTTGTGTTTACACCAAAATGAATGAATATATGGGTGTTCTTCAATGTTCATCAAACAATTTAACAAACCAACAGAGATCATTCTTGCAGCTGTGGATGGATTTGACAAACAAATCAATGTGAAGTAGCGGGCGATCACTTCTGCTTCCGGTGTTCAACGCCGAGAATTCCCAGCGCATGGATCCATCATGTCAAATCGGATGTCTCCGACCCTTGCTCAACACCGCTACCGACTACGCAAGCGAAAGTCAACAGTCCACGTTGCATTCCTTATCATCACATTATCTGTCTCTTTTCCTCCCTTCAACTTTCATCTCAAAGATACGCATTGAGTATATCAATTGACTCATCATGGCTGATGAACAGATTGTATGTGATATCGTGCCAAGTGCTGGTAGAATGTTGGCTGACGTGAATGACAGGCCGTAGACCCCGACTTTGACTCCGCTCTCGATGTTGTACGTAACCTCCAAATCGGAACCACAAATCACTCAGAAGCTAAACAATCATAGCCCCTTGAAGAGCCATCAACATCGTCGCTTCGATCCAGTCTCCTGCAGTTTGCACAGGAGAACGGTCGTACTTACCACAAGCTCAGTGAAGGGAGTGAGTACAGGACGGCTCATGGAGTCATCGGCTAACCAAAGTCAGAATATGCTTTCCCAAACGATGATGTGAGTGTATCATGTAGCCATGGATGTTAAAACTACTGACCTCTTGATAAGGCGGAGAATGATAGGTTAGGTCTGTATCTCAACATTGAGAAGCTGCGGCCAAGACTGACTGAAAATAGATCTTCAAGATAACCTGTACCTTATCACGTTAGATGGGAAGAGGGCCCTTAACCCTGGAGCCGACAATGCAAAGAGAGTGTTGGACATGGGCACTGGAACTGGTCTCTGGGCACTCGAATTCGGTAAGGCTCCTTTATGAAAACCATGATATATGAGCTGATTGATATGTGCAGCCGATGAGCATCCAGCTGCAGAGGTAAGCATTTCGTATGTGACTACTATCTTCAAGACTGACAGAACAGGTTATCGGTGTAGACCTCAGTCCGATTCAACCACCATTGTTTGTTCCAAATCGTCTTTGTGACACTGTATATCCCACTGACCACAAATAGCGTGCCTCCTAACTGTACCTTCGAAATCGATGACCTCGAAAAAGAGTGGACATGGAAGCAACCCTTCGACTTTATCTTTTGTCGCATGATGACGGGAAGCTTCAGTGATCCACAAGCCATGGCTCACAAGGCTTATGAGTAAGATCAGACCTTCCCATAATGAATGGAATTTACTGATAAAAGTTCTAGAGGTCTTAGCCCAGGTGGTTGGTACGAGATTCAAGATATCCAAATCCCTGCATTCTGTGATGACGGTACCCTGGATGTCAAGACATCACCCACCCTAAAATGGCAACAGGGTCTCATCGAGGGCTCCCGGATGCTTGGCCGTCCTCTTGGCGAATCCGATAAGTACAAGTCGATCGTCGAGAAAGCCGGCTTCGAGAACGTCGTGGAGACCATCTACCGCTGGCCAACTAGCAGCTGGCCCAAAGATGCCAAGCTTAAAGAGCTCGGAAAGTGGAACCTTGTCAATTTCGATGCAGGTCTTGAGGGTGTCAGTCTTGCTCTGTTTACCAGAGTTCTGGGTTGGTCCAAGGAAGATATTCTGAGACTTTGTGCGGATGTGAGGAAGGAGCTAAGGAACCCAAAGGTTCATGGGTATTGGAAGATGTAAGTTCTCGATTTGGCCATTTTGGTGTTTTGCTAACACATGGGTAGCTATATCGTCTACGGACAGAAGCCTGGAGGGAAGAAGGAATGAGCCCGTATCAATGCCTTGTGATGTGTTCACGATCGTACTTGATAGATTGTTAGAGTGCCATCAAATTTGCAAGTTGCTATGTATTTACCTACGCCAACCTATGTTAAGCCCATGCACAAGATATTAAAACTCCCCCATGTAGCGGATATCGAGTTAGGACTATGATGTTTCTGCTTATTGTTGTACCTGTGCAAGTAAGTCTGTCTACCGCCGGTCTAGACTTTGAATGGGTTCTCGATCATTCACATCCACATCAACCCAACAGTATCCAACTGATCCCTCGCCTGATCCCAAGGATTAATGAACCTTGTGTCCCAAATCTCACGTGTCAATCAACAACATACGACGAGGGTGTTCTTCAACGGCTAACCAACCCCATAATCTAAGCTTACTATACATACCTGAGCCAATCATGCCTACCAGGGTTACCCCAGCTTTCAAATTCGGGGCAACCGGAGCCGAAATGGTGTCCAAAACAGGAACAAGCTAACCCGATCTTTACCGCTACAAAAGGTCAACCCCATCTTCCGTACCATAACTAATCCCTGAATATTCGCGATGAGGGGGGTAACTGCAAATCCGGGGAACAACGCGACGTCGGACGGGCAGCGGATGCCGTCTAGGAATAAGGTCCGTCTCGCATGACACAAACATTGGACGAGTTGCATAACCTGTTTGCAGACAAGACGTCTTATATAAAGACTCCCCTCCCGAACCTATGGGTAGTGATCTGCAGACTTGCTCTTGGCTTTTCTTTACCAAGCCTGCGCTCTGCATTTCTTGTCTTGTCTGATAAACAAACATGGATTCCAAGACCGACGAAAAGGTCGCGTTTGAACATGGTGCTGAGATCCAGGATGCTCATGTAGCTGCCCAGGTTGCGCATGATGTTCAGAACCAGAAGCTATCCCCATGGACGCCTACCATGTTTCGCCTGTACCTCGTTCTGGCATGTGCTTACCTTTGTGGTTGCCTGGTATGTATCCTTCAAACATCATCAATCCAGCAGAATATTTCCCATCCGCCCCTGGGAGATGTCTGTGAGGGTCGGTTCAGTAATTGAGATGCTAACAACCCTTTAGAACGGGTATGATGGCTCTGTTATGGGAGGCATCAATGGCATGAAAGCCTACCAGCACTACTTCAACATGTCAGTACTATCTACCTATATAAGGTTGTCGCATGGCTAATATGTGTCAGGTCAATGGATGGCTCCTCAACCGGCATTGTCTTCGCCATGTACAACATTGGTTCCATCGCAGCTGTCTTCTTCACAGCTCCCGTAAACGATTGGTTCGGACGACGTTGGGGCATGTTCACTGGCGCTGCAGTCGTCATCATCGGTACCTGTGTTCAGGCTACCTCTACCAACCGGGGTCATTTCCTCGCCGGTCGCTTCATCCTGGGTTTCGGTGTTAGCTTCTGCTGTGTGTCGGCGCCTTGTTACGTTAGTGAGATGGCCCATCCTACCTGGCGAGGCACCATCACCGGTCTTTACAACTGTACTTGGTATATCGGCAGTATCATTGCTGGCTGGGTCGTCTACGGTTGCAGTTACCTGGGTGAAGAGAACGAATTGGCTTGGCGGATCCCTATCTGGTGCCAGATGGTAACATCCGGTATCGTGGTTATCTTCGTTCTCCTTCTTCCCGAATCTCCTCGATGGCTCATCGCCCAAGATCGCGTTGAAGATGCCGTCAAGGTCCTTGCTGCATACCATGGTGAAGGTGACCCCAATCATCCCATGGTTATCATGCAAATCAAGGAGATGACCAGCCAAATCGCTGCCGATGCTACTGATAAGTCATGGTGGGACTACCGTGGACTCTGGAACAGCCACAGTGCACGACGTCGACTCATTGGCGTCTTGGGTATGGCTGTTTTTGGACAAATCAGCGGTAACAGTCTGAGGTGAGTTAGAAAGAAACCTTGGCATGAACCTGTGGCTAATGTGTGCAGCTCTTATTATCTTCCCGTCATGATGAAAAATGCCGGTATTGTCGATCAACAGAAGGTTTTGGCTCTCAACGGCATCAACCCTGTCCTTTGTTTCTTTGGTGCCATTCTTGGTGCCCGTATGACCGATGTCATCGGTCGTCGCCCTCTCTTACTCTACTCCATCGTCTTTTGCTCTTGCTGTTTTGCCATCATCACCGGAACCAGCAAACTCTCCCTCGACGAGCCCGATAACAGCTCTGCCGCAAATGCAACAGTCGCTATGATCTTCGTATTCGGAATTGCCTTCTCTTTCGGCTGGACTCCTCTCCAGTCCGCTTACATTGCCGAGTGTCTTTCTACCGATATCCGAGCCAAGGGTACTGCTGTAGGCAACCTGGCGAGTTCTATTGCCTCAACCATCATCCAGTACAGCAGCGGCCCTGCATTCCAGAAGATTGGTTACCACTTTTACCTGGTGTTTGTCTTCTGGGATCTTTTTGAAGCAGTGATCATCTGGTTCTTCTTCCCTGAGACAAAGGACCGTACTCTGGAGGAATTGTCTGAAGTGTTTGAGGCCCCCAACCCTGTTAAGAAGAGTCTCCAGAAGAGAGATGCTAGCACGGTTATGAACACCATGAACGTGACGGGCGATGAGAAGCTCACCGGAGAGGTCTGAGACTATCTGTTGGCACCACGTACTGTTATCAGCAAATGATGCCAATCTTGAGATAGTGTGTTATATAATTAAATAATCATGCCATTGAAGTTGGCTTCTACAACTCAATGCTTATATCGAGAATCTACAACTTTACCAAACTCTACTTGAGACTTCTTGATTCGTGAACTCATCCTTTAGACCATGAGACCAAGCCTCATTCGCGTGAGCATCTTGTCGCCAAGTGACAAAATTGTTTCCCAAATCAATAAAACACTCCATCCGATCCATGTACAACTCGGCTAGAACCCCGGACTATGCCGAGGTCTCATGTCCATCAAGCTTTGCGCCGCTCCTTAGTTGGTTCTTAAACCGACCAACCGGAAAGGCGCTTAACAGCTAGGGTTGCAGCTTGATTTTTGCTAAAGGGTGAGCTTCTTTTTCCCGCACCAATCATCTTGCCCAATCCCTGTCGGACCGAGCATCCCCGTATGTCCTATGATCCTTCAGACCATCCACTCGTTTCCTCATTATCTCCTCTTTTCCCCCCGTTTTGTACTGTCGCCCCGGTGCGGGCCGACAAACACATCAACTGTCTCACCCAGTACCATGGAACATGCCATTGATGAATCTGCCGAATGGCCGCCACGGAAGAGGCTCAGAACGTCGCATGCAGTGAGTTTGACGATCAACATCTTGCTTAACTTGGCTGGGGCTGATTAGTTGCAGTGTGATGCCTGTCGTACCCGCAAAACAAGGTAAGATCTAGAGAGTTTTACCTGACAGATGCCTCGTCGGAGGATGCAAGAGACGAATAGTAAGTCTTCTTATCTCCTTTATACCAGAACATTCCTTTATCCACCTTGTTTACAACATAAAGTTCAAAGACTAACCTGACTGTTACTTAATAGATCGACTGATAAGGGAATAGATGTGATGGGAACAACCCTTGTACCACATGTGCAGCGATCGGCCATGACTGTACCTACGGGTCTGAGGCCAATTCGTGAGTTTCATTGGTTACCGATATTATAGTAAGGTAGTAATCCAGGGTCTAGGAGGAGCAAAAACGATTTGATCTTGGAAAGCGTTCTAAGAGTTGAAAGGACACTCCACGAGCTACGATCTACCATCGTAAGAACTTCAGGCCTTGATCCCAATCTCCACCAACTGACCTTACTTTAATTAGCCAGCAAACATACAACTAGCCTGCCAGCAACATGTTATCAACTCGCCCCAAATAAACCGCACAAACTCATTTTCAGGCTCGTCGCCAGACCTGAATCTCCGGCGTCAAAGCCAAGCCATCCAAACACCAAACAGCCAAGACAACCGCGAGAATGTCGCCAACTTTGAGAACGCCGTCTTGGATTCTATGCATACTTCAACAACTGAGTCGATACTCCAGTGGCCTCACTTTGACGTCTTTCCGCTACTCAGGCATGACGGAGAGTCCATATTTTACCTGGAACAATCACGCAAGCCTCTAAGTGTCGCGGCAAATCCCATGTATCCCTACGTCGATACAGAAGACATAGCATCGATGCTGGAAGCTTTTGAGCGGAATGTCAACTTTTGGTATCCGTCCATGTCGCAAGAACAGCTTGGCAGCATACGAGACACACTTCAGAGCGGTATGCTCTCCGATGATTCAGTGCATTCATGTCTTTGCCTCCTCACTTTAGCTTTAGGATGTGCCAGCCAAGCTGCTGAAGACCTTCGCTTTATTACTGAACCTGATCCTACTGATAAAGACAGAAGAATGCGGAAACGAAAGCTTGGTGATATCTATTTCCAGTTGGCATTGAAGAAGCTCCACGTTGTTCATCTACAAGTCGATTCTGAGAGCACGCAATGCCTCTTCTTCACTGCGTAAGTTAATAAGTGTTTTCTATCACCAGGCCGAGACTGACATCTCAGGCTTTATTTCGCATCGTTGGTTAGACCACTCCAAGCCTGGGAGTACCTCAGTGCTACAGCAACAAGATGCATGCTTCTTTTGTCATACCCTGCCAACAAGCATGACACCGAGTCAGAAGAACGGATTCGAAGGATATTTTGGTCCTGCTACGTATTGGAAAGGTAAGTTTGATAAAGGCAATCTGACTCATATGAATAGATGCTGACAACGCACAGCGACTACATGGCCGAACTATCAGCATGCCCCCCTTCTGGCATCGCCCGCGTAGAATCATCAGTCCCTCTGCCCAGCTCTTATCACACCCATACGTCCGAAGTCGTGGAAGAAGAATCTTCTCTCTACTTTCTGGCCTGTATCAGCATGCGCCGTCTGCTCAACAGAGTCCATCAGCTCTTGTACGCAAGAGATACTGGTGCAGCATTCGACCACACTCGCTTTCCTCGCATTGTCAAGGAGCTACAGCGCCAACTAGATGATTGGCGTGACGTACTACCAGCATCGTTCTCATTCAGCGTCGACACTGATGAAGTACCGACGGCAGCTGGTGGCTTCCTTCGCCAGAGATATCTCACCTGCAAGGGAGTTATATACCGACCGTATCTGATGTGGATGCTGAGTAGTAGCTACGACGATACCGGTACTTCGACGTCGATCGTGACTCCGGCGATACCGGATGTCATGAACAATTGCAAGTTATGCCTTGATGCGTGTTTACTCCATGCCTTGGATCTCAGAGGATTCTCACAAACCGTTGTCATCGACACATGGATCTGCTCTCTATCGTAAGTATCTGTTTCTAAGAGAAGCTAATCAAGTACTGATAACATACAGTATGTCTGGCGCCATGCTCATCATTCTCGCCGCGTCAAACATACCCGCTCTGAAGGAGTTCATTGGCACGCGCGCCACGCTCGTGGGTAGTCATCTGGAGCGATTATTTCGGACCTGGCGAGATATGTCGTTTGGGGGAGATTCACCTAGTGTAGATCGAAGTATGTGGCTTATCAACCAGGCGGATAGTTATATCAAGGACTGTTATTAAGGTCCAGAACAACATGTACACCTATTTACATAAAGTTCTTACAACCCTTTAGTACAATGAACAACTAATTCCCTTTCACCCTTAACACAACTAGCAATCCGGCTCTCAATCCAACCAAGTTATGCTGCCCAGCTCTTGCTCCAGATCCTCATCTGCCACTCAACCTCCTCTTCCACAAAGCCTATGGTATTCTCACCCAAACACCAAGCTTCTCTGTACAACAACCCTTCAACTCTCGATTTCAATCACGGAGAGTTTTCTAAGACTGCTCTCAGTCCACATACCTTTCCAAAGTCAAAGCTGTCGGTTGGGCCGATAACAAGATAGTTGGTGTCAGGCTCACCAAGGTCCAAACACTCGGTACTGGAAAGCTTGGATCCACGCTCACTGATATGATTTATAACGGCACTCGTGATGGCACCTCGCTCTGCTGCCACATCGCAATAACCCCATCCCTATCAAGGATTTAGTATGTCGAGCATGAGTTGACAAGAGAGGTTCACACGTACCTGGTAACGATATGTGATTGAACCGGCTGGGCCGCTCTGCCCAAAGAAGGAGGTGCAGGGCGGCTGGTTATGAAGTATTTCAGAACATCCATCACCATAGTAAATGTCACTTGCAATCCATGAAAGCGCCTTTGCGGATATTAGTAGTTATGCCAGCGTCGAACAAGAGTAACCTACCCTGAGCGGAACTGATATACCAATACATAACAGAATTGCAAACATAATCTTTGCGAAATACTGTGATCGCATCAGTATTGTGGCTCTTCTGAATGTACTTCGTTTACTCACCTTCTTCTGTTTTTGCTTTTCTTGCTTTCTTGGATCCAAGTTCTGGGGAGATTTGATATCGCCATCAGTGGCAGGTTGGGAGGAACTGTCACCGCTAAAGTAGGAACCGAGCAGATAGATGCTTAGGAGGCAATTAACATTGGCCAACGTGGCGTAATATCCGTACAAATAATCAATCAGATTAATTGCGAGAAGGCAAAGTGGGACGATGAAAGAGGTCGTGGCCTCGTTAAAGATGGGTAAAGACATCTTGAGAGTCGTTATCGATATTTCGACCGTTGCCTCAAAGACTTGTAGAGTGCGTTAGGAAGTCGTGTTTAAAATGGACAATGAGAAAAGTTTTTAGTCAGATCAGCCGGATGATATTATCATACTACTTACTATAAGTGGCCACGGTATCAGTTGTCAGCTCTGCTCTAGGCAGCAACCTGCAACCCTACCAGCTTCAAGACCAACACCAATCAACACATCCCTACTAGTGAACACGAGCCAGTTGTGCTTCAAGTACCCACGAATCTGGATTTTCAGGCGCCAAGGCCTTTTAGTTGGATGGACAGTCGTGAAAGTGGCGTCTGGCCAAAGAAGCAGCAGTCCCAAGTAGGAAGTGGCCGAAATGTGTGAACCCTCCACCACGCGAGAGCCCATGCCCTCGTTGTTCTTGTTCTTGTAATTTGGCTATTTAGTTATTTTGAGAACTCATTTGTATTGAATGTCTTGAGATGAACTGTGGTCATTTTCCTCTTACAAGGAGTACTTAAGGACGGATTCAAAGATGGGACGTGGTTGGGCATGCCAAGTTACTTTTCGTGTGCATAACATATGATCACATATGATTTGTTTCAGTTATTGACCTGAGTGTACCTTGTTTCAACATCTGGCTTCCGTTCGGTTATGAACTAGGCCTCATATTCCGATAGTTGTTCCGTTCGCTCTTGGTGAACCCATGATATGGGCGGGGAACATGGTACTGTTACGGCGAGAATGAAGCAATGTAATATCTACGCCCGAGTGATAACCCTTCATCTATATCTGATTTCAAAGGGGATCTTATATTGTGTGTCATGAGAAGTACCAGTCCATAAACCATTGCCAGACAAATTACTTGAACTGAAGTTCGCAAACACTTAAATTATGCATCATCAGCTGTCAAGGAAGCTTACCCGAGACCACATATCACATGAGCAAGATGACAGGTGGCTTCAACGAGTTAAGTAAAAAGACAATAAAATAGCGCAAAAAAGAATAGTTTCTTAATTTGATTAGTTGTGCTAAAGAGGACACCTGTCACATTACAATGTCGTGGGCAATGATTCAGACGACTCGAACGTTGAAGGACGTGTGCGTGTTTCGGCCGAGACCATTTCGGCCGATATGGGACACGATTTGAAACATGCAAGCAAGCGTTTCGAATTATCGACATATAAGCTTAAGTTGTAAATGGAAGATAACCTATGGACTGATTTACGATGGCAGAAACCGTGGTGAATTCCCTTTACTTGCAACAGCCATGTCTTCCAACGGTCCGAGGACACCTTCGAATTTCCCCGCTCCGGCTCCGGTATCCCCGGGCTCTGCTACCTCGGCCATCTCGCTAGTCCTAATTCGCTGATGTACATTCACCAAACCAACCAACCAGGCAAGATCATCACCAATCGGGCCACTTCTCCGCATCTATCATGGATTTCGGTGGATGTTTCCAAGGTCCCCGAGCCAGTCCGGAGCACGTGTTTCGGGGCAAGGAAAGCAGGTTATAGAAACGTATCACGATGCGGGACAATCGGAGGATGCGGGGCTGACTGATGGCGCAGACGGATATCAAGAGATAAAGGTTCCTGGACTTCCTCGAAAGTGAGCTTCTGAACCATTCCTACATCATTGTCTACTACTTCATCATATCAAAATGGGTGGAGGTATTGCAGAGCAGCAGCCAAAGGGCATTCCTCTCCAGGAAGACGCCTCTCGACCAGATTACATTAATGAGGCTGTCTTCAGGAGAAACACCCTTCCCACCAGATCATACCATATTCCTGAGACATCAATCTCACTCAACGGAATATGGGACTTTGCTCTATCTGGAACAGCCATTGAGGCACCCGAGCCCAGCTCAAAAGATATCACATATGAACCAATTCAAGTTCCTGGCCACTGGCAGCTTCAAGGTCACGGAAAGCCATGGTACACCAACGTCCAGTATCCCATCCCCGTCTGCCCACCATATGTTCCTACCGAGAACCCTACGGGATCTTATCGTCGAGACTTTCATGTCCCGGCAGGATGGGACGCGAATTCACAGCTCAGACTGCGCTTTGACGGTGTCGACAGCGCGTATCACGTTTTCGTGAATGGCGTCCTAGTCGGATATGCTCAAGGCTCAAGAAACCCCTCAGAGTTCGACATCTCGGCCTTCGTCAACCGAGAGGGCGCAAACGAGCTGTTTGTGCGCGTTTATCAGTGGTCTGACGCCACATATATCGAAGATCAAGACCAGTGGTGGCTTTCTGGTGAGTCTGTTGCTTTGAAAACCGATGATGCGAGAAACTGACTTGAGTAGGAATCTTCCGTGATGTCTACCTCATCTCCTTCCCAGCTGCGCGTATTGATGACTTTTTCGTCAAGCCTGATCTTGACAGCAGCTACAAAAACGGAACGTTGACTGTCTCTGCCGATCTCTTTACTAATAAGGACGCGGTCCTGGAGCTCACGCTATCCGAGCTGACCAAGAACGGCGGGGCTGTTATCAGCTCTACCAAGACCTCTGTCGATGGCAAGGCCAACAAGGCCAATCTGACACTTGATGTTAAGGATCCTAAGAAATGGACCGCGGAGACGCCATACCTCTACTCAGCTGAGCTCAAACTCTCTGACGGGGAAACCGTACTACACAAGGTCCATCAGCGCGTGGGATTCCGCAAGGTTGAGCTCAAGGAAGGTCTCATGACTGTCAACGGAAAACGCATCCGCCTTCGAGGTGTCAACCGTCACGAACACCACCCTCTTCTTGGCCGTTCCGTCCCTCTCGAGTTCGCCAAGCGCGATCTCCTCATCATGAAGAAGCACAACATCAACGCTCTTCGTTGCGCGCATCAGCCCCATGACCCGCGTGTCCTAGATCTCTGCGACGAGTATGGTCTGTGGGTCATGGCAGAGGCTGATCTTGAGTGCCACGGTTTCTACGATGCTGTTGCGCGACCTCTTGACATTCCCGAGTCTATGGATTATGGTGAGCGAAAGAAGCTTGCTTTTGGAAAGGCTGCACAGTTCACCTCCAACAATCCCGACTGGAAGGAGGCTTATCTCGACCGCATCAACGCCGTGCTCAATCGTGACAAGAACCATGCTAGTGTTATCATCTGGAGTTTCGGCAACGAGGCCTTTTATGGTGATAACCACAAGGCCATGTTCAAGTACGCCACTGAAGCTGACCCCTCCCGATTGATTCACTATGAGGGAGACGAACAGGCCGAGACTACACATATGTACAGCTACATGTATCCCACAGTCGAACGTCTCATCAAGTACGCCAAGGAAGAAGGCGTTAAGGATGGCAAGTTCGAGAAGCCCATCGTGCTCTGTGAGTACGGTCACGCTATGGGTAACGGTCCCGGCTGGCTAGAGGATTACGAGCAAGCTTTCCGTGACTATCCTCGTCTCCAAGGTGGCTTCATCTGGGAGTGGGCCAACCACGGTTTGTGGAAGGACGACCACGAAGGCCCTGGTTACTATGCTTACGGTGGTGACTTTGGTGACACTCCCAACGATGGAACCTTTGTTATGGACGGTCTTCTGAACAGTCAGCACGAACCTACGCCTGGTCTAGTCGAGTTCAAGAAGGTTATCCAACCCGTTGGTTTCTCATACTCTGCTGGTGAATTGAAGATCGAGAACCGACAAGACTTTGCTGGCCTGGATCATTTGACCGCTTCCTACAAGATTGAACAGCTCGGACAAGAGTAAGTCAACCCCAGAGACGCTGTCAACGACAGTACTGATGATAAAACAGGTCCTCGTTGATCCAGTCAGCGTCCTTCGATGTGCCTGACATTCCAGCTGGCGAGACACAATCTGTTTCTCTTCCGGTTGATGACAAGAAGTTCAACAAGGACAGCGAGGTCTATCTAACCGTGACTCTGTCTCTCAAGCATTCGACCGCTTGGGCTCCCGCCGGACATGAGATCGCTTGGTCGCAACACCAACTCCAGGCCCCTCAAACTTCTGCCAAGGCTGCTTCCGTCGCGAGCAACACTATTTCCTCTAAGCTGGAGGTTTCCGAGAAGACTTCCACCGTCACAATCACCGGGAAGGACTTTGAGGTCACGTTTAACCGTGCTTATGGCACATTGAAGAGCTGGGTCTCCAAGGGCAAGACGTTACTCGACTTTGACCCCAAGACTAAAGCCGCCATCATCCCATCCTTCTGGCGACCCAAGACCGACAACGACGTGCCTGGCGCCGTTCCTTACTGGCAGCGATTTGGCGTTGACCAGCTTGAATCGCAACTTCGATCCTTCACTGTGGATTCATCCAGCTCAGATAAGGTTGTTCTAAAATCGAAGACCTTTATCACTCCCCCAGTACTCTTCTGGGGATGGGATTGCGAGATTGAGTACACGGTGTACTTGAACGGCGCGCTAAGCGTCAATGTCACCCGCCTCTCTCCCCAAGGATCTGTCCCCGATCACGTCCCCAGAATTGGCCTCAACCTGTACGGCAGCAAGACACTCGAGCATGTCAAGTGGCTTGGCCTTGGCCCTGGAGAGAGCTACCCCGACAAGAAGACATCTCAACGCGTCGGTATCTGGAACGTCGAGTCCATCTCCGACCTCCAGGTCCCATACGATGTTCCCCAAGAAAACGGAAACAGGGAAGACACACGATGGGTATCACTGCGAGACTCCAAGTCACCCAGTGTCGGTCTCCGCGCCACTCGCTTAGACGGAGCACACTTTAGTTTCCTGGCTTCCAACCACAGGGACTCAACTATCCAAGACGCAAAGCATCCTCCCGATCTGTTTGAGGAAGATGCCGTGTTCATTAGGCTGGACCACAAGGTTGCCGGTGTAGGATCGGGTGCTTGTGGACCGGCTGTTCGTGAGGATTTGATGGTCAAGACTGAGGAGACTACTTTCGGTTTCTTGCTAGAGCCGCTATGAGATAGATTGGTAGATATCATGAGTTAAATATTGAAATGACTAGTACGAATTCAGATGCAGATTGTATATTGTAATAAATGGGAGATCGACATACACAAATAAATGAAACTCGTCAGTACAAGGGCATTCTTCGACACCTCGCAATCGATCCCACATTGGCCTCTATAGGTGTTAGTTAAGTAATAGATACTTTTGATGTGCACTGTCTAACTGAGTACCCCAGACACATGTTTCTCTCTAGCAGTGAAACTTATCATATCGTCTTGTTTGAAACCTGTAGAAATCATTATTTTACGTCGCTTCAAAGATTGGTATTATTCTATCTGGTCTTCATATGTATGTTTGTAGCTATATGAAAAGAAGCCGCAACTTCGTATACAAAGGCTCATTTGAAATCTACCGCTTCATTGAATACGGATAGTTTGATTCTTCGACCTCTTGCACAACATCGTTTCGCACATAAATACCGGACATGTCCTGCTCCCTTGAGTGCAATGATTCAGTGTTACGACTGGAGATGTAAGTCCGAGGACCCTCCTTGTTATCGATAATTTCGAAGTCGGCGTGAATTCCTCGCTCTGGATCGGCCAGTTCTTGCGTAGAGCTGTTGTCGTCTGCTTCCCTTTCTTTGATGGTGCGGTTGATAGTTGTAAGACGTATAGCGTTCGTAGTTCGGCTGATTGGATGACTGCTTCCAGCAGAGCTGAGGAATCTTTTGGGAAGAATCTTGGTGAAGATGGGTCGTAGAAGAGGAAAGCATCCTGGAGTGGTCAGTATGGAATGGTATGTGATGGAGGAAAGGACTTACCAGAGACAATGGCGATGTTAATTTCGACAACACCCCACATGTCGTTTCGAGCCATGTCTCGTGGCATTTGAGTTGTGTTGACATCATATCTAATCGATTCAACCACGACGAATGTTGACGCAAGACAGACAACGAAACCGATAACGAAAAGAGCAGTGATGGCAATCTTTTGTCCCATTCGAAGTCGAAGCTTGAACACTTCGATAATCGGCAGGGCCAAGATAACAATGTCAAGAGCAAAATGGGTAAGACAGGTACCGAAGAAGAACTGAGAATCGTTGATCTTACATACAGCACCTTCGATACTCTTATCCCAGTAGGCCTGAACAGGAAGACAATGGAACGTAACCATAAACGTCCTAAGAATAAGCCATGATATACTAAGACCAAGCAGAATTTGGATTGGGATTCGGATTGCGGATTGTTTGAAGATGCGCCAGTAGAACAGAAGAATGGAAAGTTTGGAGAAGCCGATCGAGTACGAGTATGTCTGGGAGATGAGGAACTGCATCAACCGGGCGTTGAGATTGATGTTCTCATACTCTTCGTCGCTCACGGTATCGGGAATCGTCGAGCCAAGGTACCAGTTTTCGGTCCCTAGTTTAATTAACGTTTCGATCGACAATGGAAGGGCCCGGGAGATAGTTACAGTAGATCATCACGACATTGTATCCAATACCAACGATCTACAAGGAGCATGTAAGTCACTATGATATTAAGATTCACAGGGGACAAACTCACAAAGGCGCCGAGGCAAAAGTAGTCATCCCACCACCATTGGACTTTTGTCATGCGCCGTGCGAATACACGAGCGATCTGCGCCAGCAAGGCCGCTACCCAAGTAATGACCACGGCGCAGACGATGTCTGACTTGAGACTCATGGCGATCTTGAAATTGATTTTGCGACATACAAGGCCACGGTATCAAATGGCTCACGTAAAGTTCAAAGAGGAGAAAGAAAAGCAAAAATGAATGGCAACGAACACAAGCGAATGGTTCACTGACTGACTGGGAACACTGGGACATCAGTGGGGGATGATATGCATTTGAGAAGAACAAGGAAAGTGATCCAACAATCAACTACCTAGTACCTGTCCTTATCCATGGAAGCCTTAGGGAGGCCCCTTTGACCATAACACTCCTGGTATGGTAGCTTATCGTAGTGGAATCCGGGGGATCAGGCCAGCTACTAGGGTCGTCTGAAGGGCTGGGCTGGGCTGGGCTAGGCTTGATGTGTCTGGGGTAAAAGGGGGGCATCCTTTATGCCAGGCTTTGTTCCAGAACAACTGACTCGGTATTTTCAGCTATGAAGCCTTGGCAGGTTATGCTGTGCAACATGACCGGTCATCAGTCATCATATGACGAAAGAGAAAGGGTAGCACAAAAAGAGTCGACATCTTTAGCCTCGTTATTTTTATTCGATTTCTTCATACTGCATGGTTTTTTATCTAGCCCATCCTTCGTTTTATGAGGGAATTTGTCCAGGACCAGGCCGTTCAAGCCTTGTTGGTCCAGGTAGTGACGTAGAATTGTTTCTACCAGTAGTAAAGCCAACAGAGCTAATTTAGCTACAGAGTACTACTGCACGAATTCTTTAGTGCCTTGCTCGCTTACAGCCCAAATGGCTGGTTCGTCGATGTACCATGTGGCCTTGTTGGGGGTTAACATTCGCTTCAATAACGCTTGAAGTGCTATTGATCATCCATAGCAGCCAGTCGCATTTTCAGGATATCTTAGTCTAAAGAGAAGGATGCATTGGACCCTGGGACGACTTGTCTAATCCACAAACAGTCACTTTATCCGTAGTATATCACTACTAAAATGCTGGGCGCTGCATATTTCAGTCGTATAAGCAAATCTTTCTCTAATTCCGGATTTCAAACAATTATCAAACATGGGAATGGTCGAAAACTTGATTACTTTGCTTACTGTTTGCACTTTCAATTACAGGTTAACATTCTGGAACGTCGGCAGTTTGTAAGCTTACGGCGCAGAGAAGCCACTATACCAGGGGGCTTGAAATTGAGGATGCTGGAAAAGGAAGCTCGAACTGGCGTTGAAGACGGCGTGTCAGCCTCAACTTTATTGGAAAGCTCACTTGTTATCAAGTAACAATATTGTTTTGTTTCAACAGTACCTACATGTGCAAATCATGTAAGCAGCCATTGACATAAGATTGATCAAGTCATTTTCTGGACTTACTTTCGTCTCAACAAAATTGACTGCACTTCGAACAGAATGACTAGACCTCATACGGTATCATCAAGCTAAGCACCTCCTGCATCTGTACAAGAGAGATGGCCTCAGCTCGAGTGAACGATATGACAGCAAGACAGGGTATTGACATTTACACCAACCAACAGTCTCAGAGTGCCGGTATCAAGTTGATCCGTCAAAATAGCGTAAACTCTATTCATCCAGATAGAATAGCAATGATTTCTCCTTATCTACCTACCACAAACAGCCAAGGAAATGAAGCGTTTCCACTATCATGTTCGTTGCATTTTAGGGCCCTTCTTATCATCCTTCGAGAATACTTATGGCGCCACATTCCTCTGTAGCGTCTTTCTAACTGTCAATAATGCTCATAGTTGAGCTGTCGGCTGTCTCATTGTTGCGCGGAAACGGTCCGAGAGGCCAGTGGCTGAGAATTACTGCGGTACCACCTACTGTTTTCAACTTAGCACCAATTTTACAGCACAGAGGCGCGCTATAACCCAGACTCACTGCACCCTAGCTGAGCTATGGGTGATGGTTTCTTTGTCCCGCTGGCTTCTAAAACCCGACAATAAGCCAAAACGGCCGGGCCATCGTGTATTCATTAGTGCAGGTTGGTCATCTCTTCCCTGATGGTTGGTCTGACCGTTGCGATAGAGCCTGCCTCAGTCCCCTACAAGCAAAACGCCATAGCGTCACGATCTCTTCTGTTGTTCGCCAAAGTCAACACCGGTGTCGTATCGCAAACAATGCCTTGACTCGTGGACTGCAGACTAATCCAGTTTCCATGTGCTGTAACAACTGTCTATACCGTGAAGAGTATCGGTCGATATTCAGGCACCGCTACAAGGTTTCGTTGTTGCAAGGTTCACTGTAAAAGGTGTGGCAGCCATTACAGCGTGCCATGCCTTGGTGGTTCAAAGCTGAACCGTACGCGACATCGACAGGCTTGGAAGGCAAGTCAAATCAAGCCATGTCACATTGAGGCTACTGGAAAGACGCGACCTTCTAGACTGTGCTGCCAGAATATGATTTCGATGTCTCTGGTGACACCATTCATTCTGATCAGAGATGGAAAAGGTACACAGGTTTGGGGGTCATGTCTTGAATCTTGACCACGCGTTTGAACACAATGGGGGATCAGCAGCGCTTTGACAATCGCAGTCCCATTTTACCTGCCAATCTCCCCCAGTCTCTGTACTAATCGATAGTGCACGATATAGCTGGCTTTAGCACAGCATGATAAACATGGTACGAGATCTATTTAGCTGGCTACTGGGACACTACCGGAAATTCCGCGGAAACCGTCGATTGGACGCCATCATGATAAAGACATTGGCCAAACAAGGTACCCTGTCCTTGCTAATGGTCTTGAGATAAACGAACAGAACTCTAACAAATTGCTGGTATTCCATCCGTATCTCCGTATCTGTTCTTGTCGGCCCGAAGCTGATATCTCACTTTACGGCACGACTAAATATCTCGGCTTCCACTGATACCGCTACCGTACCTGAGTCACTCATCACTCAGCCTACGACTCTCTCCAACGTATCGCCCAATCTCCCTTGGCAAAGCTCGGTTCCACGACTTTTCCTGACATGACAGCCTCACAAAGGCGCTTCTCACCATCCTCATTAACAGAGAACCCAAACACGACACCCCTTCGCGCTGCGCACTTGGCCATCTCACGCTCTTTGGCTCGCTTCTGTCCCTGTTTTCTCTTTTCCAACATTTCATCCGTCTCGTGGATTTTTTCTGCGCGTCCCTTCTCGCCACCCACGCTGCCGTTCACTTCAGAGACTGATTGCGCCGGACGGATGCGCGTGCCACTACGGACCGACATACGTGCGAGCACATCGCCATCGACGTGCATTTCGTCTCTCAGGATGTCTGCAAGGTCCATGTCTTCTTCAGATGTTCGTGATTCAGACGTCGCCTGTGCAGGTCTAGATGTATGAGGTATTTCGTCCTCGCTGTGAGTTTCTTCGTGTTCTTCCTCCATGGATGTTCGGTTTGGCCCAAAGACAAGCTCCTCCGCTGCGCTGCATGATACCAAGATCCGATTGTCGCCCTTGCTATTCTTCCCTTTCTTGTGTTTCCCGTTGGCCGGTTTCTTCTCTGTAGCAGTATGTTCTTCGGCGTTCAACAATTTTAAAAAGGCCTTTTCGAGCTCACGGTCTAACTTTCCAGGCTTTTGTGTCCGACATCGGCTCGAGCAATATTTAACTGGCGTATTGTTTTTAGCCGACGTTGTAGTCTTTCGTGTGCTAATGACTCTTCCACATGAATGGCAGTAAGGCGTTGCTTCTCCTCCTGGAAGTAGGTAGAAAGGTGCTGGCGTTGCTTGGGATTTGGAGGGACGACTCCAACTGTCCATCCAACTCATTGTGACTGGCTCTGATGATGACCCTCGCTTTAAGGAGAACACTGTAGAGAATCTGTTCTTGTGTGAAAGTGATTCAAAAATACGTAGTGGTTGTATTCTTGGAAGGACACTACGAATCATGTCTAGTGTAGGTTTTTTCTTTGGAAAGAAGGGAAGCCTTCGATGTGGCCATGGCATCGTGATGATGTCATTGTCGTCATCGAGATTTCGAAGAGGAATTCGCGCTGATCATTGAATCCCTAAAACACCATTGACCTCATTCATCAAATTCACAATCTTTCTCCATTCTCGAAGTGGAATTATATCTGCCTTGGTATTAGCAATTCACTCCCAGCATTGGACTTTGGAAGTCGACGTCTGGTCCAGGGTAACGCCTGACAACGTCGGACATATTGAGTTGTGTACAAACGGAACAGGCCTTCCTCCAAACACATTAATTTTGTAGCAGGTTGCCATTGAGGATTTCGGCTTGGTTCTGTATTGCTATAAGAAGCGAGAGTAAGCTTACGCTACCATCGCGGGTTGGGGGGGTTTTTCAACATGCCCGGATGACAATTTGAGGCTGTCGACCGGCTGTTGAAGGTACGCATAGGATGCCAGAATTCAATGTACTATATCGGTACTGCCAATGCTATGTCAACAGCCTTATTTTGTCATTTAGGCATGTCAAAAAACCCCCCTCTCTCCCTATGGTACTAATGATCACCAGATACGTATCGCGAGCACACAGCCGTGAGATTTTGGTTGCGGCGTAGCATGCATGCATAGGTAAAAACTAGCTTCCTAACTAGATATTTCTTGATTTTTTTAGGCGACAAGCATGATTTGGACAGAGCAAGAAAGAAGTCCCAACTCCTCAAACAGAACAGTCGTTTGTTCAAAATGACAGCAATCAGTTGGGCCGAAAAGTTATCTCATAATTCCAGTGTTCAAGTATTAGTAGCGCATGCACCTATAGCTTGGTTCCTCTTGGCCAGCCAGCGAACAAGTTGCAGGTATAATTATCCCCGAACCTCTCATGCATTCAATTGGTACACGTTACATTAGGTCATCTTGTGCTACTTCTCGTCAGCACTAAACAAGTAGCAGTGATAATTTCTGACACAACAGTAATGTCTAAACTATAATACATCCCCTTCTGTGTTAGTTTAATGCTTGTTGATGTATATCTGTTTAAGCTCTCTGGAGCAATTAGGCTTGGCGGCTAATCTGATATACGGAAATGGTTGATTATAAGCGTGAGATAACGCGCAGGGATGAGACAGCGCCTAAAATGTATTTAAAGATCATTTCCCACTCAATGTCAGCTTTTTCAATATTGATCTTGTTCGTTTGCCTGTAAGGTGATAAATCAAAAACCTCAAATTGTAACCATGCGATTCATCACAGATTCTCGTGGTCTCGGCGACCCAAACTCGGAACCAGTCCCTCTTCAAGTCATCGGTGCAGGTCTTCCACGCGCTGCCACATCCTCAATGCAAGCGGCATTTGAGAAACTGGGTTTTGGTCCATGCATGCACATGGCAGAAATCCTTCCACATGCATCACGCCTGCAACTCTTCATTGACACGCTACGCGAAAAAGACGACGCGAAACGGAAGAAGATGGTTCGTCAACTTATTCACAGCCACCGATCCATTTGCGATCTTCCTGTTTTCTATTTTACTCCCGAAATGATGGACGAATATCCTGATGCAAAGGTCGTCATAAATATGAGACCTGACGGTAAAGTCTGGGCCAAGAGCGCCGAAGACAGCTTCTGGTTTTTCTTCAGTCCGTGGTTCAAATGGGTTGGTCTTCTCTGGGCCACAGATCGCCTGTGGTACAAGCTCAACATGGAGACGGTGAAGAAGTGCAGGGAAGAGTATGGTACGACAGACATATTCAGCGCCGAGTGTTATGACACGTATTACAGACGTGTGCTTGACGAAGCCAAGAAACGGAACAGACAAGTGCTTATTTTCAAGGCTGAGGACGGCTGGGAACCTCTTTGCAAGTTCTTGGGTAAAGAGGTTCCAAATGAGCCTTTTCCACGTCTAAATGAAAAGAAGACCTTCGAAACGGTCAAGAGGATATTTATCGCTAAGGGAGTGTTGTCTTGGATGGCCCTGTTTGGTGCGACTTGGGGCGCATGGAAGGTCGCATCGCATTTCCTATGACCGGATTTGGAGTATTCATGAAGAGGTGAAATGCAATTTACAAGCATAATCGTTTATTGTTAAAATGAGAATAAGCTTGTACAATAAATAGCTCGTGTAATCATAACTGCACTGCTATTATGACAATTAGAACACAGCTCAGTGAACTCTGCACTCCCACATCGTGAAACAAAAAGGAAGTTCATCAGTGTACAACGGGTAACTTGCCAATTCAAGAGAAACTCTTCATAAAAAAGTAAAAAAAAAAGATAATCGCTTTGATGCTAACTGGAGGGTTCGAACCTCCGCGGTTTCCCACTGCGGGTTTGGTTTCTGATGAGAACCTAAACACAGCGCCTTAACCACTCGGCCAAGTTAGCGAGGATAATTTGAGATAGAAGATATGCTCAATTACGCGCTCAAGGATCCTATTGCTGACGACCAACAACCCTCGTTCACTGCCAGTAAATTCTCCCTTTATTCAACTCCGATGTTCACCAAGTATTCGCTCAGTGAGAATGTGCCATGTCCGTCTCTTCAACACTCAATCAACGATGTAGGACCAACCATTTGGGAAGTACCTGATTGATGTATAAAGCCTCCCCGTACGCTTACCAACTGTCCTTATCAAGGTATGAGACTGGCTATTAGAAACAGCATCCTGTCAATTTAGCAGAATCGCCACGTCAATATACATCTGAATATTCGACATGTGTAATACCAAGGTAATAGTTAATAAGTGCATGGGCTGCAGTAGAATTCACAATAGGGAACATGAGCCAACCGTGCATTGTATGGAATTTACGAAGAATGGCGAATGCCCGCGTGTCTTTTACCCTCAAATAGATAATTAGGTCTCTGATAGTACATGTTATACTCGTCAACTAGTGCCACTTAGAGATAAACAGATCTCAGCTTATAGTTGGTTTGTGGCATTTGACTTCAAAGACTTGTTAATAATATGGACGATTGAAATATACATTTGAACTAACGGGCATTGTGCTTGCTTGTCAGTTGCAGACGACTGCATTATTTAATTACCTCGCACCTCGCAATTGGACGTATGTATGTCGTGGCTTCGGGTTATCAGTTTCTAGAAGATGACTTGACCTTGTGTGATCACTAGCTTACCATCCGGGCTCTCTATGTACGACATATCTATGAACGCAGCCTGATGTGACATGCACAAGTTGATGGATTTGGTACTTTTTGTGACTCGCAGTTGTATCTAGTGGATATCTTATCCCGGTCTAGAACTAGGAAGCACTTGCAACGGATCTTTGCGGGCTGCAGGTAACAGCGATGATAGTTACGTTCCACTTGCTGTTTCTAGATCTGTTTGGACACGCCAAAGTCTACTCAACAACACCGTATGCGAGTACTAACAAATGTTGACAATATGACGGATGACAGCAATGTAGAACGGAAACATATATGATTGATAAAAAATAGTTGCTGGGGTATTATATAAGCTATTCAAGGAAAATGTTTGAGGGTATCTTATGATTGCCTAAAGCTTGACAAAGAGGTATTTCGGCTTTCCTCCTCAATAACCATCCGCTTGGGGTGTCCAGTATGGGAGGTCAAGGGAAGCTCATCTGTGTCCGAGCCTCCTTTGTAGTGATCGTGTTTGGAGCTATTCTCGACTGTCACTTGAAACTCTGTTCGCTGATGAATACCGGGACCGTGGTGGCTTCGAGGTATGCCAGGAAGATCATCGTCCGAGTCACCAGCGACGATCTTCGACCGATGGGTCAGCTGAACGTTGTTTACTCCATTTGTCCAGGCTGCATCTTCTGTTCGGTGGGCGCTTCTGACGTGGCCAGAATGCGAAAGGGATGGGTAGTAGTCGTCCGAGTTCTCGCCCTTTGCTAGACGGGTGATGAGTTTCGCCATGGACATTTCGATGTTGAGCTTGACCATGTAGGCGACAGGGTGGAATTGGATGAAGACGACTTGGTTGGGAAGCGACATGAGACCAATGAGCATGCCCTTTGGAATATTAGCAAGTGAATAATTAGAAGGAGTGATTTACAGGTGACTTACGTCCATGAGGATGGAGACGACCATGAGCTTGGCGTTGAAGCCGACAAGGGGCTCATACTTTTTCAAGTTGTGCTGCTCAACTAGTCGCTTCTTGACTGTTCGTAGGAAGTACCAGTTGAGTCCAGCGTCAACCAGTAGGATGATGACCTTTGACATGCGATCCCAGACAGCGTTGATTTTGACAAATCTGCACAAGTTAGTGGCTATTCAATCTTCCGGCACCTCGTAACTCACGTATCGCTCACAGGAGGAACTGTGTGGGATGGGATCCAAATGACGAAGACGGCAATGTTGACGATAGTGATGATGATTGCGGTCCCCCATTTCAACCAAAAGACTGTAGATCGATGTTCGGCAATAATCGAGATTCGGTTGACGATAATCTGCATAAGCAATTGGACCTCGAAAACCCAGCAGAAGAGAATGAAGAAAAGCACCGGCACACTAAAAGGCGATGCTATGTTAGCCCAACGTATCCAAAATCGCCAGTGACAGACATGTCTCACGTCGGCCCGATAATCCCATCTAGAAAAACCCATCCGATGATAGTGATGACTAGGTTCGCTGCGATTTCTCCCCAGAGCATGTAAATGTATGTGCTTCGCAACGGGTTTCGGTTTCGTCTCGTCTGCTTCCAAGCTTCCCAGACAGTAAGCAGTCCAAAGCCGAGGGTGAAGCCCATGGCTATGGAGGCCAGCTTGATGTCACTCGTAGTAGCTGACATGTTGGGTGAAGGAGCCACGGAATATTTCCCGAGAGTGGAAACAAAGCGTAAAAGGAACGGCACTGCAGCTGATCCTTGAGAAAAAGCAAAATAGGGACATGTCAAGGGAGGAGATACTTGCAGATATGGGGCTCCACGAGCTTTAATACCCAGAGAGGCAGGACAGTACCTGCATAGAAAACCCGAGGCTAGTCTGATATAGTCATTGTACTGCAATGGGCACCACGTTTTCTCCTGTTAGATAAAGCCACAGTGGAAACTGCTAAGCAACTTGACATGAATCGTTGCGGAGGTGACATATGGCGACGGGGCTTAGAGCCAAAATGGGACTGGCGGGACGTGGCGAAACGATCAATTAGGCTGTCTTATTCCTTACTAGCCATGCATCTAGACCAAAGTATATCTGCACTTTGATGCCATGCCTGCCATCAATCTCTCGATCAGTAGTTCGTCGAAATGATGGGTCAATATACGATTCTTGGCTGTTAGAGACGGCGTTATAGGCCTCGGGCTAGGGTTAGAGTGGAGGTAACTGCACGCTAGTCATACCTCAACCGAGGGGACGGTAGTAATTTAGAGTAGCATTGCATGTTTGACGGTGAGGAATAAAGATGTAGGGATGGTTGTGATCGACATTCGAAGGCCCATGATCTACTGTACAAGGTCTAGGAAGTGGCTCGCATCATTATGCAGGTAGACATTTCCGTCGTTATCTCCTTTTTTTCTCAACAGGATCCTCCTTTTCTTCACAAAGGTTTCAGAAACCACTTTTCAGCATCAGAGACTCAGGGGAAGTTAACCGACCACTAACGGATATCATAGAACGCCACAATCGGTCAGTGTCTCATGTTTCGGGACTGGGGAATCTTTTCAGATACGATGCCGGTAGTGCCAAGGCTGGTTCCCTCTACCATAGTGGCTTTTAATTCTTTTTCGTGGCGCTGATTCTCAGTCTTGCTGCATTTTAATCAACCTTTTTTATGCGGAATCGGAGGAAAAGATTAATCTCTTAGTGTCTGATCCCATTTGCTCAAAAAGTTTAGTTCCCGTGGCTTGACTGCGTAGTCGGTAAGTAGCGTAGACGCCACTGACTTCGAAGGTCATGATTCAGCTTTTCACACACACAACCATCTCAGAGGAACGGGGAATTCCGCGCAGGACAGAAATCGGCGAAACTGCTCCGGCCGGACCGGGAAAAACTCTAAGCGAGGGAGAATCGTTGAGAGAACTGGATGTTATGAGGGGCTGGAACAGGGTACTGTAACGTGGTCTAGTTAATTCCTGTATATCCGGAAGTGGTCTCCAGTGCTGTAGTACTGCCAAGACTCAAACTTTATAGCGGAATATTTCCTACCTGGTATTCCGAACTGCACGTTCCATGGCGCTCCCGGCTATAACTCCGGCTGTAAATTGAAGGCAGTTACAGTCAATGCAGTCTCCCACAATTATTAGTCTCTTCATACGTTAGTTAATTGTCAATCATAACTGTCAACTAATGACAATGCGTCTCGCCATTGTCGCATAAACGCCATGGCCAACTAACACGTCTAGGGTTAAGCGGTACATCGGGTCAATGCAGGGGTTCAACCTTGATGCTCCTCTTTCACCACGTGTAGTTCGTCTGAGCTACCCTTGTCTGCGCACAACATGACAGTTTGACATATCATTTTTCAACAGTCTTGATTTGGGTATCCATAGATACTCTGTTGTGGAGTTTAGGGTGGCTGAAACTTCAGTCAATACTTGCCTCACGGTAACATTTTGATAGTCATAGTAACCTGACATATCTTGGCATACCCACAAGATTTCACTGATAAAATCAGCCTTGCCTCTTATCGACATGCCCCGTTCTTGGGTCACCGTCACCAAACATACCAGAACAAGATTAGGACAAACAATGACGTTGTTTCAACAGCTGGCCACAGCAACCTGATTTTACAAATCCGTGTTTGATAGACATCTAAAATGGTATGTCGCAATTGCGGAACCATGCTTCAGCATCGCGTCAACGGTCATGCCGATATGTGTCAAAAAGGTAGCTCCATATATGTAATTTTGTGGATATAGTGGATTTTATATCTTGCAGTCATGCGACGTTAGACCCGCCCGCTCTAAGGATTTCCATTCTGTACATCTACTAAAGACTAGGTCTTACGGTATCCATTGTCCCTCAGGATAGTAGACGAAATACGCTTAGGTGTTCATATCAAAACTATTGTGATTCTCCAGGGTAGTTCAATATGTACAAATGGCTTCTCCCCTTAAAAGCTAGTGATGCCTTCTTGTAATCGTGACCAGGAAATCCTGATGAAGAGAGAACCATTGCGTATTCGTTCTCCAAGGCTTTGCCATGTTCGCCACCTCCGCATCGTAGTATCGAAAGAACTGAGTTATATACTTGTAGAGTTCGACCGTTGCTAAATGCTTTCCTATGCAGCTACGGCTCCCCATACCAAACTATGCCGAACCTTATCAGTATCAACGCTAGACCGGGACCAAGATGTAACTTACCGTCATCAGAAGTGACTTCTCCTTCCTAATTCGTTCCTTATCCTCTATGCTTTGTGGAATCCACCTCTCGGGTCGGAAGTCTTCTGCATCCGAGCCAAAGATTTCTCGTGAACAGTTTACTGCTCTTGCACTAGTGCCACAAGTTGTGCCTGGAGGAAGAAAATACTCTCCCACATGAGCTCCTTCGGACGGGACGATACGGGGAAGCTGATACTGAATGGAAGGGTGCAATCGAGTGCTTTCGGTGATGACAGCAGACAGATATGGGAGCTTCTCTGCTTCCTTGTACGAGATCTCACGCCCCTCATCCTCCAGTCCGAGTTCTTTGTAGGCGTTGTCGATCTCTTCTATCAGTTTTGCCTTGGCGCGAGGGTCGGTGAGAAGGTATCCAAGGCAAGCCAGAATTCCGATAGCAGTCGTATCAGACCCCGCAGCAAGAATATTCACGCCCTCGATCATAACATCTTTTTTGCCAACCGGATAGCCACGAGGATCTTTAGCCTCGATGAAATGTTGAAGGAGATCCCTTCGTTGGTTTGGTAAAATACCTTTAGTCATCCTCTCCTCTACCCTGCTGTCCAGCCAGTCGATGAAAACGTCAAAAGCATTCAAACGATCGCCGCCGAAGTGTTTTGTCAACCATTTCGATACTGGGTTGTTGATCCAGAACATCTGCATCGGCAGTATGCCCATATTACCCATAAAATAAAACCCATCATGGATGGACTGGATAATACCACCAACGTCTTTTTTCTGTTCCAAAAACCCAACCATTCCACCAATGGCTAACTGGCCAACAACATCTGAAGTAAAGTAGTTGACCATCTTATCGATTGAAAAGCTGTTGCCCTCGTCTGCTAGTTCGCCAAGCTTTTGAAGGTTGAAGTCCATCACATTCTGAATCAATGGCTCCATAGTGAGGATCGACGTCATGGAGTATGCGCTTGCAACGCGTGACCTGAGAAATCGATGGACGTTTTTGTCCCGTGTCGCAAAGAAGCTGATAGTCATATTGGAGACGATGAAAGCATCATAAAACTTTGACTATCCGGCGGGTCAGCTCACTGTCCTGATAGTGATTAGAATGGTCTTACCTTTACAACATGCTTCCCATGGCCATAAATGCTCTTCATCGCATGCTCATCTGTGAAGCTTACCTCTCCAGGAGAAATTCTAACAACTTGTCCATATTGCTTGTGAATATTGACGACATCGTCATGCCACGTTCCACGAAAATATCGTATCAGTCTCCAAAGAACAGTGGCTCTCGCAAGGAAAGGACCAGGAATCTTTCGCAAAGGGTGAAAGAAGACGTTGTATATGATATCAAGGAAGACTAGTGCTGTGATAAGCCTCCACTTCAAATGCCATAAGGAGGACAATGCTGAACAAGGGGACACATAATGGACATAGGTGATAGTTGATTGGACATACAGTGCTGTGGGAATGCTTGTATTGTTCCAGTAGAAATCCATTGTCAAACATGTATAACACAATAAACACACATGACTTGGATTCTGTACATTGTTGGCAACATTTATATCTGGAACTTCAACGACTTCAACCTCAGCAACGCGTCAGAGACAACATCTCGACACCACAGAATGTCTTGGTTTACTGTGATTCATTGCTTTTGTTCCCCCTTCACCCGAGAATTGCCAATAGTAACAAACCAAGGCTTTCAGGGCATGGTCTCAGCTGTGGCGGGCTGGCTGCAGGTAAGACCAATTCCGTCAGCCACTTCCTGATTGTCTCAGTTCCAGGCTTGGAACAGCCCAATGGAAGTCCAGCCGCACTTGGGTATCAAGGTCATCTTTTGCTTTACTTTGAAATCACTGCATTGGATGTCACACCAATGCTGACCTCATCCCTTATGCCCCTGCTGCCATGATCACGAAATAGAACATGTCATTATCCAGGAGCAGCGGATGCATTGCGTGAGCTCGGCAAATGGCCGTGAACGATACGCGAGACAAGATCGACTATCCTGTCACCCTGCATATTCACTCCCTTGGCATCAGCCTGATAATGAATCTTGGAGTGCAGGAGATGGTGGAAAGACCCCACTAGTTGTCTCTTTACGAAAATGTGACCAAACTACAACTTCTTTAATCCCTCAGCTCGAATATCTTTGGAGCCAGTAATAATGTAGCTGAAGCTTGCAGAGTATCCACTGACGGACTGATCAAAAGTCACCGAGTCTCAATCATCGCACGCCCCAGATAGAAAGTAGCGTTTATTTGCTTCTTTCAGGTTACACAACCAACCGCAATGCAACACGATGGGTCGCATCACTTGAGGCCTTTCATCCAACGTTCGGAATAGACCTCGTCAGGAACCTTGTCCGGTGATAGTCAGCATTAAGTCAATTCACCTCAATCATGGAAGGGCCATGCCAGGTCAATAAAAGGTACTTTGTGCATATGATAGCATCTATGTTTGAGGAGTATTCTTTGCTCTTTGCTATAACAACAAAGCCGGTCTCAATTAATCTCTTGAATACAACCCATTCGTCAGATCCCCTTATACAGTCTGGTTGAACTGATACTTGTCTGTGATGCCATCCCGGCACGTATTGTAAAAAACCCCTAGTAAAAAATGACGCCGTGAAACCGGCAAGTTGTTTGACGTACCCAATTTGGCTAAGTTTTGTTTTGTTCTTACCTCAATCATTATACCGCTCATTAGGCGGTATGTCCGTGACGGAGTCTCTAGTAAAGACCCTATAGATTTGTACCCCCATTATCAGGATTGTATGCATCCTCAGATGCCATAGAGGGCGATGCGACAGGATTATCATCGCTTGGTACCAGGGTACAAACTGTGTAGTCCGCCATGCATACCTTGGAGGGGAATCGACAATATCCCTTCCCACCAACACGGTGACGACAGTCAACCTTCTGGCAGACATGGCCATGTACGCAATTTCCGCGCCGGCAACCTCCTCGGCGGGAGCAAGGTACGGATCGAGCTAGATGCTCCAGGGCTGGTACCAGGTCCGCAGCAATGGGTGTGTGTTCGTATTCACAGGTTTTGTTGTCACACTTTCCATACAATTGTGCGTTATTGCAGAACCTGCGGTCTTGAGAGAGTATTTTGAGACGTCTGACAGCGTCGGGGTCGGGTGGAGTTAAATAAATATCGAGACGATCTCCTAGTGCGTTGACAGGTACCATGCCATCTGGGATATCTTCCTTCTTTGGAAGTGAGTCAATGTTTAGTTTGGCGCCGTTAGGTACGTTTGAGCTTCGTCGCCAGTCGCCGCTAAAGTTTCTTTCATTTTTTGTGCTGTTGCTCATAGACGACAACGAAGGTGTGCTATTCTGGCTGGATGCTTTGCTGTCGTGGGCAAACTTGCAGGTGCTGCCATAACGGCAATTACCCTGCATGTAAAAGGTGCATACTGCTTTGCCTTCATTTTTGTTTTCTTTTGTCGACACGGGGGTACTGTATGTAGAATTATTTTTGCTACCGCTGAGAGTCGAGTTAAGGGTCGCCTTGCCCAGTGCAGTAGTATAGGCATATTGAAGAGGCGTGAGACGGAACACGCCGGGCAGTTCTTCGACGTTCATTCCAAGTCGTTCAAACTCCTTGTGGAACAACAGACTTGGTGTTCGGATAAGCGTGAACCGCTCTCGGTTACCCCTAAAGGGAGTGAGATCCGAAACATAGCCCACATCATGGCAGGCGGCGAAGTAAATGTGCTTGCACTGGGCATTATCCGCGTAAAGGCGAAGAATAGCCTTGAGTTTGAAGTCGGCATTCTCCTTTAATTCACCAGCGTCGATGAAGTCGGCGAGGCCATAAGATCTGTTGAAGCCAGCGGTGAAAGATGATAGAGATCGCTTCTCAGCGCCCGCGAGACCGTTTTTGCATAGCGCTTTGGAAAGTCCGGTGAGGTTGGCATAGACACGAACCATGACCTCACAGCTTTCGAGGCCTTTGCGACGCAGACTATCTTTGATAGTATCATTCAGTTGCTTTGCGGCTCTGCTACCTCCTTCTTCACCGTCTTTGACAAATCGTTCATCAAAGATGTATCCATCGCCATCAACGACGACAAGAGCGAAAGGGTTACGCTCCTGGCCACGCGCGAGCTGCTTGTATCGTTCTCTGCCTTCACGTTCTTCTTCGTAGTCGCTCTTGAGACGCCTGTAGTCCTCTATGAGAACAGAATATTGGTCCAGGAGGTCATTGAGAGCGTTGTCTCTACGGAACTCAGCTAGCTTGTCAGCTGCTCTGTCAATTGTGGCATCAGGGAGCATGATCGCAGCGATTGGCGGTTGGCGACAAGCCCCGCATTGCCAAAGGCTTCAATGAGTTCTGGAGAAGAATGATCTGTTACAGTGATGTGAAGGAGAATTAAAGTGACTAAGTTGGCCTCGTATGATGGCACGTCGTCGCTTATGCCGAGTGGATGTGCCCGCACAAAGACCAACCAATTTTAAGCGGTTGATCCGGAGGCGTCATGTGATCTGCCACGTGTATCACTTCTACTGTTTGCTTTTGGGCGTCAATAAACCAAAACCCAATCAACAACAAACGGTCAATTGGACAATACAAACGCTATCATATTGTTTTCTTCTGCAACTACGTTTGGCTAACGAATGTGGCTGCAAGATGCGCTCTCTAGAACAACGTGTTCCAAGGATCAAGTAGCGAGATGACACAGGCGAGGATTGATTGAGCTCTTATTTACTTTTTCTACTACTCTAATCTAGCAGTGACTTTATATGTGGCATGTTTATTCTAAATAAAAAGAAAACGTCCTTGTACTAGATTCTCTGTTGCTCTGTCCACGCCTCACTGTAGGGATAATCGGTGTACCCATCAGGGCTCTTAACCTTATAAAATGTGTCCCTATTGTAATGAGTGAGAGGAACCTCATTAGCAAGCCTAAACGGCAAGTCGGGATTGGAAATGAAGTGTCTTCCAAAAGCAAACGCTACTGCGTCGTCCTTGAATCGTGTCTCGAGCGCTTTGTTTGCCTTTTCGGCTGTGTATCCTCCTGCAAGAACAACAGGTCCTGATTTCGCCCATACGTCAAGAGCAAAGTCGAGACTCTCTTTGTCGTCGTCTACGACTTTGTCCATGTTTCCAGCAATCCGAGGCTCAATCAGATGAAGGTAAGCAAGGTCGAGAGGCTTCAGTTCCGAAATGAGATGAGTGAATTGTGGTTCTGGATCTTCCATCCTCATGCCTTGAAAGGTGCTGAAAGGCGACAACCTAATACCGGTTCTGTCTGGCCCAATATCTTTTGACACAGCTTTGGCTACTTCGAGGCAAAACCGTGAGCGATTTTCGACACTTCCGCCCCATTTGTCGGTCCTTTTGTTACAAGGATCTTGTGTGAACTGATCGATCAGATATCCGTTGGCAGCATGAATTTCAACGCCATCAAAACCAGCTTCAATAGCGTTTCTAGCTGCAGTGGCGAACGACTTGACGCACTCCCAGATCTCGTCTTCAGTCAAGGGTCGAGGCTTAGGGGATTCAGAATCGATGGGAACATCACTGCTGCTGACCATTTCCAGGCCAGCCTTGTCTAGAACCTGCTGGCGAGCTGCTCGTCCGACATGCCAAAGCTGCATGAAGATATATGAACCCTTCTTGTGGACCTCGTCTGTTACACGCTTCCATGCATTGACCTGCTCTTGAGTATATACTCCTGGCGCGTGCTCGTCCCGACCGCGCGACTTTTCCGAGACAAACGTAGCTTCAGTTATGAGTAGGGTTCCGGGCACTGAAGCTCTTTGCGAGTAATAGTCAACCATGACATCTATTGGTACATGGTTGTCAGATCTCAGTCTCGTCAAGGACGCCATTACGACGCGGTGTTTCAGGGCGCATCGACCGATATTGACTGGGGTCGTAATTTGAGTCATGCTTGATATCCTATATCTTGGAAAGTTGTCGGAAAGTAAAAGATAAATACCGAGACAGTTGGTGAAGTTGAGTAAAAAACGGTGCTTCAAACCCCGCATTGATTGAGCACGCACGTCACTGAGGGTCTCTCGGTAGTTGCGTTGCTGATGGAGTCGGTGGATCTCGACATTGTGTTTCGGAAGTTGTATTATTGCAGGGCCAGATATGATTCTCCAATGCCATGATGAATGAATCGTTTCAATTGTAAACAGACATATAGAGCATTCCCTCAAATGAAAACCTGCCGCAAAGGCTGCGTGGGAATAAACAGTCCATTCAATGTCTGTCAATGCGACCAAAGACGCTAAACTAATGGCATCGGCGACAGGTGACAGTTGAATGCCCAAACTTACCACACTATTTTTTTTCACTCAGGGTTCAAATTGTCAATTAATCAGCGCCGATCGCGGTTGTCTCCAAGGCCCTAACCGTAGCGTAGCTGGTTGATGATCATGATCAAGTCTGGACCCTTGGATTAAAGTCTGGGGTAATGTTTAGTGGCAACTCAATTATTGGACGGTTGTGTCGGCTGGCAATAACGTCCAACTCCACCGCCCAACCGTTGATAACGAACATTATTAGTATGTTGCTGGAACTCTTGCGGCACAGCATCTCCGAGGAGTTATCATTACTCCATCCTTGCCTACCCCAGACTTTCTTATCTTGCAACCCATTTGCTCTAAAATTCCAGTAATTTCTTGGCTCTTGGAAGTCATAGGCTGCCCAATCCCCTGTGATCACATACCCCTCATTGAAGTGATAGGTGGCTTGCTGCCAAATCTTGGCTTTCGTAGTGGCGTCGCACCACCAGGTGGATAGATAACAGGAGCTGGGGACATTGTGTTGAGACAGTAATAATCATTCAGTATAAGGGAATTGATGCTAGAGTGACACAATTGAATTGGTATGCTACTGATCTTCAAGGATTACGAACAAAAGTACGGAAACTACATTTCCGCAATGTCAAAGCCAGGGCGTGGAAAATGAGTGCGACAATCCGACCTTTGGCTCTAGTTCTTGGTCGGCTTTTGTTAACCAATTAGACAAACCCAAATGCACGACCAGGGCGTTGCACCGGCCAAGACAACCAATCAATGCAAACTTGAGCCTTGGCTGAGATAAAGAGTCAAGTCATGTGTTGTCTTGCTCTACAAGTTGAGTAGGAGGACTTGCTTGTTGTGGCGGAAGTGAAATGTCAGCTCAAGTATCAGCCTGCCTGCATCTTGTTTCTTTTTCTTTTTATCCACTACAAACGATTGCTGTAGCCCTTCCTTCATTCATGTCTGACAATAGCTGCACCTCAGTATCAATTACACCAATACTACTTCACAATCAACACCCTCACCATGTCAGCCGTCCAGGTCCTATTCGACCCTACTCCCAACATCTCTGTAGCACCAGAGTCCAAGCGTAGGGGAAGTTGGGTTCCCATCAGACGCAAGTCAGAATGTCCCCTCGACGTATCCATCGATAGACATTTCGAAGCCAAGATCTACACATCAGGCTCTACCATCACAGGATCAGTCTCACTCTCACCCCAAGCAAGCCTCACCGTCGATGCCTTCGAAATAGTATTCACCGGCACTTCATCCACTATTGTCCAAATGCTGCATCAAGGATCTACACCAAAGTCTTCTCATAAGTTCCTTTTACTCAGAATGCCAATCCCCGAAAGTGCTCTGCCAGAGAATGGAGTACTTGAGGCCGGATATACCTACCAAGTCCCATTTTCTTTCGTCATTCCCTATCAACTTCCTAGCGCGGCTTGTAAACATCGCGACCCGAGAATTCGGGAACGCCATTTACATCTACCTCCAACAGTTGGCACCTGGGAGCACGACGACATGGCGGTTCACACTGTTTGTATCAATTACGCTGTCGAGGCTCGTGGATCATTCAAGACAGGCAAAAACAAATCCATGACCTTGGAGAGAACGCACCCCGTCAAAGTCATGCCTTTTGTATCCGAGCAGCCTCCCCTGCATATTGTCCCTGGCAACCCTCGTTATATACTGTCTCAAGAGAAGACAGTTCGAAAGGATATCCTTTCGTCCAAACTGGGCTTCATCAGGGCATCAACCAATCAGCCTGATTCCGTCATCATCACGGCTGATAAACTTCAACCGGCAGACTGCTCATTCGATATCAATCTAGAATTCTGGCCGAATGGCAACAAAGAACCACCAGAGGTATACGCAAAGTCAGCCGCTATCAAAGCATCAACATATTACTCAACAGGTCATATGAGTTTCTTACCAGACCAGCACAACTTTCCCAGCGTGATGCCAAACCCTATCCTGAGTTTCGTCCTTGATGAAGACGCGAAAGTCAGTTCACCCAAGCCTAGCTGGGTGCCTACGTCCTCCTCATCAAAATCTTCACCGCCAGTCTCTCGCAGAGGCTCAGAAAACTCGGACGCAGGCATTGAGCCATCGCGAATTACCTCTAGGAGAGGTTCCAAGACTAGTGATATCATCAAGTCAGAAGCGCCAAGATATACAGCCACACTTCCCGTCTCCATTACGCTGCCAAGCCCTGACAACAAGATTTTGCTACCTACCTTCCATTCCTGTCTCATTAGCCGCACATACGTACTTGAAGTAGTTCTTGCTTCCAGAGCATACGGCTCGAGCTTTACTTTGCGACTTCCTCTGCAGATCGCTGTTGAGGGACAAGGCGAGACTGGAGTTAACCATGTACCAACCTATGTAAGTTGAAGTGATTACACACATATATTGCACATGGCGGAGGCTAACAGACTGGCCGTAGGAACAAGTTCAAGCGAACCAGGATCTATTTGATACGCTTCCCACTTATAATAGAGGGTTTTGAGACACTGCAACTGGGAGTTGACTGGCGTTCTCATGCGACTACGACAAGTCTTTGGAGTTTCGTTTTCTGCTAAGATTGTCTTTCTATTACTTGTATATCCGGCGCAGGAAAACTTTAAGTTGATGGTTCATATACCCTATTGTTATAACAGTTATTTATTATATAGTAGTTATCCTATGAACTACTCATTGCATTCGATCATTGTGTGTAAATCTCCCCACTCAAGCGTGACCTTTCGGCTCACGAATACCAATACGAACCTTGAAGTCGAGTGGCTTGACGAACCAATAGTTCCAAGTGCTCCAGTTGGCGTGTTGCAGAGATGTATCCAGCTCGAAGTCGAAGTCACGAATGATGCGAGGAATAAGTTTGGACATCTCGAGCAGCGACACATGTCGGCCGATACAACTTCGTGAGCCTAGTCCGAACTGGAAGAGATATGTCAGTAATGATGTCAACAGGTATTGCGTTAAATACTTGCCGGCATGTAATAACGATTCATTGCAGAAAGCCTCACGGAATCCTGCGTAAGCCATCTCTCAGGGTTGAAGATGTCGGCATCTTCTCCAAAGACGTGGGTGTTTCTATGGGCTACCCAACAGTTGATGCCGACAATAGTCTGTACATTATTAATAATCTGGACTTTTGTCAATGTTTATCAACTCACATCGTCAGGGAAGAATCGCCCAGCCATTGTCGCACCACCTTCTGGAACGACTCGCTCGAGCGGCAAGCCTGTAGCTGGATGCATACGCAGCGCTTCCTTGATGGCAGCCTGTAAATACACCAGCTGCTGGCTTTCTTTGAACGTGGGCAACTTTGATAGTTCCCCTCGAGATGCCATTTGATCGATCTCGTTTCGAAGCTTTTCCAAACAGGCTGGGTTCTTGAGTAGGTAGTAGAGGACCGCGGACAGGCTGATAGCTGTGGTATCAGAGCCTGCAACCATGTTCGATGTACATCCCATAAGAACATGGTACTGTGTGAAGACATTTGGATCAGCTGTGTTTTTGGCCAAGAATTTGGTAAGGAAGTCCTCTGTGATAACTTCGCTCTCAGTCGCGACAGGTTTGGGGGATTTTTGAGATTCTCTGATTCGCTCATTGGTGAAACTCAACACATAAGCTCGGCCCGTGCCCTTGCCTCCCGCAAGGTAGTTTCTGATGGGGAATAGATATTGGTGTAGACCAGGGAATATCCCACAAAGTGTCGCATAGCCCAGGTGATCCTCCAAGGCGCGGATTACTCCGCGGATATCTTCGCCGCGATCCAAGAAACCAAGTCGCTTTGCGTAAGTGATCAGGCCGATGACATCGAAGGCATAACACTGGAACCAGTGCCTCATATCCACAGAAAGGCCAGTCCCAGACGTAGAGAGCTCGGAAAGACGCTGGGTAAAGAGGTCTGCACACTCGTCGACAAAAGGCTCATAGTGCACTAGAGAAGACATGGCGTATGTCGCCTGGTACATCTTCCGATTCTGTGTATGACGCTTGATCGACTGGTCACTGAAGATGGCCCATTGTCCAGGGCTTGCCCATGTTGAGTACCATGATGATTTGGGGAAGTGGTTGCCGAGGCCGTAGATTATCTTTGCTGCTTCTGGGTCATTGATGCTATAACGATTTGGGCCGTATCGAACGATGGGTCCTAGAGTGACTAATTAGTACTGAACAGCTAGAAGGTTAGAAAGTGACAATACCGTATTTGTTATGTAGATTGACATTTATCTCTTCGAATGATCCTTTATGGACGTTCCAGAAGTACCATGCATCTGTGAAGCGCGCTAAGAAAGGCCCTGGAACGCTGCGAAGTGGCGAGAAGAGCGCGCGAAGGAGGACACGCAGAACAAAGACAAGAGCAATAGCAGGAACCGCGAGCGTCGACACGGAGATAGCCATACTGGAGGGAAGCCTATAGAGAAACGAAGAAAAAGGTTAAAGAAGATGAGCTTGGGGTGCTCTGCAGATCTTTGGGGATAGATGGTACGGTACAGTAAGCTGATGGATTGCCTCGGGGTGCCAAACGGTTGGCCGGCAGAAGCATAAGAGATGAAATTCTTAGGCCAGCTTATGCTCCTTAGGCTACACTTCTTAGGCTATTTATTTTTGTTCGTTAAGATTTAGGAGGCCAGCATTTCTGCTACACGTTAGGCATGGTCTGGTCACTGAGTGAGCGGGGTTGGTGATGACTTCTACCCCGCCTCACATCATATTTGCCGATCAGCGCAGGTAAGAACATTTTTGCAAAACAAGACAATAAATCATCAATTTTATCCGTCTACTACCGCTTCTTGCCGTGGGTATACAATGCTCTGATACCTCCCCTATTTATCCAATCGTCTATGCTTTTACTCTTAACGTACACGGTACAAGCTCATCCAATTTTTAACCATTTATTTCAACCAGCCCTTGGGTCCTCCCCAGGTTCCCTTGACCATGTAGTTCTTGTACACCCAAGGGAAGAAGTCCTTCTTCAAGTGGTAGAACGATCGGCGGGGAACAGCCTGGTCGATGCCGAGGATGTCGCCAAAGGTCTCCTTGGGGACACCACCGTACTTGAACTCAGCGAGCATCACCTTGCCGTACTCGGTCAAAAGAGGGCAGGAAGTGTAGCCGTCGTAGGCGGGCTCAGGCTCTTGGCCATCGATGGCGCGTAGAAGGTTGCTGACGAGAACAGGGGCCTCGGATGTGACAGCAGCAGCGGTCTTGGAAGTGGGAAGGCTGGAAGCATCACCGGCGGACCAGACGTTGGCGAACTTGTTGTGGCGGAGGGTGTTGTCGTTGACATCGACGTAACCAGCCTCGTTGGCGATGGCGCTGTTCTTAACGAAAGCATGAGGTCCCATCTTGGGGACAACATGCATAAAGTCGAACTGCTTGGTAACCTTCTCCTGTCCGTCGGGGCGAGCGAAGATGGCCTTGTCTCCGTTGATCTCAACAAGATCGTGCTGGAAAAGACCCTCGACACCACGCTCCTGGCGCATCTTCTCAAGCTCGGCGCTGTACTTGGGGACACCGAACATGACGGGAAGGCCAGTGGCGAAGCTGATCTTGATGGGAGAGGCGGAAGGGTTCTTGGGGTCGTAGAGACCGGCCTGCTTCCAGTGGTCGAGGGCGAGCCACATAGACTTTTGAGGAGCACCGGCGCACTTGATGACACCGGCGGGCTGAGTGAAGATGGCATTACCCTTCTGGAGTCGCTGAATGTTGGGGAAAACCTTGTCGCAAAAGTCATAGCCGTAGATAGAAGAGACTGGGCCGTCTCTCTCAGCCAAAGCCTCGGGAAGACCCTTGACGCTGTCGTAGTTGATCTTGATACCGGGGGCAACAACAAGGTGCTCGTAGTTGACCTTGTCACCAGTTCCGAGAGTGATGGTGTTGTCCTCGGGGGTGAGACTGTTGACGCTGACGCTGTAGAACTTAAGCTTGGGGTCGATCAACTCAGTCATGTTCATCTTCAGCTCCTCCTTGGTCTTGAGACCAGCTCCAACGAGTGTCCATCCAGGCTGGTAGTGGTGGTACTGAGCGGGATCGACAATGGCGATTTCTTCATTGGCGAATCGGCCAGTTCGGAGAAGCTGGTGGCTGATGGCGAGACCAGCAGAGCCTCCTCCGATAACGACAACCTTGTGGCTCCTGGTGGCGGAGGAGACAGCGGCAGCAGTGGCGAGGCCTCTTCGGGCTTGGCCAAAGACAGCGGAGCGAGCTGCCATTGAAACACGACTTGAAAGCATCTTGACAAATTTGTTTATTTTGAAGTCTAGTCAAAGTTGAAAAACAGCAATAAAAAAGCTCAAGATGAGGATGAGACGATAAAAAGTACAATGAAAGTGACGTACTGTACGTACCCACTAGCGGGTGCCGCTTTACTCTGTTGAGGTCAATATTGAACGGATCATCAATCATCCAGCAAAAGCTTGACTTTGTTTGGTCTAGTTTTAATTGCGTGATTCAGGGATGATTGTTGTTACCGCCGATGGCCCGAAATTGAATCCCGATGGCCCAAAACGAATCTCACAAACGGCGACTACCGGTTTGCAATGAGATGCAAAAGTCACATCTACAACAGGCATTTCTTGTTTCCTCACCCGATAGGTCTTGATTCGAATCGCCGTTCAGTCAGAATCTCATTCAAGGTGAAATTTCGGATGCGAAAGGCAGACGTTACACAGATTCTCGCGGCAGAAAGGATGCTTGCCCATAGCTACCCGGGACAAGACACAATATCACATATAGTTTGCTCGCACAGTATTTCAATATTCCTCCGAATGACAGGATCTTGTTGGAGAAAATATTTTAAATGAAGTTAATTCATAAAACATTATAGCGATCCCGATTTGCTGCATTGTCGGCGATTAAACAATTTCCCGACATGAATGACTTAGGTCTCAACAAATCAAAACACACTACCCTTCAGTATCCAGTAGTTCAAATCCCAAGACCACTACAAGCTCGAATCATCCTCGGCAATTTGTAAATTAGCTCCCAAACCAGCTGCCATCCCACTACTGATCTTTATTGCTTCATCATCAACTACAGTAGCGCAGCGACCAGCAGCGAAGACGCCTCGGACACTGGTCTCTTGGAAATCGCCTTCAACCAAGACGCGTCCTTGTGATGTCATCTCGAGATCTAGTTCTCTTGCAAATGATCCTTTGACGTCTGATCTGGGTTCGTGAGATACGAAGCCATATGACGCTTTTGTTCTATCCGTAAACTCAACAGCAACTGAATCTGGACTAGCCTCTGAGAAACGTTCAATAGCCTTGCTAATTACTTTGATACCCCGGCTGACAATGGAAATAACCTGTGGATGCTGCTCAAGGTGTTGCAAGCCGTTGACCAACAAGGTTATATCGGGTGTGTACTGGCGCGCCAGATGAGCCGAGAGGATCGCCGAGTCTATAGAGTCTTCATCGTCCGAGGTGATCAAAACGGCAGCGCAATTCACGTTTGAGATTATTGGTCCACTGTATTGGAAACAGTCAAATCTGCAGATAGCGTCAGTGATCTCCATAAATCATGACTTTGAGTCTGTGCTTACATCTTCGTTCCCCATAGATCCTTGTAGCCTGGTACCCCTGGGAGAGATTTGTGACAACCAGTAGCAAGTATAATCTTTCTCCCTTTCCAGCACTGACCGGTTCTATCCACCACCTCGAAGATCATGCCACTCTCGCGAACAAACTTCGCGGCTGTGTTGGTGAAAAACACAGTTTTGAAGCTGGTCTTCAGCTCGGCTATCATGTCAGTTTGAACTGACGCCGTGCGTTTACCACCATTGGCATCCAGATCGGAGCGTGCGGACCTGCTATGCTCGTCCGAATAGAAGATAGCCGCACTGCGACGGGCACGACCCAACGTTAAAGCTGCTGAAAGACTGGCAGGTCCTGTCCCAATGATCAACACATCAATAGCATTGCGAAGGAAGTGAGGTTCGATGGCTCTTGGGCTACTCAAAGCGTGAGGCATCTTGAAAGAGAGTCAAGAGCTGAGAAGGTCTGACAGAATAGAAAGGAGAGGAATGATGGTTTAAAAAACCACCTCAGGTGTCCTCATCAAGGATCCCGAGTAAGCACTATTGATGTCTTGGTTGGGAGTAAGCAATCACTTCGCCTCTGACCATAACCATTTTCGATATCATAATTGGTCACCAATCACTCCTTTGAATCTTTAGGGTAAGTCATCATGATAAAATGCCCAGATAAGTGGCGGGTCAAAGATGATGTGAGACTGCTAGTCCACAAAGTGCCTCGCTAAACCGGGGGATCACCAAGGTTCACTCGCTGGACAAAATGTCAGCTGGAGCAAAAGACTGTACCCAAAAAACTCACGGGTTATAGATAATTTGAATTTGAGTATATGGCATCATGGAACTTATACAGGAATATAGAAACAGCTAACTCTTGATGGTGTCATTCACCCACTTCCAAGTCTGGATCAATCGCTCTCTATCCAATGGTTGAACGTCCTTGATTGTGGCAGATACGTCTCGTGTCTTCACAACATCGAAAGGTGATTCGTCCTCATGTGTCTTTGCGCTCACCACGTCATCTATCATGAGTCCGTACGACTCTTTCCATAGCCCAAGAAGGGCTTGCGCTGGATGATTGACACTCCTCTCGCCGAGGGCCTTCTCCAAACGCTTGACCCACTCTCGAGGGGAGACCTTCTCAAATTCTGGCGTCCCGATGCTGGACGAGAGCCAGTCCAACATCTCGGTCCATTTCAGCGCGGTATGGGGATTGAGGACATGGTAAACTGGTGTTTTCGAAGAGGCGCTACCGTCTGGCTTCGACTCGGAACGCGCGATTTCGATGACTGCTTGTGCGGCTTGCTCGACGGGAAGCCAGTTGAGTGATTCGTTGGGAATGTTGGGTAGACAGCCTGTGATCTTCGCAGTAGAAAGTAGCAAGGGATACGCCTCAGTGGCGTTCCAGACTCCAGATTCATTGCTGCAAAGCTGTCCCACGCGAATGATCGTAACAAGGGGATCATGGCCTGTGGTCTTGTTTAGAGCGTCGCAAATCTGTTCCGTTACCCATTTCGAACGTGAGTAGCCTAGCGGAGAAGCCTCACTGGGGTTCTGTGACAGCTGTTCGGGGATTGGTTTGGCCTTGGAATCGCTGACTGCCGCGATTGAGCTGATGAAAATAAATCGAGCGCTGAACTGAGCGGCGAAGGTCGCTATATTTCTTGTGCCGATGATTTGGTCTTCGAAGGATGGTAGGTTAAGACTGAAATTGACCGCCCAAGCTGAGTGGATTATTGTCCCGACGCTACCCAGTATCTCGTTTCGATTGATTTCGGAAAGTCCCAGATTGCTTTCTGTGAGGTTACACGGTAGGCAGACGACTTTGTCTTTGACTTGTTCGTATTGCTCAAGCCCATGCATCCCGCGTTGACTCAGCGCTTCAGAAACCCGTTTATGCGCAGTAGACGGATTGTCTGCTCTTAGAAGACAGTATATCTTGTCGACACGGGAGTCTCTTCGTAGGATATCGAGCATATGCGCTCCGAGAAACCCAGTAGCCCCGGTAAGCAGGACACTCTTTCCGCGCTGACGGTCTGACACTGTCTTGATGTCCCCGAAGTTGCTGTATCTTTCGGTGAGGTCTAGCATCGCCTTGGTGTCTGCATCTCTGGCATTTCGGCTATGGTGATGGCCTCCTTTCCTCACACTATCAAGGTACGCGACAAGACCGTTGGCAGTGCCTTGGTCGTAGATGACGTTCAAAGGAAGCGGTTCGTTGCGGGGCGAAAGGCAAGACTGTTCGATCAGCTTGCGAATCTGGATACATGCGATTGAATCAACGCCTTGCTTAAACAGGTCCTGATCGGGATCAATATCTCGTCCAAGTACCTGATGAAAGCAATATTGTACAGTTTGTGACAGTTCATCATCCGATATACTCTTCGATGCAGACGAACGCCTGTGATCGTATGCTTGTTCAATCTCCTTGGCGTATCGCTCTTCAGCCTGTCGTCGGAGAATGGTGCCCTTGCTGCTCTTCTCTAGCGCCTTCTCACCCTCTTTCACAGGGACCACGACCAACATTGTTTTTGTTATTCGAGCGTGGCTTTGACTTTCGCTGTTCATGCGATCGATATGTGGCCATACTGAGTCAATCACCTCTGCACTGCCAACGTTCCCAGCAGGAAACAAAAGGGCACCAGCGTAATCCCTACCACCTCCAAAGATCAGAACGTCTTGAAGTTGTTTTGATGAAGCCAATATGCTGTCTTCAACAGGCGAAGGGTCGAACTTCTTGCCGTTTCCAAGAGTGATTTGCGCATCAGCTCTACTGTGATACCGCCACGCATTCTTGATCGACTGATGAGGCTCGAAAAGGTCAGACGTAGCGTAAGATCCATCCTCGCGGTTCGTCTTGATCAAGAAAGGCCAATCCGGCTTGACCACAAGTTCCGAAAGACCATTGTCGCGTGGCTCAAAGGAGATGAGTTTGGGGTCGTCTATGGGTCTGAGGAACTGCCACTCTTTATCGTTGGCGAAATCACGATGAGAAGACATCAGAAATCCACATTCCGCACTTCCCATTCGTGATAGAAGATTCACATCTGCGCCCACAAGCTTATCGCCTATTGCAGAAGGCAGCGCAGCACCACCAACTCCGACCATATCCATCGATTGAAGGATTTGAAGTCCTCCATACTCTTCGGAGAGCATCTGGAGGACATAAGGGACTGAGGAAAAGTACTGCACTGGACTTGGACTCTTCTCTCTTGCGTACTGAAGTGCTTTGAGGATATTACTTCCAGTGACAGGCGCATGCCCCTCAGGAAAGAACCAGATTGCAGCGCCGCTCGTCCAGGATCTCAGACAATCTGGGAACCCTCCATGGTAAAGCGGAGTGGTGGAAAAGGTGGCCGGTTTGTCTTGTCCCGGGAAGCTGTAAAGTGCACCCATGAGACCGAACTGGGTTTGCGGAATGGGCTTTGGGAGGCCAGAAGATGTTCCTGAAGTATGGCAGACGTATGCAGTGTCGGATGTCTTGTTGGTCTGTTTAAAGCTCGTTGTGGATGGGTCGGCTGGATGATATCGAGGAATCATGGTTACATCGATTCTGTTGTCCAGGCCGCGAGCCCTGTGCTCGTACGTCTTATCAACAAGAACATGGTCGATATGAAGGGTCTGGCACAAATGTGTGATTGCCGGTGGTGCCAATTGGGGTCTGTGACGGTGAGCTATAGACATGAGAGTTGGTGGGAAGAGTGACTTACGCAAGAAGCAAGACTGTATATCCCAGGCGCATCAAGCCAAGCCATGTTAAAACGAAGTCGGTGGTACTCGCCGCCAAGAGGCCGATCGTCATATGTGAGGAGTCTTTGGGTTGGGGAAGATCTCGCGATAATATTTGGGCGGCATGTTTTGATGACTCTGAGAGACCCTTGAATGTCAGAAAGTAGGGCGACACTATTCATGTTAGCATCGGGTCCGAATGAATGAGTGTTTTGGATGAAACCTTGACTGGATTTTAAATGCTTGAAGGTCGCGAAGCCAAGGGCTGGTGAGTCTGGAATATTTTGAGCCTGGTGGTCAACTAATTCTAGCACCGTCTTCCATTTGGCCGAACCATGCTGGCTTTTCAATTGCGCAGCCTGACCGAGAGTGCATGTAAAGTAATTTGGCTTTACTGAAGCCATATTTGATGTGTCAACAATTGAATTGAGATATGAATCTATCGTGAAATGTGCTGTATCATTGTTTTTACCCCTCTTTTCAACATTTCCAGTGGGTTTAGTGCTGTCCAAGTTGCTGCCGGCCACTGCCACTAACTGCCACTGCCACTGTAAACTCATGTCATCATCGACTTGAGCCTGTGAGACAAAAAAAGAGGAGAATTACAACGTCACGTCATCGACTCAGTTCAACTTGACCATGACTGGATCTCTACGAGCTTCGCAGCAAAAAAAGAAAATAAATCTTTGAGGGGAAATAAACGGTTTGTTGTTCTATCTACCCCTCTTTTGTACAAACACCATAACTTTATCAAATCTCACCTAAATTTACCCGTTCCTCGTCTGTAATCATGGAGCGCTCACACACTGATACTTTGCCTCTGGCAAACTCCGTCGAGATCCCTCAATTGGGCTTCGGTGTCTATCTCTCTCCACCAGAAGTCTGTGTGAAATCATGCCTCACAGCCCTGGAAGCTGGTTATCGCCATATTGATACAGCCCAGTACTACGGCAACGAGGCTGAAGTCGGAAAGGCAGTTCAACAATCCAACCTCGAAAGGAAACATGTCTTTCTCACGACAAAGATACTCCAGGCTGCCGGATCTGTTGATCTGAGTTATGCGAAATGCGTTGAGAGCATCAGGAAGCTCGACCCCGAGAGCGGCTACGTTGATCTGTTCCTCATCCACAGCCCGAACCCTGGCGCTGCTAAGAGGAAGGAGATGTGGCAGGCCCTTGAGAGGTTGTACGAGGAAGGCAAGGCCAAGAGTATTGGTGTCAGCAACTTTGGCATCAAGCATATCGATGAGCTGAAGCAATTCGCCAAAGTGTGGCCTCCCCATGTCAACCAGATTGAGGTACGTGACACATTCCTGAGCGCAAGCAATGAGACACTAACAATGAAACAGCTTCATCCCTGGCTCCAGCAGAGAGACGCAGTCTCATACTGCGAAAAGAACAACATCGCAGTAGAAGCCTACGCGCCTCTGGTCCGCAACCAAAAAGCCAACGACAAGACTCTCGGCAGTATCGCTTCCAAGCACAGCGTCACGCCAAGCAAGGTCCTCATCCGCTACTGCTTACAAAAGAACTGGATCCCTCTGCCCAAGAGCGACACACCGGAGCGCATCAGGGATAATGCGGACGTCTTTGGATTCGAGCTGGATGACAAGGATATGAAGTCGCTGGATGATCTAGACCAAGGTGATGCGGGTGCTATTGTCCAGGCTGTGGATAACTACTAGACATTGGCGGTTACACGAGAGCTTGACCGTTATTTCAGCCTACCTTAGCTCCCGAAGACCTGGATCTAGATATCGCGTTGGAGAAAAACGTAAAGACGTTACTAACGAGTCAGTTTGTGCTATTTTAAAGACTCCAAGGTTGTTAGTTTTGTACCCCAAAGCTTAAAGGTTACATTCCCCTGTAGTTCAGATTGTAGATCCTTGACGTGCGATAAACGAGGTTTTAGTTTGTCCAATGTGAAGCAAATGGGTCCTGGAGGCGTCATTGATCGATAAATGTTTCACAAAAATACTCATTTTGCGGATGAATTTTACTGAAAAAGGACACGTATGCGGAGGTAATGGTCCTCACCGATGGTTTGAATCCATGTGATATAGCAAAGGCTACATGCATGGACTGCATGGGGTTGCCTCACCAGATCCTCTGGACAGACACAGCCACGACATTTACTTTCTTTTTCTTGTCGCTTAGCATGTTTTCTGTTTATGATTTGTGAAATAAAAAGTTAGAAGGATTAAACGTAAGGGATAAATAAAATACCTAATGCTAAACTATGATTGCATTTTATCGACAATGACGTCCACGAAAACACTTTTAGCTCATCCTCTTCTACCTCACCATCTCGTCACTTTTCCCCTCCTTTCCCTCCCTTCTCTTCTTACCTCACGATAAAACATTAAAAGGGACAATCTTATCTTATCCATCCATTGGATCTGCACGTCTCTACGAAAATGGAACCTCCAAACACCACCAAAAGGCATAATGCCTATGCAACCCTCATCACCCGTGACTCGTATCTGCCAGGCGTCATCATTCTCGCCTACACCCTGAAGCGCAACAATTCAGCTTACCCACTGGTCGTCCTTTACACACCCAATCTCCCCAAGGATGCTCGCAGGGTACTGGAACTGGAGGCCCCCAAATGCAACATGGTCCTGCGCGAGTGCGACCACCTTCTTCCCCCCAAGGACATCAAGATGACGCTCATCGCTGAGCGCTTCGCCGACACATGGACCAAGCTGCGCGTCTTTGAACTTTTCGAGTATGATGCCGTCTGCTATCTGGATGCTGACATGGCTATCCTGGACAACATGGACGTCGTGTTCCAATGTGAGGAACAGTTACCCGATGACTGGATCGCTGCAAATCATGTTTGCGTGTGTAACCTTGATTCCGACTCTTGGGCACCTGAAGCCTGGAAGGCTGAGAACTGTGCCTATACACCACTCTCACATCCCACAGCGCTGAAAGAGCCCTTACAGCCCACAGAGACGTCCCCCTCGCCGCACAAGTTGCTCAACGGCGGAATGTTCATCTTCCATCCATCGGAGGGTCTTTGGGATCGCATGTTGGATGTATTCAACACAACCCCTCTGCTCTCGGACTTCATGTTTCCCGACCAAGACTTTCTCGCCTTCTTTTTCGAGAACAAGTGGTATGCGCTAGGATGGCAGTACAACGCTATCAAGACGATGCGATACTGGCATCCCAATATCTGGAGAGATGAAGAGGTCATTTGTCTGCACTATATCGTCGACAAGCCCTGGGCTAAGCGCGTTGGACTGGATGGCGTGGCCGGGTACAAGGGTCTGGATGGAGTGACACATTGCTGGTGGTGGCAGCTCTACCAGTACTGGGAGGACGAGAGGACTTCGGACGGAAAGGGAGGCAACGAGGCGATATCTCTATTAGGGAAGCTCATTGCGCCGGCGTATACTATGGATAGTGGTGTCGGATATCTGCGGGTTGCTTTGCCTGTCCGAGCTTGAGCATGAGGTTTACGCTATTATACTTGCGTATGGTTAGTTCAATTCCAATAAAAGACATGAGGAAATAGTTTACCAAGACGGATGATATTCATCATCTTTGAGCCGTTAGAAAAGACTTTGGGAATACCTGTGAGACATGGCTGGTAAACGGAAAGGTCAACCTTGGTGTACAAAAATAAAAGGCCTAAAAGTAACAAACTCGTGTGCTGATTTCGACTCTTATGCCTCCAACACTCACTATGAGGAGGTTAGCCAAGTGAAGTCCGAGCAGGATCAAACAAGCTACATACTTTCTTCTCCTCGCTCTCCTTGGCCTCCTCCTCCATGGCATTCTAAACAAGTCATATTTGTTTTCTAATGAACAAGCGAGCAATGGGCGGCAGAACAAGGGATATAAACGTTCAAATAATGAATCTTCTGATGAACAGGCGACGAGTGGCGGGTGATGAGAGACGAGTCTAGAATAAGGATGACAGGGTGCTTGATCTGTTTCCTGTACAGTATCGGTCGCTCAAGACATCGAAATCAGAATGGGAAAGCCAGTGTGTTAAAACCATATTCTTAGGTAGTTTATTTTTGTATCCTAAAGCCTAGGCGCCATGTTTTTGTTGCCCATGATACGGTGTCATCTGTTCCAAAACGAACGGTATACTACTCTACCTCCATCCAAGCAGCCTGAAATTGCGCTATCTGCATCCAATCACTCATCTTGTTCGAATCAGCCATCCCAGCATGCATGTTGTTCATCATGTTTGCAGCTGTCACTCCATGCTCTGTTTCGTAATACCCAATAGAACTGTTGCCATGCAAATTGCCATCAGCCGTTCCCGCTATCGACGACATACCGTTCATCCCCTGATACATGAGGCTCAATTGGCCCTGCTGCATCGCCTGCATACGCTTCATCATCATCATCGACTGGATCATCTCTATATGCGGTACCGTAGCATTGTACACTTGCACGCGCTTTGTACCGAAAGCACGGAACTCTTCCAGAGCCTTTTGTGACTCTGGTGACCCGGGAGGTCCTGCTGCACAAGCTGCGAGCCACATATTACGCATCCGAGGAGACCAAAGCTGGCAGATCAAAGACCGTTCGTCGTAAACACCTTTGACCGGAACAGTATCCCCAAGGGGAGTATCGGCAACGAAGCTCAACCAGCAGTCCTCGCAGGCTAAAGCTTCTGGGTGTCCCCACCACTTACTCTTGTCTCTGTTTTTGATGCCAGGGCAAGTCCGTACTCCCGCCCATTTTCTGACATAATCACTGTAGTAGCTGAAAATTCCTTTGTCCAATGCTTCGGCGAACTTGGTGATAAAAGTGCCCCAGCGTGGACTGCCAGGACAGAAGTTGCACGTGATGGTCGCTGTAGGGTCGCGTTTAGCAGGCTCAAAAAAGCGCCCGAGGTTGGACGTTTCGAGTACTCCTTTGTAGCATGCCTCGCAAACATCAAAGTCAGGACAGCCACCAGCGACGGTCCACCAGTTCCCTCCAATGATACCATTCGCAGTACAAGGGACAAGGCTACATATAGCACTAGCCGCGTTCCAGAATACTTCAAAGTCACGACGGTAGAGAGCCGCCTCAAGGGCAATGCTCATGTTGACAGCCGTGTCGGTAAGGCTGCATTTCCATTTCTGGCCCAATGACTCCAAAAATGCATCAAATCCTTCGGCTCGTTGATGACGTTCAAACTCATTACCAAAGCGCGTAAGGGCAAGCTTGTCTAGATAGCATGCTTCACAGATTGTCATGTTTTTGATCCTGCGACGTGGAAGAATCCAGTGACCACTGTTCGACTCTTCATCTTTGCCTTCGCATGCTGGAAGATGGATTCGCGCTTTGACAGCTTCAGAGAACCCATTCCAGTTGTTGGTCTTGGACATCTTCACAGCCACTGCCGCAATGTAGGGGATACACAAGTCGCACATCCAGTTTTCGTCGGGGCCTTGTTGACGATACGGGGAGAAACGACCTTCAAAGGCCGTGCCAACAATGCGATCCTCATAACAGGCTTCGCACGAAATAAATCCATCAACCTCGTTGTTTACCATGCCCCACCATTTAACACCATCGGCAGCGGTACTCCATACTCTGCCTTTGCAGGTTGGTAATGTCAGAGTCTTCTCCGCAAATGCCCGAAGAGGGCCGATGTCATTGGTCTGAAGTGCTTGAGGCCAAAGGACCTCTCTCGCGCGGGGTGACCAGAAGCTACACTTGGACTCAGTACCTTCTGGGGAATGGTATCGCTCAAAATTAATAGCGAGGGGGGTGCCTGTTACTTGATCCTCGTAGCATCTTGTACAAACAAGATACTGTGGCACAGCTGCAAGGCGATACCAATCCAGACCGTACGCCACGACGCGATCCTCCGGACAGTATGGAAGGGTGTCGCTGGCCATGCCTGTTGCTAGACAGGGTGGTGGCCCTCGTGGTCCGTCATTATGGACAGGAGGTATCGCAGAGCTTGACTCGCGTTGTTCACTGTTCTGCACATTTAGATTGTTCATTTGTGCCGACAGAGAAGCTAATTGATCTTGGTGATAGACATTATCCACAAGTTGACTGGGGGCCGGTGCCGGTTGGTGGGGGCTTATTGGTTGTTGAGCAGGTTGATAGGGCTGAAAGCTCTGGCCTGTTGGCGCTGGAGCTGGAGCTGGAGCTGAAGATTGGAGTGCTGGCTGATGATGATACTGATTGTTTGAATTGATTGTTGGGGTGTCATACAAGGGTTGCCCATAGTTTGGCTGTGGTGGTTGTTGAACCGCTGTCGAGCTGTATGGTTGGTACTGAATACTAGCTTCTGGTGCAGATGGGAGGATGCCACTGGGCTGGTTCAAGGTCTGCAAAGGAGAAGAAGGTAAGGGAATATGGTTCTGGTTTGGTGTCGCAGCTTGTGGCACAGGTTCGGGTACGTGGGGAGTCGATTGAGGATGTGCCTGTGAGGTTGACTGATACTGCCCTTGTATAGAAGAGGTACTCTGGTGAGTTTGGGCTGTCGGTGCGCTATTGGAGTGATGCTGTGACAGGAGGCCGGAAAGGTTGCCTTGTGCATAGTTAGCGGAGCTGCTATTGCCACCCGGATATGGAGCAACATGAGACGGTGGTTTTATCTCTGATGCAGTCAACTGACCTTGCTGATGTGGGATGGGGCCCTGCTGGTGAGGGTGCGGTTGATGGTATTGCTGCTGCTGCGGCGGCGGCGGTGGCGAGGGCATTTGAGAAGAGTTGTTCATTTGACTTGATGTTACTGATGGTTGTGACATCTGCGGAATGGCCTGCGCCACCGATGGTGACACATGGGAGGTGGGGCTATCATGGTGGTAAGATGGCTGCGCGTGCAACCCTACGGGCGGCTCATAGCTAGGAGTAGTAACTTGGACTGCGGCTTGGCCAGCGGATGCGGAACTTGGAGTAGCTCCAGCCGGACTGTACGAAGTGTGGCCGGTCTGCTGTGGCCATGGTGGCGGTGGATTTCCACTTGAAGAAGGACTATGGTAGTTTGGCTGCAGTGGAATGACTTGTGGGTGGCTCTGTTGTTGCCCAGGCAAAACACCATATGGTACGGACTGAGCAACTGATTGGGGAGCTTGGGTTGGAGCTATCGGTGCATATGGGTTCGATTGTTGGTGATGCAGCGATGGCTGTGGATACGGTGAGGCAGCTGCGGTTGGCGAATGAACTGACGGCGGGGAGGTAGCAGCTTGAGAACCAGCGACTCCGTTCGCGGGAGCTTGTAGTTGATGGTACAACTGTTGAGGAGCATGGTGTCCTTGTTGAGGCGACTGTACAGGGACTCCTTGTGACTGTATCGGAAAAGAACCTTGATGCGACACGGGAGGATAGCCTGGAGCACTGGGCAAGATGCTTTGTTGCGGCGTTGGCGATGCATGCTGATGAGTCAACTGCTGAGTCTGGCCATATCCCTGAGGGAAAGAGTTTGTCGGGCTCAAGGGTGTCTGGGTAGGGTGTTGTGAAGGATTATATGTCGGCTTTGGTGTTTCGCCTGTGTACGAAATCGTGGACGACGTTGTGGAGGCATTCGATGTGGCAGGGTACTTGGACTTGATGTTGCTGGCGATGTTACCCAAGAAGCCCTTTCCAGATTTGAATAGTGATTGGGCAGTTGCCTGCAGCTGGCCTTGAGATGAAGCTGAAGGCGGGGCAGAAAATTGAGATGTTTGCTGCTGGTATTGTTGTTGATGCTCAGACGGCGTGGGCGGTGCTGCGACACCGTAAGGCACTGTTTGGATGTTGGGCTGTTGACCAAGCGCATATTGTTGAGGGAGGCCTGGGTGCTGAGCTTGAGGGGATTGATGAAGCTGAGGACCTTGTGCAGATGACTGGTAATGATGTTGTTGGCCTGAAATCTGATGCTGGATAGGGTATTGACCTTGGGGCGATTGCGAAGCATGGGCTTGTGGAGTTTGCGGTACCTGGTTCATCGGCTGACCAGGAAGTGGTTGATAGTTGGTTTGCTGATGAGCTGCATACTGCTGGAATTGAGGTGGTTGATGAGCATGGGGCGATTGCCCTGGAGCTTGCGGATGCTGAACGTGGTGTGCGTGTGGGACTTGGCCAGGCTGATGACCAGGAGGAGGTGACTGGTAGTTGTTGTAAAACGGACCACTAGCTGCCATCTTGGCTTTCCGATGCTTGGCAATCTCTTAATTTAATATATAATGTTAATGTCAGTTTTATTTGCATGACTACAAATGAAATTTCCTCGGTGGCAGCATGTGAGATTAAATATTCCTCTTTGTAGCATTGCAAATGTCTGGGTCTGGACCGGTCCACGCATTCAGCTGAACTGTTAGTGTGACTTCCACAAGGCACAAATACCAACACTGCGACCCTGAAAACGCCTTGTCAACACCCAAGTCTCTCTTCGTGGCGCTTTACTCGTCACTTTGTGAAAGCCACTTCGCTTTGCTTACTGTTTTGAACGACTTCTTTTCCTCAGCCGCAACGGGGATAGAGACACTCGCGGGGAACACCAACACAACACTGTCAAACCGGATAAACATTTAGTTGTGCTCAAAAAAGAAAACTTGTATTGCTGTTTCCCACTAGAAATGTCTAGTGAAATACAGCATCAAAGAGACAGGTGAGATCAGCTCATGAACGTACAAGCGTTGAAGTTTCGCGTCTCTGCACTGGCTCTGGCATAATCAGGTTCCCAGGCGGCACCACGTGGAGGTTGCAGAATCCGTCTTCGCCGCCCGCCGGCACCTCTTCTTTGATAGACAGAGGGCAGCCCCGAATGGGATTTGAATGCTATAGGGATGAACCCATTCCGACCGAGTCCATTGAGCTTCCAATAAGACCCTTCTGACCTAGCTCACAGAGACACTCAGGTACGTGTCAGGCCGATAGAATCGTAGCACTCGTCAGTAAAAAGAAACCGATCGCAGAACTTCCTTCTTTAGATCATCCCACTCGCCCTCTTCATAGAGGGGAGGGGCTATGAGGAATCTTGACTGGTATGTTCGAAGGAGACTTGAGCTCGTTGTGCAGCTTGTGCAGCTTGTCCACCATCGTCACGACACTTTTAGCCAGTGTAAATAGGTCTTATCCATGCCAGCCGCTGACAGGAACTTGTTGATAGCGTGCCTTGTCTTTGCAAGTGCAAACTGACTCTGGGAGTCTGCCCTTTGTAAGATGCTTCAGGGCAATTAACTTCGTTCTTTGCAAGCAGCCCTCACTATCCCACTCGAGATTTTCAACATCTTCGAAATGATCCAGTTGAGAGCACTCGTTGTGAGCACTATCATAGTTACCACAACTCTCAAATGTGTCGAGGTGTACTTGCCTATCGACCTTGAGATGCTTACAGAGTCCCTCATTAACCCTTGAGATTGTCATGATCGATCTTGGGGTCACCCGCTGCGCAGAGCCCGAACTTTTTGTTCAGTCGCTTGCTCTTGATATGCTGTATCGCTTTGTTTGCGCTCGGTGGGGGACGTGAGGGGTGAAAAGGGAGAGTCGCGTTCATTTTGTGGGAATGCAACGTGACTATTATCGTTAGCAGTAATTTGCAAACGATATGAACCCACCTCATCCTCACACGAGTGAGAAAGAATGATTCTTCTCACGAGATGTATGTTGATGATGTAAAGTTGAGAGGTTGGAGGTAGTTTTGGTAGTTCCCTCTGCACGCGTGCTTGCCTCCGAAAAATGGCAGGTGTGTGCCGGCCGCTTTTGCTCAGCAAGCACGAAACTCGGGATACCTACTTCAGCATGAACGGATGGATGGCTCAACTAAAATCGTAGGTAAGAATAACACAAATCAACCCTAAGCTACCTTAAAGTAGGTAAACGTCTTAGTCTCTTGTGTTGTTCTTTAGTCAAAGGTCTTATTGTTCCAGGCACTGGCAACTATTCGTTAATCGTTGGAATCATCACGACCGACCGCAGGATTGCAGACTGCATACAGAGCCTGTAACTCTGTAGTATATCCTTTAAACAAACATTTTGTAACCTGTAGTGGACAACAAACACTTTCTTGATTTGCTAAAACTTTGCAAAGGTTCTCTACCCTCTCATCGGGTGATGCCTTTCCATTCATGATTTCTGTACGCTATCTCAACTACATACATAGAATTTTCAATGAGGATATGTCAAAGGCAATTATACTCCGATACCTGATAGCTACCTAGGTAGTAGGTTAGTAGCCAAGAACCCTCTGGGTGGGCAACTTTATCGTTTAGGTCAAGCACTATCTCATTGCCTTATTGGGCGTAAGGTAACAAATGACTTGTTTGTTTATTAAGGTCAAGATCATGATCAGCTGTCCAACTTCGTAGACAGTCAGATTCATTACTAAGGTAATATAGGAAGGTAATATACATTAGAATCTTCTTGATGGTACTTCCACACTCTCTTGTCCATCTCATAAGTCATCCCAGCCAAGTACCCCGATAGAAGCTGGCTAACAATGTCTTGTTCTAAGATAATCCTCAACCTGGATTTCGTCTTCAATCTCGTCTTCAAGGTGTTTGACAAAATTGAGAGAACATTTGTTGTCTTCCCAGGGGTATGCGTCGGGTGGCAGCCCCGTACTCAAGTCAGTCCAGGGCCCAGGATGTATGGGATCAACCGAGAGAGATTTTCTGTCGCTAGCATAGAAGGCTTTCAAATAATGTGCATTATTTGATTTCTCCTCGAAATCAGGAGCATCCTTTCTTCTTTTGAGGCTATGATCAATGATCCAAATATTGACCAGGTTATCAGCATCGAACGCGGCATTTTTGAGGGTGTACAAAACACCGTAATCCCATTCTCCCTAATCCGAGTCCCACCAATCTGGATTGAACTTGATGCCTAGATGATTGATGCCGTCGCACCCCAACAAACCCCATCCAAGGCTCTGGCCTAAACCAAGTCCGTCCCAGTCGACATCGCCCACGCAGTCGACCTGTAAGACAAAGAGGCCTCGGTGAGGAAAGACTGTAAGGTTGTGAAGCGGAGCTCCGAATAATTTTCCGGTCGAGGGCAAGTTGAATCTTGTCTCCTCGGACATTTCTCGCTGTCGGGTGTTACGTTCTTCTTTGGGGACGGAGAGAATATCAATCAGATATGTTGAGACGTTTTTGCGGGGGACATCTTTTTTGACGCTGTCGAAATAGTGAAGTGGCGAGAGTTCCGAAAATCTCCATCCGCACGACTCACGGGTCATCATGATCCGAGACTTGGGCGTATAATTGAGGGTCTGGTCACAATGGCTGAAGATGTGTACTCCTGGCCGATTCTCTCGGATAACGAGTTTCCAGATCTGAACTCTGAGCTCGACGGGTAAATCAGGGAATCGATCGAAAGTTTCCATCTTCAAATGAATACAAGTGCAATTAAGAAATGGTTTCAAATTTACAAGAACTGATAATGTTGTTTCGACGGTCGTCGTGAAGGATGATGATGGTTGATGATGTGGTTGCTGGATGCGCGTGATGGAGGAGAGAGAAACGAGGTTATGAAAGAAAACTTGCAGCTTGTATTTATAGGTACATATCTACCATTTATCCCCAGCTTTTCTCGTTAATTGAGTTCAAGGACCTTTCATTGGGTTCAGGCAGGAAACCCAAACCACCAGCCTTAATTGCTTCAAACTATCAGCATTTACTAAATCAGAATTCAGTAGAGCAACATCGTGGAAGTAGAACGCGATGTGCACGCCATATATAGAGTTTCTGCTGAAATCTTGTTGAATGGTATAGCCTTGTGGCCTTACTAACCTTATTATTGTTTAACCTTATTGTTGGATTCTTGGGTTCATACTGAAAATGTTGCTACGCTCTTGAGTAATATTGACTTTGGAAGACTGGAAAAGCACCCGCCACATCATGTGCACGCCACAAGTAATTACGACGCTTTATTTTCATGATCTTGATCTTCATTAGGCAATCGACTATTATCTACCTAGCCTCCGATAGGACGAGATTGTGACATAAACATTCTCATGTAGACATCTTATAGTTCCACGCATAGACCAAGTAGCCATGCCCCAAAATGTATCCTCGATCCTTTTCAGGAAGCCTACCGTCGTGTCTTTGACGCCCCACGATTCCAACTTGAGATCTCAGAGTACCTCCCATCTATCACATCACATGCATCTGTCCCAGTTTAGTCCTCAAACTGTCCTATGTCATGAACCATTTCCTTTGACCATTCATCAATATCTTGGTCACCCAAAAGTTCATCAAGGAGATCGACAAGCTTGGGACCCAAGCGGATGAGACGACGTAGGATAGTCAGGTCTCGTTCATTCTTCTCTTCAGTTTCTTTAGCCTCGCCCAATTCGATCAGTCTGTCATGTAGGACCGCGGCCTCAGCTTCTATGTTCTTGAGCACAGTCATGATTTCAACCAGAACCCCCTGCTTGGCTTCTACGATAGCACGTTGGGCTTCTTGATGTTGGCCAGACTCTCGTTCGCGTTGGACAAGCTCCGCTATCTCCTGAGCTGATCCAGCAGCTGATGGGTTTGAAATCGCTCGATGACGGGCTTCGCGGAGCGCTTCCGTTACGGAATTATGAATTTCCTCGGCGTGGTGCACCCATTGCTGAGCTTCGGCAACTTCAGAGGCGGCGTTTTCCTTCGAGATACCGCTACGAAGGATCTTTTGAACGAGATCGCGGTGACGACGGCTAGTGGTTTCAATTTGGTCTTCTGAACGTCGGATGACGTTGCCCGAGGTGGTTATTTCACCCTTTAGGTAAGCTCTGTAGGCGTTCTGTGCTTCTTCGAAGGTTTTAAACTGCGGCCAGAGTTAGAAATGATGGTTTCTGATGCAAAGTCGATTTGCACTTACAGTGACGTCTAGGAATGGGGATTCCTCCGCAAAGCCGCTCTCCCCAACAGGGGTAATCAACCCGGTTTGTGAGTGCATGTTGGAGCGTCCACCGTCAGCTCGATCAATGGATCCGTGGGCAACAGTCTGGTTCGACTCGTCGCCTTTGACGGTAATGCAGTCTCCGACGGGCTTTGGCGGAAATTTGAAGGTTACCATAAGGCGCTTCTTCGCGAATGCTGCAGGGGTTTGAGCTTCTTCGTTGCTCACAGCACTCCCGGCGGATCGTTTGCGTGAGCCACTAGCTTTGAGTTTCTTCAGTATACGTAAAAACATAAAAGGAACATTTCTGACTTACCATGACTCTCCACTGGTTCTGGGTCACGGCCAAATGTGGCACTTCTTCGTCTAGTTTCGTGTCGAAACCCACGGATGAACTCCTGTCGCTTCTCGCTCATCCACTCAATGGCTTGACCGATGACCTTGTTGCTGAGGACGCATCGATACTTCGACATGGGGTGCTGAGCAGACTTGTCGAATAGATACTTGACAAGGTCGTCCAGAGTTACAGAGCTTGTGCGCGGAAGCTCGTTTTTGATGAGACTGTAGAAACGGTAGGCCAGCTGGTAGCTCCAATAACGAGGCGCAAAGTACTCGACGAGTTGCCATGGCCATTCTCCAGTGAGGTCATGAAACCGGCGAAAGATAGAAAGTACATTGCTAGGGTAGCCATCGTAAGGACGTGGCACAGATAACGCAGGCATGATTGCTGTTGCATTGGTTGTCGGTGGAGTGGAGTGGTAGGACAAGATGAATGGGAGATTGGGATGATGTCAAGAGAGATATTAATAGGAAACAAAGACTTCAAAGACGTTTTCAGTGAATGCGGGCCAAAGGCTCATAGGCCTCTAGTGCAAACGAGTGTATAGGTTGAGGTCGCGTTCGTGGGCGAATAAAGAGCGAACGACAGAAGAGGGTGAAGGGTGAGGTGGACCTAGAGTTGAAAATGCAAAGATAGAGCAGGCAGATGCGTCACTACTAGCGTGGTATAATTTTGATGCTGTTGAAAAAGGCAGTCGCGACTCGAGCTGGCAGTGGCAGCGGCAGTGACAGTGGCAGGTGCTGCAGGCGGGACCAGATCGGACGGATAAATTGGCGAGCAACTGGCCCAAGCCAGTCACCAATCCATTTGGCTGAGAAGAACGAGGATTTGACGTCGCAATATCAGAATGAATGAAACTCTCAAGGCGTGTTTGCTTGTTAGTGTTCCACCGAGGCAGTCGGTGCTGCCTTCGGAAAGCCGCATGAAATTCATCCATAGCTGCACCGATTTTACGCAGCTGTGCTTCACTCTCCTGTAATGGATCCCGATAGATTCAAATATCTATAACCCAGCCAGTTTCATGTCATATAATCCGTTCTTCGAGTTTGACACCTCCTGCATTGCAACATGTTTACTCCCCTTCATTTTCCCCCTTTCTAGCAGCGGTAATACGGCATTTGTTCTTAACATTGTCACACAAATCTTAGGAAACCATAGCTTAACCGGGCTGATTCCTCATATTTAAATTAAAAGTCGGTGAAGCATATATCAAGTCTCAGAGATATGTTCGGTAACGTGCACTGGCTACCTTAGGTATCGATAGTGCTAAAGACATCATTATATGCCATTCTCTATAAGCTGGATGACGGAACAGGGCATCAACTTCATGATCTCTACATCCATGTTTGGTTCATAGGTAGTTGTAACTGAGCAGCGCACAGATGGTGTTCTTTTCTTTGTGGCCAGGATCTTTCAACCTTCAATATAGGCCTTCTTACTCTTTGAGAATCGGCACAATTAGTATCTCAACCACTGCCAACTCCATAGTCAATGGCACTAATTGTGAGGATCTTAGTGCTGAATTTCCAAATCTCAATACGATGGCATGCTGAACAGCTGCAATTAACATCAATGGTGCCTCCAGGTGGACTTTCGTGACATCTTTTTTCCGCACAAACAATTGAGGAGAACGTGATTGTGCACACGAGCCAGGCCACTAGGTTGCGGGATATTGAACTAAGTTTTAGGACACAGTTCAACAGCTTAAAAAGTCTTTATAATGCTTAAGTTAACCTACCTGGGAGCTCGTCTAGTTAAGAGTAAGGAAAGGCTTGAGGTCATCCGGCCGAAGGAGCTTCTGGCTCATGAAGGACTTATACCGTGAGGTCAAGACCCGTCGCAAATATGGGCCCCGAATTTCCAATATATTGCAGATCTTTTTCACTATCATGCGATCTATCGCCAAGGCACTTAAACCGCAATACCCGTTGAGGAAACCCGAAAACAACGTCAAGGGAATGGAAGATGCTACGCGTTACGTATGGAGGGCCCGTACATTACCATAAAACTACGTCACTATGCAAATGTCACGATGTGTTTTAAATCTGGGGCTCCGGATGGGTCCTGATGTAATGGAGCCTCATTTTATGGGGATGCTGGGAAGAAACATCGACGATCAGATGGAGATTTCTCCAACCCGGATTTATTTGCGGGGAATAAGGTCGAGTCCAATCGATCGACCATGGGGGAGTTGAGAGTAGCGTCAGAACAATGTTGGGACAGAGATCAATTGACGGAAAGTCAGCGGTAGAGTAACAACAATCATCCCATCATGCCAGGCATTAATTTAAAACACCATCACGAAGAAGAAACAAGCCAAAAGGTGATCATAAAATAGTTCATTAATTAAAAGTAATTACCAAGGAAAAGCCGTTACTCCTTATTCCGTCCGAAAAGTACCGGATCCTGCATCTATACGCCGTGCTTTTCTAACACAATCTTCAATGCCAGGGAATCTTCTATATGCTACATATGCCATGTCTTTAAACAAAGGGAATACACATCTCACTCCAAATTTTAGTCGTCGCGGGACTTGCTGTAGGAGCCAGTACTGCCGAGACCGTTCAGGTCAACGTCGAGACCGCCGATGCGAGCGGGGCGCTGTTGGCTATGCTCAATTTGACGAGCGGGCATGCGCTCCTCCTGAGAGGCCTGAACAGGCGCGTCGGTCTTCTGCTCGAGACCCATGGAGGCGAGGAAGGCAATGCTGTCAGCCTTCTCTTGGGCCTTGCGGGCCTTGGACCATTGAAGCTCAGTAGCGGCAATGTCGATGACACGGGGGAGAGCCTGGAGAGCCTTGCTGGAGTCGAGGAATGAGAGGCGGGTACGGCGGGCAATGATGTCGGCGACTGTGCAGGCAGCCTCATTGCGGATGCCATGGGAAACCTCGGACTCAAGGTAGGGAAGACCAGAAACGAGACGGTTGTTGAGAGAGGGGTTGATGGAGAGGACAGTCCAGGCACGGTCACCATAGTTGTGAGCGAGGTGGTCGGCAACGTCAGCGTCGATGGGGTACATCTCCATCAGCTGAGAGGCCAAAGAGGTAGAGTATCCGTGGGCGCCGATAAGAGGAATGTTGCGGGTGCAGCAGATGCCAGTGGTGGTGAAACCGCTAGCGTTAGCACCGCTAATGTCGGGAAGAGAGATAGCCTGGGGCTTGAGATCGAACAGCTTGATGGCCTCGTTGACAGTGTCCTCGGCCATCTCACGGTATGTAGTCCACTTGCCACCAGCGCAGGTGAGGAGACCGGAGGGAGAAGTGGTGACGAGGTGGCTTCGGACGAGGGATTCGGTGTTCTTCGCGTTGGGGTTCTTGACAAGGGGTCGGATGCCTGTAAATGTTAGCATTGTGTGCAGTTCGATTGATTATAGTGTAACTTACCAGACCAGGCAGCCTGGACATCCTTGCGAGAGAGTGCAGACTCGGGAGTCAGAAGCTTGCTGACTTCACGGAGAATGAAGTCGACATCGTCCTGCTGAGCAACGGGTGCGCGCTCGACCTCGCAAGGGTTGTCGGTGGTACCGGCGAGGGTAAATCCCTGCCAGGGAAGGACGAAGATGACACGGCCATCAGAGGTAGCAGCGTCGAGAAGACCAATGCCGTTGGGGCAGATGTCCTTGGGAAGCATGATGTGCACACCTGAAGCAGGAGCGACAATAGGCTTACGAGAGGGGTCATCCATCTGGTGAATAGCATCGGTGAAGGGTCCGGTAGCGTTAACAACACCCTTGGCGCGGACCTTGAAGGACTCGGCGTTGGCAGAGTCGCCGTTCTTGGAAGCGAGGACATCGCGCACTTGAGCGCCGTTGATCTTGCCATTGGCATCCTTCTCGAGACCGGTAACCTCAACGTGGTTGAGAACGTTGGCACCGTATTGCGCAGCTGTCATGGCGAGAGCGACGTTCATGCGGGAGTCGTTGTGCTGACCATCATAGTAGACCAGAGCACCAACCATGTTCTCCTGGCGCAACTTGGGGAATGCCTCAAGGGCCTTGTTCTTACTCATGTAGTAGGAGCTCTCAAGACCCTGGGAGCCAGCGAGGAGATCGTAGGCCTTGGTGCCAGCCCAGAAGTAGGGCGCCTCCCACCACTTCTGGAGAGGCAGCAGAATGGGCAACGAGCTGGACAAATGGGGCGCAATGTTGAGGAACGTCTTGCGCTCGCGCAGAGCCTCCATGACGAGCTGCAACTGACCGTAGTCAAGGTTCCAGACAGCCTTTTCTAGGTATCGAACGCCACCGTGGACGAGCTTTGTGCTCTTGGAGCTTGTACCGGAGGAAAAGTCATCGCGCTCGACAAGGGCGACCTTGAGGCCACGGGTGATGGCATCGATAGCGATTCCTGTTCCTGTAGCACCACCGCCGATGATGAGTAGGTCGTACTCGGTATCTTTGTCGGGCTGGCCGCTGCGACGCAGCTCAGCGAGGGCTTCGGCGCGGGCTTTTGTTGCGCTGAATGTGGGAGGGACGATGCGTCCTGTTGTGTCGCGCTTGAGGGGGACGAGGGCCTTGTCAACGACGTGGGTTCTGTTACGGGTTGCATAGTAACCGCCTCCGACAGCGAGAGTTGTTGTGGCCGCAGCTGCAAGGAGCAGAGGGCGCTTCATCGACCGTAATCTTTGTTGCATCTTGCGTGTATGTGTGTGATTTGTGGTGTTTGGGGGTTGCTCTTGTGCGCTATGGCAGAGGTTTGGCGCACGCAGAAAAAAAGGTGGCGACCGTTGGGGGAGATTAGGGAGAAGTTGGAGAAAGCCTGGAGATGAAGTCTGGGGATAAAGATAAAGTCAAAGAAATGGCCAAAGGGTTTATAAGAGTGTATAGCAGACGACGATCATGGAGGATGATGAGAGTGTGTCCATAAATTAGCGGAGTTGGAAATGGGTCATTTACTTGAGTCTGATATCATGGACTGTAACAAGTTTTTGGCGGACAAGTTTGGGGGTTGATTGAGTGCTGCACGGTGAAGACGCACTGCGGAATTAGGCTATGCCGGTAGTGCAGAACACTGTCCTGGAGACTTTACCCTGCGAGTAAAAAAAGAAAAGCGTTCATCTGACCTGAGCTGACCCGCAGACAAACGTAAAAAGCTGTTCAATAAAAGTCTCTAATTGCACCGCATGGCTTGAATAGGAATCCCGGATGGTCCTGAGCCTCATTCAAGGTGCACGCCGCGTATGCAGTTCGGGGCAAGAATACCGAGCACGCTGACGTTGACATCGAGATTTTACCCCTGGGCTTATGCAGCTCGGGGTGCAAAGTCCGATGCTGAAGCCAATTCTGGACCAGATCTAGGCTAGTGGCTAACGGATCATCAATCATCCACTCCGGCGGGTCACTCCGATCCGGAGTTTGCTCCTGTGAGTTTAATCACCCGCCCCCACG